CTTGAGCAATTCGGATTTAACGGGATTATCAGTCTGCAAGAATCTCTACTTTGGTACCATGGGCTATTTTTACTCGAATTTTTTTTCCGTTCCTATACCGACGTATCGAGTTTTACTTCTCACTCTTATGGATGTTTCCCAATCATCGATTTCCTTGCTTTTTCCGTAACAACGACCAATCAGGAAAAAACGTCAACGATGACGTAACAATTGAAATTGTTGCAGCCGTCCGACACTTCATTCGCTCAAGCATGGTTGTGAACATTGACTCGTTTTCACGGTTTTGTGTGTTATTTGTCAGTTTTCAGTTGTGTTGTAAATGAATAGTTTTAGTGTCATTATGTCCTTCGATGAACTTTAGTTTAGTTGCTATAATCAAAAATTAGTCCCCGAAAAGCTGCGACAGACTGAGCTAAATTTGGCTATTAGTACGTGTAGGCGGCACGTAGTTATATACTTTAATAAAAATAATAATTTTGGGCATGTAAATCAGTTTACATTACTATATGTTTCGACATATCCATTATACAGAGATGGTCGTTTCACTCATATACAATTTATATTTATGGATATTTTTTGGTTCTGAATCTAGTAGTAACCAGGCGAGAGGCCAGGATTCGTCAACAGGCCATGCTATAAGCTGACGGGTTCCAGCTAGCACAAGATACTTAAAACACTTATCTACTTAATAATATACACGATCAGCAGATATGGAATGCAAAATTCAATTTTTGAGAAAATCATTTGAATAAGCAATGGGCTAACGCAAAATAAGCTGAAACAAAAAGTGAATCAAAGTATGGCCGTCGAAGGTGAATATAACGAGACGATGTGTTCTGGGTTTAAATTGCTATACTATTTTCATATTTATTCCGAGGGTGTGAAAATGTCCAAAAGTCGAAAGTGTTTCATACTAGTTTATATTATTTGTGAGAAAACCTTTTGTGTGGAATAAAAGTATAGCCGTAAAATTTTCGAATTGCTGGCGACCCCCGAAATGGCAGAGCTGCCGGGATAATAAGGAGTTATGATGACGCATTACCTGCAAGGAAATGCCAATTGACATAGAGTTGAAACGTTTCAGTCAAGACAATCAGCAAAAATTATAAATTCAACCTAATCCAGAACAAATCATCAAATCGTATTTACCCACGAGTATTAGGCCTCGAATCAGTTCGTCTCGCAAAATCTAGATTTGAATCATATTTCCATATGGATTTTTTATTTGTCTTTGTTTATCTGTATTTTATCACCTGCTATGCTCATTATGAAATCGAAATAAACCTATAATTAGAGTAACATATTGTATTGGTTTGTACTGATTTTAATTCAGAGTTCATTATTGCAGTCTTTCCTTTATTCAGACTTCGTATATTTGCTCTGTAGTGTCCTCTGGCAGTTCGTATTTTGCACAAATCTAATAGTCTTCCCAGGTCCAGACGTTGTTCCTTGGGCTTAGCATATCTAAGTAAAGGAAGCCAGCTTGTTCGTTGCAATTTTCAGAAGTGTAGTTACCAGACTACGAACGCACGTGGAATATTTCTTCGGGAGCTTTAAATAGTGTGATCGTCTTGTCCGGGGTTTGGGGATCATATTTCGTCAGCGGAATCGGTAAATAAAACTGTGTATGATGTTTAACAGGGAAAATTTTCATTGACTTCTTTGTTTTTTTTTCGTCTTTTCCTCCGCTTGTTGTTTAGCTTCGGTTTGATGTAATAGCCCTGAAGCCATTTTCAGTCACAAGAGTCAATGTTCTTCGCGACCGCTATTTTTAGTTTCGAGCTCTCGTTCGGAGCTGGACTAGTTATTCTGGATTGTATTAAATCTAATACCTGGTAATATACCACTGGTTTCCCTTCCATATGTTGTGATAAGCAGCATTTGATACGTCTGGAAAGCTATGAGTACCTACAAGAAAAAGGATTTGAGTATGATTCGTTCTTTGAAAGTATATTATGACATCACATTTTTTTTCCTCATGTACCAGGTCTGTTTCAGACATCGACGATCATGGCCTTCCATTCCAATCTGTTGTCTGCTCTTCTGGCGACCAAAATTCCAGTAATTGGAGACGAAGTGTAAATATGGATCGCTTTGTTGTTATGTTGTTTGCTTAAAAAGTTTGAGAACCACTGGTCTAGGCATTCAGTGTGCATTGATCTAGTAGTGGCTAGGAAGAGATTGACCTAATATCGGTCTGCTACTGAAACCTAAAAATCTCTCGCTTGGAGTGAAATTTGTTGAAGTGAAAAGCATAGCATGCAATGCCTTTAGGATAACATTTTCGCATGCAACTTTCTGTCTTTCAGCATTGACTTAACCGTTCTCCAGATTGTTAGGTTCACTCGTTCACAAAATTACGGCTGGATCCGGCCCACCGAAGTGTTTCATCCGGGCCAATTGTGTTTGCTGAATTTATGACTATAGTTCTTATTAATATGAATTTTCGTTGAATATATCGATTTAAATAACGTCAAAATGACTACGATTGTTACATTGTGCTTCTTCTCATTGGACACGTTAGTGGACATAACGATCGTTTTAATATTATGTTGTTGTTCTTGTTATTCGTCATCATCATCATTAAACAATTGCTTTTTCTTCGAATACTGAACCAATTGCCTTGAAATTTTTAGTGGTTGAAGATTGATTTTTTCCCAGAAGGCTATTACTTTTATTTATTTCTAAATTTCGTGTGAAATCTGATATTTCGTCTAAAATTTCGCTGTATTATTTTATCTATGAGAACACTGGTTGTCCGGTTTGATTCTATAAATTCCTGCTGCGCGAAACTCGGACATTGTTTAAGTGTACCGGTAGAGTCAAAGGTAAGTACTGTTTCGCTCTACTTAACGTGTCAATATATTTGAGCATTGCTCTCTCGTTATATAAATGTTAGTCTAGCTTCTGGACTAGCTGTTAAAAAAAAACATTTTCTATTCCTAGTTTCATATCGAGTTTTGAGCGTCCGGTCTGTAACCAAATCTATTATCTGTGACTGGCACACTCATAAAAGTAATTGACCACCCCTAGTGTTGAGCGACTCTCAATGGACAAATTGCTCGACCTCTGCGTCGGATGTCATATGCGTTGCAAGGCAATGTATATGTAAATATAGATGGAATGCTAAAAGCAGGTAAGATTGAGAAAGCGCTTGTGATTGCAAATGCCTGGATTCCGCCTCTAACTGTAGACCATGAAAAGCCTGGAGATATTAGAATTTGAGTTGACATTCGCCGAGTGAAATGAGTCATAATTCTACAAAGGCACACGATTCTAACTGTTAAAGACCTACTGCACGATTTAGTTTGTCAAGGTCAAATCTGAAATGAAGATTTCAGATTTCAGAAGAGAAAAAAGATCTTCCAAGATCAAAAAGGTACCTGTAAAATGAAATCAAAAGTACTTCCTATGAAGAGAAACTAAAAGACTGGGAATCAGTGGGGCTACTAAACATTTCAACATATCATATCTATCTCAGCATAGAAAATTGGAATTCTTCCTGCGATAATAAGAAACAAAATAAATGTCATCATCTTCAACTTGCTGCTATGATAGTTCAGTGCTTCAATGACAACCTGACCTCAGTTGTCAGTAGTGATGGCCGAGTGGGTAAGGAGTTGTACTTGAAATCCGATAGAATATTCTCGCGCAGGATAGATATTCTCGCGCAGGATCGAGCCCCGCTCGCAGCATCATCAACAACAGATCCGCTTGTTTAGAATTTAAGTCCCATTACTGTGGAACATGCTTTCCTTGCGGCCCTGGTGCATTATTTTCTGACGAGTAGTAATTTCTCACCAAATCAATCCTTTCTCTGATATGCACACTATCTGTGACGTGATTTGTTGGAATGACAAAAAATTTTGCTTACTTTTCTGACACCCTTTATATGAAACTAGAGTGCGATTCACTCTCGTTTTGCGGGATCATCTGAAGAACCCGTTTTGATTTTTGTGAACATCTCTCCCATGAAGGTTATTGCGTTTTTATAGATCAGTCAAAAACATTTATTTCCATATATTTATATACAATTCACTTTTGACCGACTCAGATGATGGGTTTGCGGAGCAGTAAAAAATAGAATGATTTACCTCAAAGAAAGATGGCAAAAAAGGATAGAAAACCTATCAATTTCACGATAAATTGGAGGTGGAGTTCCTCTACAAAGCAGCAAGCATTTCATGCTCAATTCTTCATTAGTTGCATATGCAGACTGCGTTTCAGAACGGCTGCTTGCAAATTGCGTTGCCACATAACAGTCGATCGCGATTGACTTAAGTGGGCTATGTTGTGTTTGAAGTTGATTGAACTTAACGTAATGCCTAAAAGAAATTTATCTTCAGACATATTCAAGCATCTTTTATTTTGAAGATAGGAAATAAAACTGTCGGCCAGGATAACTCAACTGACCATGTGAGTGCTCAGGACATATTTTTAGTTGTTTGCGTTTATAAAATCCTCCAAAGACTTATCCCATATATAGCAGACCAGAAGCAGTCTTGAGCTAACTATATGCAGTGGTTGCCAAACGTAAATTGAGTTACAGAATTAGCGGACTCTTGCAACGCAACAGTTCAAAATTTAGCTTGCTGATTAATCTAACTATAATAGCTTTTAAATTTTAACTCCATGATTTACACGTTGGACGCCATCGGTTGATAAATATCAAAATTAAATTAGGATGCAAAATTGAGCCCGCGGAATTCCAGAATTGTTGGAGTAAGTACCGAGGCCGGCTGCCGAAAGATGTTCAATTGTTCTCACATAGAGAACAATTTTATTAATATGAATCTGACTGCATATATCAAATAAATGAGGTTATTCTGGGAAAATATGTAAACATCTTACAGCACCAGTGTATCAGCATCAGCACCCACTTACAATCAGTTAATATCATAATACTGCTATAGCATGATCTGTTCAAAGCTATTACTGGACTTCGGGTTGTAAATTAACCTGGAACTTCTATAAATCACATTTAACTTCAGTCGCAGTCCTTTACTTTTACATATTTATTATATGAGTTTGCAGTTCAGCGCTTCAATTATTTCATATATATATACACTCTACTGGTCTTAAGCAAGCAAATTTTTCAACGTTCTTCATGAATACTGATCACCCATTTCTTGCCACACCTATAAAATTAATTCACAGGCATTAGTGAATCTGTCAACATGTGCTTTTGTCGTTTGTTTTGTGGTGAAAATCATAACATATATTGTCTGATAGCAGAATCTCAAAGTATTCATCGAAACGACAAAGCGCATTAACTATCAACAACCATCAGTTTTGGATCCAACATATTATTCAGACATTTTCCGGTAGTTTGCTAACCACATTCGAAAGTATAAGAGCATATCATATCTATATTTTCATTTCAGAATTTCCGCCTCGTGACTTAGAGCAGTGATTCCTAAAGTGGGCGATATCGCCCCCCAGTGGGCGAAAACCATACAGAAGGGGGCGATTTCGCAAAACCTGTTTTATGTTCGGCGCATCGTGCACTTAATTCTGTACTCTGTGTGCATTCGCAGGCTTGAATCACGTGGGCGATTATCACACGCGAAAGGATTTCTGGACTCGTCTTCGCAGTAAGGTACGGTAGTTTGCGTATCCCAGTGGTCGGCAAAATACGGCCGGAGTAAAATAATCTGGCCCGGGACGATTCAATGAATGGACTTTTCCTCGACCTTTGACCGCGGAAAATTCTTCCCATACTTTACCATTTTAAAATTTTCGGTGCTTATTTTAAGAGTTGTTTCGCGAATTGTTGTCTGTAAAATGGGGTATTTGTTTCAAACTATCATTCTAATACACACCATTCAACAATCTGTTTTTTAAAAGTACCGATAAAGAATTTTAGCCTAGTCTATCACAGCTATTTGTACACAAATTTTTGATTACTGTATTTAAACTGAAACTCATAGGAAACAAAGTAACCATTGTTTTTTTGCATCCTGCTGATTGGCCAATGTCACGAAGTAAACAAGGAAGTCTATGCCCGGGGAAACATCCAAACGGAAGTTTTGACGATGAAAATTTTTTATTTATAATCTACGCTCGAGGAGTAAATTACATTTTTTTACGTTACAGAATTTATCGTGAACACGTTTGGACTAAATTTTATTATATCCTAAAAATTCGTTTAACGAGCCTACAATTTAATTATAATTAGACAAATGGAAACACGAAAAAAGTTGATGCTGAGGGCAGGGGTTCAATAGCGCAGTCAATATTCGAATATATTGCAATGCAATAATGAAATAAAATTCATATTCCATTCGAGAGATTCATCACTGCTTAATTTTTGTAAGAATGTATCTTCTTAAAGAAAATCTTTATCAAAATTTCACACATTATGCGAAAATAGTCACTTCGATGTTTGGAAGTACATATTAGTGCGAACAATAATTTTTGAAAATGAACATTACAAAGAACTAGGATTAGTGATGCTCATTTAGTAAATCTTCCAATCTTGGCGTCGTAAAGCTATCCAGCGTGATGCAGCAACAAGACAGTGTCACATCAAATGTCATTGTAATATTTTTTTAAAAAGACGACTGAGTTGAGTTCACGAATTGTCGCAATTTTCGCACGCTGTTCCGTTTTTAACTTTCAAAAAATATATGCGACCTGCAAAAGACTAGCAACCCTGAATTTTGTCCCGCGAGCGACATAAAATTTGCCGACCCCTGGGCCGTAGGTAGCCCATAGTCGGTCACGGCTTCTTCCACATCCGAGTCTATGAATCCAAAAACAAATGGCTGATTAATTATGGACTGGTGATCGGACTGGAGGCCGTGGTAGGATGAGGAATCGGGAATAAATTTTACCGAAGTATTTTGCATCAGGCTGTGAGAATGAATGAGATGTACGAAAATCACTTGATAAGTTTGGAAAAATTAACTTTGTTCTCATTATTTTAATGTAAAATGGGGTGAATTTAGGTAGTGAAATGCTATAAGGCAAGAGTACACGGCGGTTTTTGAGGAAGTAGAACTCTGGATTCTTTCATTTCTGACCTATTATATGGTGAAAAGGGGGTTTTCAGCCTTGATACTATTGCTATTAAAACAACGAAATCGCCTTTCCATCAGTAAACGGGGTAATTTTAGATATAATAAAAAACTCACTGAAGAACAACAAGCTCATCTATCTCATAAAAAAACACTATAAACTATGATTTGTCTTCTCATTTGGTCTGTAATGGCGATGAAAGTTGTTTAAACTACTGTAGGGGGGCGGGCGATCGTCAAAAAAGTTTGGGAATCACTGACTTAGAGAATAATAAACGAGGTTCAAACCCAAAACTATGTAATCTTTCCAAAAGTTCTCCGGAAATCGAGAAACAACAGCAACCCCGTTTATGGTGGAAAAAATTATTATTTATTCACTTTTCTGATATTTTATTACTTTGAGTAATTCCTTTGGCTATTTTGGACATCGTTAGTCCTCCCCCATTGTGCGTTATTTATTTAACCTTAATGGTCCTCAAACACTTGCACTCTGGTAATTACACAGTTTGAATTGTTTACAATATATCTATAAATACGTATTATAAGAATACTAAATACACAAACATTATTTGAGGAGCTACACCAAATACAAATTTATATTTCCTCCTCAGGAAAACAACAAAGTTCTCCCTGGAGAGGAATTCCTAACGTTTGACTGACAATATAATTGGAGGAGGGGGTGGGGGGTATGGGAGGTAAATGTATATTCTGTAATATTGTTTAAAAGGGCAATGAATAAGGTCCCTGAATATTGACCATGCTGATACCACGGACCAAAATCATATTTTATTGCGTCTATGGAAAATTAACTACCTTTTACTTGGCGTTTCTCAATTCTATCGTGTCTATGCAAAGTAAAATAACTTATCTTAACGATTATTAATTCTTGAATAAATATGCGATATACTCACACTTATCGTGATAATCTTTGCAACAAACTCCTGGATATCTTGGACACCATGGATGGCACGAACATTTTCCAATTCTGAGATCGCCATGTTCGCCACATCTTCCCAAACAACTTTTTTTGGACATAACCATCTCTGCATTACAAATTACAAAGAAAATAAAAACTTAATAAAAAATGTGTAATTTTATATTACATAATTTTATATTATATTGCATTAAATATATTATATCATCATACATTATCATTTTGGAAAATCTCGGCTCGAAAATTCATTATGTTCATTACAGTACTGACTTTTGCATGTTCCTGCGTGTTCCTTGTATCCGTTGTCGCATTGGCACCTCTTCATGTAGTTACAATGCGCATTTTCATAGCAGGCTTTTCCCATACACATTCGGTGGCTTTCTGATTTTTCAAAACAACTTCTCAAACATTTACAAGACTACAGTACGAATTGTTTTTTCCAAACAATTACCGAGAAATATATCAACTAACACTCGAGGAAAATCACCATTAACCATATAACTTTAAAATGAAAGCATAGACGATTGTTCGAGTCAGAAGGTAAGTAACAAGCAAAGCTAGTCATATATACCATAAGTCTTATTTTTTATTTACTTATTTATTTATATGATATTCCTTTCTCGAATTACAAGTTCACAACGCGAACTATGATATTCTCAAGATTTTGACAAGATATTGTGTGACTGAATTATTTTTGTTTGTAGATCATATGGTATCTTTGACTGTGCGAAGTAAACATATACTTCTAATATAGTAGATTCCCAATATTTTCTCTCAAGTCTTCTATACTCACTTATGCATTTTCCACCATGTTCAATATATCCGGTATTGCATTGGCATTTGCCATGCATATTGCAATGTGAGTATTCATGACACTTCATTTTGCACATTCCAAATTGTAAATGACGAGCTGTGAAAATGAATTTGAAGTATTTCTGCTGGGTCATACCAATTTCAATGAGAAAATTCTATAGATGGATCAGATTATACATATATAAATAGTTTGTTTTCATGTCAGGTCATTCGAGAGTTTTTGCTTGATTGCCAAGAAACGATATTAATATAATTTGACTATAAGGGTGATTTTTTATTTGGATACAAACAGTTTATCTTGTTTTGTTGTCATTCTTGCTCAAGAGTAATTTTCTATAAGGTATTTGATTGGGAGTACGAAATTACTTGTATAAGGCAGGGAAGTGTTTGCAGTTCTACTAAACCTATTAAATGTTGTTATATCTGTCAGCAACGCAAATGTAAAAAGATTTGGCTCACCTATGCATGTTTTCGATGATGACATCGTATATCCCGATTTGCACTGGCATTTTCCTGAATGGCACATGGCGTGCAATCGGCATATGTGATCCCCACAATTCTTTGTAGATAACATTTCTAAACGCGTAGCATTAAAAACAATTTGGCATTGATATTCATGATTTGTTTATATTTGATTAAACTAAAACATAATTTAATAAAAGATTTATAACATTGTTTCTTGTATACAAAAATGACTTACTACATTTTCCATCTTTCATATAATATCCGTTCTTGCATCTGCAGTAATTATCGATACATCCGGCATGTTCGGGACAGTATCTATTACCACATAAATGCCTTCCTGATGAAGCAACAACTGAAAACAAAATTGTAATATATAATTGTGAGAAATTGACCTGAATTATAAGAGAATGGACTTCCGTTTACATCCACCCGTACCCGGATAATAACCTGCTTACATCTGCAGGTACCCATATTCATGTTGCATTCAGCATATTGGGAGCATTTTACATTCATACATTTATGTTTCTTTACTGAAAGTATATATATATATGTAGAAGAATATCACGCCTTCATGTCGAAATATATTGCTTAAATTTAATATTTGGTTCAAAATGTTTCTAAAAATTGGTCTAATAATAAAAAAAATTGAAAATCGTCATGTTTTGCTCTTCATAATTGTTCTAATTGTTTGTTACAAAACTAAGTATTCATTCGTAACATTTACAAACAAGTCTATAACTAATTAATAAATAAAGCAACGTAATTAATCTGAATCATTTTATCAATCACTTCAGTCTGTAAGTCTTTTTTAAAAGTTTTTATAATCAGGTATTGCAACAAACGATATTATAACATTCTTTTATCTCCTATTTATAATTAAATCTTTGTAATTTCGAACCAAATATTCCACTAGAAGATAAAGTATTACGACATACCCATGCATCTTTTCGATGCTGACATCAAATATCCTATTTGACATTTGCATTTTCCCGAATGGCACATTGCGTGCAGTGGACACTTGTGACCAGCACATTTCTTCGTGGGTGCCGTTCCTAAAACATTGCATTTCGAACATTTGTTTGCTACCTAAAACAAATAACTAACTAATCCCATACCCGACATGGAATGGTAACCGGACGAAATGCTGTGGTTCGCCATATGGTTAAGCCGTCTTATCGGCTTTCCTCTCCCGCGGTATAAATATGTAAATCCCGTAGATAAACATTTCTATTCATGATTAATATTGTCTGAATACAATTTAAAATATTGTTGTGTTTAAATTTAATACTTACATCCCCTCTCTTATGTAAACAGCACGGGTACATGGAACAATATGCTTTAATGAATGATTGGCTATGTTGTTCGCATTATTTGATGACATATCATAAACGCTACAAAGTAAACTAAAATGCAACTTCAATGAAAATGTTAGAAGCCTGTACTTTTACATCCACCATCTCTATAATGATATCCTCTCATGCACTTGCAGGTACCCGTGTCCTTATGACACTCTGCGTAATCATCACACTTTACGTTTTTGCACTTGTTCATCATACTCCTGTGTTCACCTGAATTGAAATTATTATTTACTTAATTCTTACTTTAATTTGCGTTAAGTACACAGTCATTTTCCAAACATACTATTGTATCAAAATGTATTTTTTAATATTCCTTCGGAAAATTTAAGGTGTTGGTGTTACTTGTTCTGTTTTAATAAAATATATGAATGAAGTATCATAAGTTTTTAGAATTGCTCGTCTTCTATTTGTTAAAAGCAATTTTATTTGAATAATCTTGCATACCTTTTCGACATATTCCGTCCGTCATATGATAACCTCTCATACATATACAACTACCGGTGTCTTCATGACACTCTGCGTAATCACCACATCTAACGTTTTTGCACTTGTTCATCATACTCCTGTGTTCACCTGAATTGAAATTATTAATTACTTAATTCCAACTTTAATTTGCGTTAAGTACACAGCCATTTTTCAAACACGCTATTGTATCGGAATGCATTTTTTAATATTCCTTCGGAATATTTCAGAAAACAGGCGTCATTGGTGTTACTTGCTCTGTTCTATTTAAAATATATGAATAAAGTATCATAAGTTTTTAAAATTGCTCGTACTCTATTCATTGAAAGCAATTTTGGTCAAATAATCTTGCATACCTTTTCGACATATTCCGTCCGTCATATGATAACCTCTCATGCATATGCAACTACCGGTGTCTTTATGGCACTCTGCGTAATCACCACATTTAACGTTTTTGCACTTATCCATCCTCTGACCATTGCCTGAATTACAATAATTTTACGAAATACATACTTTTGTCATCATAGTAGGAAGAATCCAATATATAAACTTTCCACATGCTTTACACAAAAAATTTACTGTTCGTTTAATGTTATTAAAATATATAGTTTGTAACGGAACAATATATTACACATACCGAACCTACTCCTGTCATCATCTGGCATCGTTGGTTTGCGTCCTGGACCTACCATAAAGTGTTGAGTAATAATGAAATGATAATGTTACGCAGTGACTGTTACAGTGCATGGGGTTACATGAAAATGTAACCGCACCAAACTTTAATTTGTGTTAAGTGCACAACAATTTAGATTTCAGACATACTATTGTATCGGTATTTATTTTTTAATGCTATATATTTGGCTATTTCAAAAATCAGCCGTCGTTGTTGTTACTTGTTCTGCTCTAATAAAATATATGAATAAAGTATCCTAAGTTTTTAAAATTGCTCGTACTCTATTTATTAAAAAAAAATTTAGTCGAATAATCTTGCATACCTTTTCGACATATTCCGTTCGTCATATGATAACCTCTCGTGCATATACAACTACCGGTGTCTTCATGGCACTCTGCGTAATCACCACATCTAATGTTTTTGCACTTGTTTGCCATACTCCTGTGCTCACCTAAATTGAAATTATTGTTCACTTAATTCTAACTTTAATTTGCGTTAAGTACACAGCCATTTTCAAACATGCTATTGTATCGGAATGCATTTTTTAATATTTCTTCGGAATATTTCAGAAAACAGGCGTCGTTGGTGTTACTTGCTCTGCTTTAATAAAATAAATGAATAAAGTATCATAAGTTTTTAAAATTGCTCGTACTCTATTTATTGAAAGCAATTTTGGTCAAAAAATCTTGCATACCTTTCCGACATATTCCGTCCGCCATATGATAACCTGTCATGCATATACAACTACCGGTGTCTTTATGACACTCTGCGTAATCACCACATCTAACGTTTTTGCATTTATCCATCTTCATATCATGACCTGTATTTTATGAAATACATACTTTGACATCATAATATAAAGAATCCCAGATATAGACTTTCCACTCGCTTTCCACGAACAGCTTACTGTTCGTACAATGTTATTGCAATATATAGTTCACTAAGTAATAGAATAATACACATACCGAATCTACTCTTATCATCATCTGGTATCGTTATTTTGTGAGCTGGAAATAATAGTGTTAAGCAATAATTGTTAGAGCGCATGTGGGTATACTATACATATAACAGTAACTGCACCAAACTTTAATTTGCGTTAAGTGCACACCAATTTAGATTGTTATGCTCTATCAAAATATATAAATACAATATCACGTTTGCCCGTATAAATATAAAATTGCCCGTACTATATTTATTATAGGCAAATTTGTCAAAAATTCTTACATACCTCTTTGACACCTTCCGTCTATCATATAATAATCTTTCATACATTTACAACTACCGGTGTCTTCATGGCACTCTGCGTATTCAGCGCACCGCACGTGTTTGCACTTATCCATCATTGTCATGTCGTTACCTGATTTTCGAGAATATCAAAAGTCTCGATTGTTACAAAAAACTATAGGATTATTCGTATTTATAGATTATAGAACGTATTTAATTCTACTAAAGTAAATTCATAAATTTTCATAATATAACATGTTCTACAGTCTACACAATCATCATTTGCTGCTGCAAATTTTTATTTCAATTATTCGAAATTTACACTACCTTCCGACGGTACTTTTGCTTACATTGATCCCTTCTCAAACTGTATAACACAATTTGACATATATAGAGGTTACTCATGTTTGTGATAGTAATTTGGGCAGCGAAAACCTTGTTGTATACACAGTAATATGCATCATGAATCATAATATGAAAATGCAATACCTTTCCTGCAGTTTACATATTCATTTCCCTGATTACTTTCGTAAAAATGGAGTAAAGTATTTTTTTAATTTGAACGAATAGTGCAAAGCGCATATATATATATTCATTGAATAGTGTGAAGTTTTTTTGTTTTTTTTTTCACAACATTTTAGTGACAGATTTTCCATTGTTCAGCACGAAATGCTATTTTGCGAAGTGCTTTTTATTTCACTTTTTAAATAAAAAAAAAATAATTTGAACCTTTGTTTGTGCATGAATAAGCAGAATCTAGGACGTTTTGCACAAAAATTATGTTCTATATAGAAAATATTCCAAATCATCTCTTAGGCATAGAAGACATACTTGTATCCGCTACGCAAAATTGTCAATCTCCAACTCAGTTTTTTTGCTGAAGAGCGCTGTCTGCTGCCTGGGTATGTCAACGGCAAAAATATTGATTACCTTGGTACAACACCTCCGAGAAAAAGTGTTACAGAGAACGTTATACTCAGTACAGTGCGCAACATGCGAATCCGTTTTCAAACATTGCATAGCTTGTTAATATTGGTTCGAAGACGAAAATGAAGCGAAGAATATAGAACATTAGGTGGAGGTGCGGAGAAAGTGTTGGGCATCATTTGGGCGACTATAGGGATTGATTGAGTTGATTCGTGGTTCCAGCAAGACAAGGCGACCGCCCAAATATCAAATCATGCCCTTGACTGGAAACGAGAGCGATTCCAGAAAAGGTAGATCAGCAGGAAGTATGACGTCGAGTGAGCACCTTATTCATTGAACTTGAACACATCAGATTTCCGTAGGAGTATTTGAAAGACTATGTGTCTCAGAACATTTCTCAAACAATTGGTCAACTCAAAACTGCAATTGCAGCAAAAATCGGAAAAATTCCTATAGAGGAGTGTGTGAGAGTGATTTCACGATTTTGCGCAGCGCGTGCAAGTCTGTCTCCTATGTCTTGGAGTGAATTTAGAACATATTATGGATCGAACATAACTTTTGTGCAAAGCATCCTAGATTCCCGAAACTTTCGGGTACAAACATGCACAAACAGAACAAAATCTTTCATTTTTGTAGAAGTTATTGATAAATTTATAGGTTCTGTTTTTTGGGTCACCCTGTACTATTCTATCGGTATTTTTGTTTAATTTCAATAACCAGCCGTCGTGTTTGTCCTTTGTTATGCTCTATTAAAGAGTTTTTAAAATTATTTGTACTCTATTTAGTGTAAGCAAATTTGTCGAAGATTCTTACATACCTCTTTGACATCTTCCGTCCATCATATAGTAATCCTTCATACATTTACAACTACCGGTGTCTTCATGGCATTCTGCGTATTCACCGCACTGCACGTGTTTGCATTTATCCATCATTGTCATGTCGTTTCCTGATTTTGGAGAATTTTAAAAATCTCGATTGTTACACAAAACTACACGAATATTCGCTCTCAAGAACGTATTCAATTATACTAAAGTAAATTCATGAATTTTCACAACATAAACATGTTCTACGCGATCATTATTTGCTGCTGCAAATTTTTATTTTAATTATTCAAAATTTACACTACCTTCCTCTATAAGTCTATACTATTCTATCGGTATGTTTTTTAATATCCCATTGGCAAATTTTAATAAACAGCCGTCGTTGTTGTTCGTTGTTATGCTCTATTAAAAAGAAGTATCACAAGTTTTTGAAATTGTTTACCTCTTTGACATCTTCCGTCTATCATATAGTAATCTTTCATACATTTACAACTACCGATGTCTTGATGGCACTCTTCGTATTCACCACACCGCACGTGTTTGCACTTATCCATCATTGACATGTCGTTACCTGATTTTGGAGAATTTCAAAAATCTCGATTGTTACACAAAACTATACGAATATTCTCACCCAAAAACGTATCTAATTATACTAAAGTAAATTCTTGTAAAAGTAAATTTTTACAACAAAGCATATATGTATATATGTCCGAAGCGATCATAATTTACAGATGCAAATTTTATTTCAATTATTCGAAATCTTACACTACCTTCCGAAGGCACTTTTGCTAACATTAAACCCTTTTAAAATTGTATAATACAATTTGACATATATAAATGTTACGCATGTCTGTGATAGTAGATCGGACAGCGAAAACCTTGCTAAATACGTAGGAGCAAGCATGCTGAATTATCATATGAAAATGCAATACCTTTCCTGCAGTTTCCATATTTATCCATCGGGAAGTCAGGTTTGCAATAACATCGTGCAAGTCCATGCTCCATGGTACATAAACTGTTTTGTTGACACTTCTTCAATGAGCATGATGTCACAACTGTAAAAACACAGCATCATAAAGAAATATGACAGATAAATATTGACACCATAGGTTTTTTTCATCCCCGAACTAAAATAATTTTTTAGGGAATTTTTTATTGTATTTCTGGGGTATGATAGCGCTTGTCACAAAAAATATAACGGCTATATCACAACTACATCCAGTATAATGAAAATAAGACGAGATTCGTATTGTCGCACTATCCCAATTTCTATTTATCTGTTTACGTTTTAAGTGAGATCATAGACAAATACTTAGAGTGTGTAACAAATAGGTAATGTATACATATAGCTCCATGTGTTGGGCTATGAACAAATTTCAGCAAGCGAAGAGCAGCTTCACAATCAAATGCGAATTTATATAGCAGTTTTATACATTTGGTAGTCTTCTCATCATTATGAAATGTTAAAAACACTTTTTAAGCTCTTCTAAATTAAACTGCGTCTGCTCGGGACAGGAGCTGAGCCTATTTCAAGTCAACTTTAAAGATTAATCTGGTAAAAAAAATAGGAAGTTTTCGAAGTTATTAAAAATGTATAAGGTTGAAAATATACGTAGTTTTCAATCCATAATATTTTGAATACATTTCGACATCCCAAGTACCCGGTATCATAGTTACGCTAGGCTAGACACTGTCAAATTACTTAGGTACGACATTAGATTAAGAGAAGTATACTGGCTTATCTATCTTCATGGAGATCGAATGAATAACAATATTTACTCAGTCCCCTGTTTTTGTCATCTGGCATTGGCTTCGGCATTGGTTGAGAAATTGGCTTCGGCATTGGCCGTGGCACTGGCCTCGGCATTGGCTGTGGTGCTGGCTTCGGCATTGGTTTCGAAATTGGCTTTGGCATTTGCCGTGGCACTGGCCTCGGCATTGGTGCTGGCTTCGGCATTGGTTTCGAAATTGGCTTCGGCATTTGCCGTGGCACTGGCCTTGGCATTGGCTGTGGTGCTGGATTCGGCATTGGCTTTGGCATATCTGTTTCCGAAAGAATTGTATTGTAATTGTAACGAAAGAAAATATGGTATCAAAGTGTATTATGGTTGTTAGTTTTTATTGTACACATATTATTAGGGAATAATTTGAAATAAACAGCATACAAATTTTAAATATTGATAATAATGTTTCGTAACGGTAAACTCTCTCTATATATATATACCGTAATTTATCGTGACAGTGTATTGGGCGGTAAATTTTCACTAGCAAAGATTATATCTTCGTTTCGTAAATATGTGTTTGGTCTAGTTGATCTGGTTTCAGCTCCTTGGAGTTTGAATGACCTCGGGGGATTGGGCTAACAGCATATCTGGGAATCGTAACAAAGGAATTGTTGTTCCATAAGTCTCTATTTTATTTGCCATATTCTACTTTTTACATTACCGCATGCCCTACAATCGCGATAACGAGGAAATTTTAAATAAACCACCACATAAGTTTTCATTGGTGCAATTTATTCACAAATCATAATGACGAATCACATTTTTGTGTTGGCGCTTTGCAACGAATGACGCAAATGCTCGAGGCAATAACATAGTCGAGTGGTTGCATGGCTATTGCCGAACTTGTTTTTCATGGGATATTGAATTCCCGAATATGTTTAGACGCCTCGTGATAGGTCAGACAACAATCTAACACCGATATACATCAATAAATATATGCCTCACCGTCTCGTCTTTTTAATCGAGCGATTGAGCAGTATTGCTATAGTATAAAGGAAACTTGTGCAAATTACCAAATAATTCTCTAATACTCATCGCTTATGTGAAAGAAAAGTTGTTGGACTCAAAAAACGGCAGTCTCAACTCTCAATACTTGTGCAGGTCACATTTGCAAATTTTGATTTGAGTTTTTATTTTTAGGTTTTGACAAGAAAGGGAAATCGGATTAGTTCCAATGTCAAGTTGAATCGCGAAATTATCCCTTTTGTTTGGATCCATAGTACTGTTTCAACCAAAATTGTCAAAACAATATAGTAATCGGGAATGACTCAGTGAATGCGTAAATCAAATAATATATATAAGATCAGCTGATAGTACCTTAATTTTGAGTTATATAATACTTAAAACTGATTTTATGATACACAGTATTATTCTTCCACATATATGAGATCGAATCTAAAGCTATAGAGAAAATAAACCATAGATAAATAGAAAGCCCAAATTACCGAAACAAATTTTCTCGCTTGTTCTTGATTTAAATTCATGTTTTCTTATTTCTACTCCTGGACCTCCAACACCATCCCAGGCAAATATCAGAAAAATACATTTATCTAAGTTAATATCAGCTGTATCCTGTAAAAAAAAATAACAGAAATAGACATAAAACGAAATGAAAAAAAAAACTAAATTAGCGCTTATTTTCCTTCTTAAGAAATGATTTTGATTGAGTAGGGTATTATCAACCTTCTGTGAACGATCTGCAGTTAATATTCTGCTGAATCTTTATAATATGCAATGACGAATTCTTGAAATTTAGGCACAATACAATGATAATGAATTTACTATGATATGCAGGTGTCATGAAGTAACCACTTACAGTTGAAAGAATCGGTCTGATAAAGGAATATTTTAACATTCCATCTTGTGCAGAGAAGCTTGTCATTTCGACATTATTAATACTATCGACTGGAACTTGATCCGGGCTTTTGCCCATTAAAAAACGATCTGTTAGCATCGGAGCTCCCGACTGCGTAGCCCATCCCACTACTGCATCCGATCCCACCTAAAATACATATTTTTGTGCTAGTTATACAAATTGCACAATGTCAGCATTTAAATATTTTAGAATTATTGAGACACTGAATTTGAATACATGTTACAACATGTTCTCGAATTTATCGTGTCCAACCTTTTTGTTCCAATACACTGAGTTAGGGTAGATCTTAAACACTGTGAGTAAATGGTCAGTGTAAGCATATGATATGAATTCATGCTGTGTTCATGAATTCATGCGATTTATCAAATTTTATGTTGAGCATTTCATATCATCTCATTGCATGGTGATAACCGTAAAATTTAACAGATAGAATAGAGAATAGCAATATGGTAATAGTTAAGATATACTGCCGGCTTGCCCGACTTTTTTCGTCTCGCGGGCCACTTTCATGTGACGAAATTCGTTGCGGGCCGCAAACGTTTGTACCAAACATTAATACCAGCTAAGTCCTGATTTCGGCGTAGGTAATTTACATAATACATAAAAGGCAAGTTTATTAAGATAAAATCAATCAATTTAATAATTGCATCACGTCGACATTGAGGGGTATATTTGCGTTATAGTGTTTCTAACTTTCTATTCATTCATTTTCAGTATCTATGATACTGCCTCGGTGTTTAAATGAGCATAATGTGCGCCAATGTCGCGGGAATATCAAGTTATGTGGGCCGTTTCGTAAAATTTGAAACACCAATACAAGTATTTGTTGAAGTAACATTACAAAGATTTCTGGACTAATAGCCTATATATACTGATTTGTGACCAATATGCAGCAATGCAACTAAGTCAATTTCATCAGAATTATTAACGGATACGCATTTGGCATGGCCGGCATTCGAATGTAGATAGATGGCAGGAATAATCACACCAAAATCACGAAACATACTTAATTAAGCATATATATTGAAATATAACATGGTGAAAACATGAAAAAGTCTGCTTACAAACTTATAGGCGGGCCGCATGCGGCCCGTGGGTTGGGCAGCCTTGATATACTGTGTATTAGCAACGGTAATAGATAGGGCTAAGCATTTCGAATCGAATAGTAAAATTACTCAAATTGGTTCTGACGGAGATCTGGAATCGACGCTTTTTTGGTTCGCCAAAGGTCAATGTGAATCCGTCAATATTTTTTTTTGAGGCCATATTTTTAAAATGCAATTCTGACATATGACTCTTTTCTTTCCATAGGAGGTTATTGATGAAACATGTTACTTATTGTGTTTGAAAATGCTGCGAACTTTTTGAGTGATGAATACTATGTTTCTAGTATTTTATGTGTCTGGGGGACTCATTACAATAAAAAGTCACATACAGTTACATATAATACAGCATTCGAGATTCGATTCGAAAAAAATATTGGAAAATTTAACCAAAATAATTTACCATTAACCCTTCTCTTGAAAATCCGATACCAGCCCATCGGCCAATAGATACTTTTGCACTGACGGAGAATTCTACAGCTTCTTCTGAGAGAATTTTCCAAGCAGCACGATAAGTGCAATCCTCGGGATTGCAAACGCTCGGAACGGAAAATTCTGAATACAAACGAAAGATATATAGGTCAGGGATGGCGAACCACTGATATGCGGGTCACAAAATGACTCACCGTGTTTTATTCGTGACCCGCCCTGCCACGAAAGAAATTAAAAAACATTTTTTACACATCAGTGAAAAAATTGATAAAACCGGCCTTAAAGTAATCTAACATTGACTAAACTATTATAATGTACTGCCAGTTGAGCAGTCAGGGCTGCGATCAAAACCCCTAATCTTGGACGCATATCTGCACCGCTGTGTACCGTTATTCAGCTATTGGCTCTGACATCGTTTATGACATAACAATGCAATTGATCTGTTCATTTCTCGCAACACCTGTCTCTTTCGGAAGTGCAACTGCAGACTGTTTTAGGAGTTATATATACTAGAACTAGACAATACTTTGCATTTTATTAGTTTCTCGACTACAATGCCAATGAGAAAACAAAATTTTTCAGACTTGAAATAAAACCTACAAATGTGAAATAACCGTGGGGCAGTGTAAAGTGCCGTAATATGGTTAAAGGCTGATCGAATCCCCAAACTCTTCGGAACCATGAAATAATTTGCACCCTCAACCTGAACGTTTTTGGTAATCCATATGCTTGTTTTCGTACTCTAATTTCATAAAATCGAGTGCAATAAAAAGTCCCTGATAGAAGTGCTGCATAAGTAATGCCCAAAACTAGCCCAACACCAACAGAAGCCTATAAGATTTGCACCAGAAGTTTCTTATAGATACAAACACTGATTATATATCTGTGACCCACTCTCTCCTGTTCCGTGATAAAAACATAATTTTTGACCCATTCATTAAAAAGGTTTGCCATCCCTGATATAGAGAATGTTGCGCGGTGGCTTTGTATATAAAATTACCAAATCCAATATAATCCAAAGTCATATTCTAGCAGTAGAAACATTGTTTAGGCCCGTGCTATATACGACGTTTTACACCAACCGATCGTTTAAGACAGCTCTCTGAATAAATTAGCTCAAACGCAGTCATTGTCACGACGAGATTAATCCGGCCAACAATTTTTCGTTGATACATGAAAATAAGGTTACTGACGAAAAACCAACCTTGATCTTGTGCAGCGACGTGCTCCGCAGCCAGCATCAAACCCGCTATGATCAGCATATAAATATCCTTCATGGTTATTAAAGTGTAGTTGAATTTCAACTCTTACTGAAAATATGGAAATTTGAGATTGAAATTTTTGTAAAAGGAAATAATATATTAAGAAATGTTGCAAACCCCTAACTAGAATCTGTCTTATTTTGAGCTTTTATATCGAACTACTACCACGACGTGTTGACGCACGGTATTGCAGGGTTTTAATGACATAATCATTTTTTGTTTTTAATGCAGTAACCTTTTTGTTTTGCTCAAAGCTTCTTGTTTTTAAACCTGTTTTTTTTCTTCAAATAAAATTTACAATTTTGCTGCGACCAACGTTCAAAAAATAGATCGTATGCCGAACAATGATAAATTTCATACTTTTTAATCAGCCCGAATCTTCTTACTAAAAATGCAAGATGATACTTTTATCACCACTCTCCTGTTTCGTGTATGTATAATATCCCGCAACAACATGTTTTATATTGTTAATGAAATGGTAAAAACTTTTTCATTGCTCCAAATCGGTGATTAACCCGGGGCTATTCTAACCGACATTTTCGTATTGTATATCATAATGCAAGATTGCTAGTTGTGACTTCAGATCGAATCTCACTAAAATTGCAAGATGATACTTTTATCACCACTCTACTGTTTTTGTGTATGTGTAATATCCCGCAACAACATGTTTTATATTGGTAATGTGATGGTAAAAACATTTCTATTGCTTCAAATTTTTGTATTGTATATGATAAAGCAAGATTGCTAGTTGTGACTTATAAGCCGGTCAAAGTTTTGTGCGGATATATACGGGGATTTTCGCCTAAAAGCATTTATTAATAAATTCTTTTTGCGCAGCTTGCTTCCTGGAAGATAAACAACGAAGATGGATTTCCTTTGTTGATGCTTCAAATATTTTGTATCTTGCTTGTTATTGCGCATTAATGACACGGACTCAGTTATCCGCCTTATAAAAGGTTTAATTCAAATGGTTCTCAACCTTTTGTGGCCCACTTTTGTTGCATAAAAATTCTGTGGCCCACTACCTTTCACATGCAAGCGAAAAACCACAAGAAAAACAAGACTTCTGTTGCAAATATAAATACTTTTACCTCAATAAATAGAATGAAATGCAGCAGCATCATTCATTGTTACTACAATAAAAATTTGACTATAATAACACAAATAAAACTAAACTTTTCAATAATCATACTAATTTTCTAATAGGCTTGTGGCCCACTTGAAAATGCCTCTATGTCCCAGCAGTGAGCCATGGCCCACTGGTTCAGAAACTCTAATTTGAGTGTCGCTTCAGACGCTGCCGGCGTGTTCATTGGATCATAGAAAAAGACAACCTTGGTTCCCACTATTAAAAAAAAATTTCAATCATGGAAAGGGTAAACTGGAATTTAAAAGGCATCCATCCGTAAAAGGAACCCCTCGAAGTGTTTACAGAAACTGCCTTAACCTCGATCCAGAATACTTTGTAATTCAACAACATTGCAAGTGCTATTCAGCAGAATGCAGCGTCTCCGCTACGCTGCAAATTATCGCAAGTAAGATTTGCTGTCATGATATCATCTTGATCATAATATAACAATAATAACATGCCTTATATATCAAACATAAGCCGTTGCGTTCGGACAAAGACACCCCGTGTGTATTTTTCAGGAGTTTTTTACATAAGAATTCTTCCTAGATAAATAGCCTACTAGACAGAGTGGGGTCGTAACGTGATATACATCTAAAATATACATATAGCATCAACTAAATATACATATAGAGCCAACAAAATATGCGTAAACAGCCAATGTCATATGTATATAGGCTACTGCCAATTAGATATACATACACGGCCATTCTAGTAATATACGCATCCAATTCCGCATGTAAATATAGTCACTCAATATACACATAAACGCATGTGAAAGCGATGCACATACAATGACCATCATCTTACGCATATACAGGCAAATTAATATAAATATACCGCCAATCGAGTAATGTACATACATAGCCAAAGCAATATGCTTATATGGACTACGCAATATACTTATACAGCCGCTCAAGTAATGTACAGAATCCGCCAATGTCATATGTATCTATAGTCACCTCTGTTTACTTATGAAGGAATTTAAACGAGTCATATGTATATATTAAGTGTCATATGTATATACCACCAATTTAGTATACAAATGCAGCCATTCATGTAATGTAGGCTACATATTTAAGTGATGTAGGCTACAACACCGCCAATCCATTGCATATCCATACACTTACTGTAGCCTATATTATGCACCGATGCGGTTGTATCTACAAGTCGCAAGCTTGGAAGTCATATTGATATAATGAGTGCGTCATAAATGAATCTTAGTAACTCCAAAACTGCTTTTGATGGGAGTTTCTTACAATAAGTGTAAATTATATGTAATTAATTATTGTGATATCAGCATCACTACATGTTATTTGTGCGTAACGATGCGTAAAATTGCAGCCGCTCGCGGTTCATGAACACATAAAATAGGTTGCAGTCTATAATGCCATAAGATAAATTTCCACAACAGCTGATTGTGATAACCTGTGTAAATATGTTGCTGCCAATGACGACATTGAAATTTTTTGAGTGACTCATTCTCTGGCCATTGGCAGTAAACTGTCGACAAACTAGTCAAATTAAAGTTTGGTGCAAACTGTCTTTACTAACGTTACATATTGATTAATCAAAAAAGCATCGCCTGATTTTTTTTTTCATAGGATGAGGCCATGCTCGTTGCCAAATTGGGGTAGTGTGCTTACGCCCACAGAAACTCCCAAAAGGCTATTGATTGAAATATGAAAAACAACTTGTAACTAGCCTCTAAAGTAGGTGTAATAAAATGCCATGATAGGAGCATCATTCAGCGATTAGGCTTCACATGTTTATTGCACATAATAAGTTGCTGGTGCACGTGCTTGAGAAATTAAATTAGGAAATTACTGTTACGCTATCAATTTGTTAAATAAAAAACGATTCAACTGAAAAGGTCATTTATTATGCAAAGACCATTGTAACAAAACAAAAAATGGAAATGCCATTAACATGAGAATAACACGGTAGTAATGCTGAAATAGGATATATATACAACAATTCTTAGCATCCATATATTATGATTTTATTGTTTCGTTAATGGACACGTTAAAGTTTTTGTGGGGAAATAGACACTTTTTTTCTGCAACTGATGAACCGATAAATTTACTCGAAATTTAGAGTACTCGAAAATAGGCGAAGTTGCTGGAAAGCTGAAATTTTCATTTTAACAAATTGTATTTGAGACCCATGTGGAGTCAGCTATTTCATCTAAATTCTGATTTTGAAGAACACTTTTATATGATACGAAAGAAATAGTCATTCTACCACGCATGTCCGTCGATCTTCATTAACGAACTATTGCCTAAAATAAGGCATACATTTTTTAAATGTAATACCCACTGTTTACTCTCAGTTTTTTATTTTTCACGTCCAAAATTAAAATAAATAATGCGTACGAGGTTTATAATGATTCCGTAGATGTGCTCTGCGCTCGAAACGTATGAAATTGATTAAATGAAAAAAATTTCAATTAGATTAAGTTTGTGGAAAGTTATTGCCAATAGCCAACAGAGGAAGGTAGGACACGGTGGAACATGGGGTGGAAAATCAGCTCTCGCACTCATACATATATAATACACTGTTATTTTGATCACTCAAAGCCCGCATTTGATGTTTATGGCCTTTTTAACAAAAAAACTGTCATTGCCGAAAATGGAAGTTACAGAATTCATTTTCAGTTATAACTAGGCATAATCCAAAAGTAAAACAATAAATTTATTTCAGATGTAATCATAAGAATCTAAAATATCCATCTAGAAATTATATAATGACTCTTAAGATACGCATTCCTTCAAAGTGGTTTTACGTTGCCAATGCGGAAAATATGTTTGGGAAATTTTTGAAAAAAGATCTGGAATATTTCAGCTGAACATTAATTTCAAAATTACTCAACCTCCAAATTTGAAGTCTCACAGGTCGTTAGCTGGTGATGCTGACTCGTTGCTAATTTTTAACGGCATATTTCGTTGAATTCAATAGGATGCCATATTGTGTACCAGGGTGACACACCAACGCAGTCGGACTGAAGAGAGATCCAAGAATAGTTCACTGAAGAAAATTATCCGGCAGCACATTTCTCATGTTATCCACGATGAGCTGTTGTATGATATTATGACATCATAGATTGGTACCTATTGTACTTTTATCAAGAACTACGCGCACTGGCAATTTTATTGTGTATGTATGCAAACCATATGCATAGGCTTACAGGTGAATGATGCTAATATCATGATATTTTATTACATCTACTCTACGCTTGTTACAATTCATCTTTCCTATTTAAACCAAACGCTGATTTCGAGTTTCTGTAAGAGTGACGAGTGTAGTAGCCTTATGCTACCAAATAGTATGGCGATGTGTTTTGCTATCGACTGGTTAAAAAAAATTCGCGTTATTGGCTAGGTCTTATTTTAAGGGAATGACTTGTATTAAAATCATTTTTAAAATTCAGGCTAGGTCTTATTTCCGGAGAAAAACACGGTACGCACACTGGCAGTTTTATGTCTAATTGTGCGCAATCAACATGTAATCAACGCAATGGCTGTATTTGTATATTGAGTTGGCTATATATGCATATATATGACCTTGGCAGTGTATGTATATTTGGTTTGCTATATATGTATATAAGTTGGCGGTATATGCATATTCTTGGTAGTATATGCATGACACGTTACCAACCCTATCGACACGACACATTCTCTGTAATATTTCTGGATGGAGCATATTCTATTTGGAACAATGAATACATTTTAGGGTATAGATAATTTGGCTTCATAAATCGCATGTTTAGTTATGTGGATCAGTTGAAAATATGGAAAAACCATTTTGCGTGATATAATTCTTTTGATCTTATAGTTTCTCCGTGATTGTGGGTGTGTGTGTGCGTTCTTTGAAAAATTTATTACTTTTGGGTGAGCGAACACCTACTTCTTTTAACAAAACCTATCAATCTAAAATCAGTAAGTTTGAAACATTACTTAAAGTTTTGGTTGCTGTTTTGTTTGCTGTCCCGATTCCATTTATATTAGGAATCCCTAAAGAATATGTCATGAGCTTATCGAAGTAAGAGCATAATTTCGATTCTGCTACAAATTTTGTTCTATTTTAATATCATAATAAAGAATGAAAACTCGTGCATATTTGATATCGCATACGCTTCGTCTCCCCGTGCAATTACACTGCTATTTGTTTTTTCGAATTCGTGGAAGCATGTGCTCAATTAATGATTGAACAATACTTTGGAATAAATAATCAAATGTCGACAGCAGTAAAAATTTACTTGCAACTACTGGTAAAAATGGTTTCACTGAGCTGTGATTCACGTATTATAGCCATGACCATATGAGAAGAATTTTCGATACCTGGCCAAAGATCAGCAACGTATCTTTGGCTTCATTTAACACTTCATGCGTCAACTTTGACCCTTATAAATAATGCAATGTATTTTTATTAGGATCTGTGAATTTTAGGATAATCATTAGGAGTTCGGCTACTGTCTTCAATTTATTATCTTGTGTTGAATTGACCATGCATTTGATATAAAGTAAAATACCGACAGTCAACTGTAGATGGACTAATGACAAAGAGAAAGGTTCAGCCGCAATTTTATAGAGATAGTTCTCGTTGCCCTTGAACATTAAATAAAGTCAAAGAAATCAATATTATATTTTGTTTTTGCTGAAGTTTTGTGTATCGTAAAGCTTTGAAATATTGACTTTAATTGTAGAAATTCTTGATATTGTTTTTAAAAAAATTACTCACTTATGATAAGACTTCACATTGCTTATAGGCAAAACTTGTTTGTCTACTGCGAACTGGAGTAGTTTCATTCTAAGAAGTTGATGTTTTATTTATATAATCAATGCCATAACTGCACCACGAAACCTTCGTCTTATTTTGATTCTTTTTGTTCATATCCAAGAAAACGATATATATATATATATATATATATATGTTGTAATCTCAACAGTGTGGTTTTCATTCTGAGTTTCTCAGAAATATATATAATAATATATTATGTATGAGATTTTCGTCAAAAAGGAGTTGTATTATAGATACAAATGATATGTTTTCTAGTTTCATCGACTTGAGGCCGTCAAAAGTTCTAAAGAATTTATTTTATCACGCCTAGACTATAGTCAATATATATACGATGAATTTTTAAAATGAATTTTATCCAAAACAGATCCTTGATCACATGCCCATAAATTATTCAGGCCAGGTAATGAAGATGTTCTGATAAACCGATTTTTTGACCTAAATATTAGAGTGCATTAATCTTACTTTACCAGTATCAGTATTCCTTTTTTCGCCACACTGAAAATACACTTTGTACGAACATTAGATACGAACCAATAATGGTTATGGATCAGCGGCTCCCGTGATTAAATCCGGCAACAGATACAGAAGTAGAAAGCAAAAAGTCGATCAGATATTAAATAGTTACCAAGCATTGCTAATGTTTTTCAACGCTTACGATTAACGTAAAAAATAGCCGTTTCAAACTTATTTGGTACGATATAGAACATACTATTAATATTTATTTTTATGAATGTTTATCGCAAAACTAGGATCTGTAACGTCAGCGGCTATTGATACGCAAAGTGCAACTGAGGTTGGAAGAACCAGAATCTTGCCGATAAGCACAGCATTTATGCAGAGCCAGAAATATTTTACTTGCTCATTTCTTTAACAGATATTTAAAATGTCCTAATTTATAAATAATGTGGGTTGTAATATGTCCACTAAGATTGTATCAAGTTTTTAGAACAAAGTATAACATTAATGCTGACACAATCGAAGATACCATCACCCGCAACCTGCCATGAATTCATGAATCATTTATATTGAGTAAAATATATTCTTCAAGACTGTTAAATTTTTAACGAAGCAATTTGCTATGACTAGTAACAGGATATTATGTTTCCGAGAGTTACAACTTTAATCCCAATATTACTCATATATGATTTTCCTACATTGATACTCTCTGCTTGTGTGACATAGTGCTGTTTATAGTCGGTTGACAATGTTTAAAATTGTTGAAAAATTATTATTATTGAATTTACAGCTAGAGTTAGATGATGTATTCCTACGTTTTAATATTCGAGACCTTTATTTTGAATTTTGAATTTGTGTAATATTTACTTTGAACACCGAGGTTCATCAAGATGTCAAGAAATGACTCGACAGGTGCGCATAGTAGGCCTTGCCAACAGCAGACAACGCGAACTATTTATATTTGGGATTTAGATGAAACACTTATAATATATCAGACACTTCTGGATAATAGCTTTGCAACCAAGTTTAACAAGGTCTGTGTAATAATTAAATCTTTAAAATAAAAATTTGGCAGTAATGTAGTGTAAGATTAGGATACCTTTTACACTGAAAATACAAATCTGAAAACTTGGAAACTTTTGTTTGTTAGCATTCTTCAGCATTTCACAAAAAACATTCAACAACGAACAACAATATCATTAACCAACATTTCAACTGTTTTTAATTTAACAGAATGGGAAGGTCGCAGAATTGCTTGGCTTACGAATGGAAAAGTTGATTTTCAAAGTATCTGAAGAATATTTTTTATTTAATGAACTCGAGGTATGTATTACTTAGTCGGCTTCAGTACGGCATCAAACATTGCTCGCGATTTATCAGAAATGTTTGAAGAGTATTTGAATTCTGAATTTGGTTCTCCGAGATCCTCACCAGTGGAATAAAAATAAAAAACCAAAAACTATGTGTTTTTATAAATTATACAGACTGATATTAACTTGATATGAGTAAAAATTGGTATTCTTATCAAGAGCTTCGTCACAAAGAAGAAACGAATTAAAATATAAATAAGCAGAGATATCTTAGTAGCCTGATAAACAACACTTATTTATGGGTAATTAATGTAGAAAAAGATGGTCATTAATAAACACGAATCGATGAGCGCGAAAAAGGACATCGTCCTAGTATGCAAATTACCTGATTCACGAATTCCAGTAAGTTGATCAAATGACATCAATGAAAGCATTGAAATATGTGACCAGAAATTCATACTGAACAATGAATAAAATTTTTGAGATAATAAAACGTAAAGCCAACTCGATCAGCAATATGATTGCAGAGCACCAAATTGAAATTGATTGTGAACAAAACAGAAATGTATTACAGGGTGACAATGTTGCGCACGTTTCTCTAACTAGCAAACACGACCATGAAGCGAATGTATCAAATATTGGGAAACATTATGCGGACGTGGAAAAAACGTATGACAAGTACCGCAATAACATGAAATCACTGCTACAAAAAAGCGATCACAGATCTTGGTCAAAACTTCTGACATACATGGATATACTCACAGAAAGTTGGCGACATTTGGCAATAAAATCTTTGGCATTGATACATGAAAGGTAATGTATTGGTTGAATTACTGTCAATGAATCAAATCTGATTTTTACATGGCAGCCCAATAGAATAGCCCATGTGATTGCCATGGGGTTTATATATTCATTCATATTCATAAATTGGTGCTCCAGAAGTATGCGCACCAAGATGTCTCACAACCTGAATCCTAGACTGTACACACATACTATGTTCAGGTTGTGCGCCATCTTGGTGCGCATACTTCTGGAGGTCCCATAAATTTCCTTTATCATACTATAAAAAAAATCGATCAGATACTCATATAATTTTTAATAAACGAGACGAATATTGGCAAAAATAACACTCGCAGTTTCTTAAACATATAAATATTGTGATTTCAAGTTTGAACTAACGACCAATTTTACCTGCCACCATGTTTTTTAGATCATATGGAATTAATATTCTCGTGACTACGACGCAATTGGTTCCAACGCTTGCAAAATTGATGCTTTATGGATTGGCAAAATATTTCCCAATTGATCATGTATACTCTGCAACAGATATTGGTAAAAGACGATGTTTTGAAAAAATTGTGAATGCTTTTGGAAAAGATGCTGAATACGTTGTAATTGGTGATAGAATTCATGATAAACAAGCAGCAGAAGAGGTATTTCATGATGAATTTTGCATGTTTCTCATCACATGGTTCCAAATAAACAGTTCTCAGTTATGTTTTTATTATAACCAACACCATGTTATATGTGATACGGCAATTAACCACAATATGTATGTATATACTTTGTTCTTCTGTCAAGTGGTTTTTTCTGTCAATCAGAGGCCACATGCCTCTCTCAACAGCTGTTATTCAGCCTACAAACTCAATTGTTGTGATTCAGAATATCAATACCAAATTGTTTGACACACACATGTACATGTATACGAGTAAGTTGTCCAATTAAATCACATTGTTCTACTAAGTGTAAGAGCGATAAAGAATATTTACATTTTGATTCCATGGCATGCTTTTCACTAAAAAGTAAAGCACGATAAAACTCGCAGATAATTGGTTATATTTGGCCTCGTGCCTTTTAAAAAACGTGATTAGAAAAGTCATCTTCCTACATATTTCGACAGCAATCTCTATCATAACTAGTCTGTTGAATTATTCTATTGTAACAACTCAGCTGAAACATGCAACACACTTTTTATCAGATGCACTTCAAATTTTGGAAAGTACAAGGACATCGTGATTTAATGAACATACATCGACGGATCATACATGAAAAAGGAAACAGCGAGCGAGGGAGGAGCTCATAACAGATGAAATACAACATATCATACTGTTTTTTTTTTTATATTTCGAAATAATAAAGTTATTGGGGTGCTTCAATAAAATGGAAGTGTTTTGTTAGTACTTTATTTTTTTCTAACTTGTGCTTGATGGCTGCCACGGAAAGATATTTTGCCCTTTATGACGTGACAGTTGATATGACATTCGGCGTAACGCGGAACAAACTGTTGTTGTTGTTTTTTTCATTGGGGCTGATGATGTTGTACATCGCTTTTTTCCTGCAATCGACGGACAAATAAATTTTGAATGTTCAATACTTAAAGATAGATGAGGTTGCTAGAAAGCTATTTTATCGAATCAAGTCCTACGGGGCCAGATATTTCATCTAAAATTTTGCTGTTTTTTCAATTCACATGTACATCGTCATAAGAAATTCGGTATAACTCCACTCCACTCTATATGACATTCGGTACAATTCATTTAACATTTGGATGGAATTTTTGTGACACTGCGGTCGCCGTATCAGTTATTTGTCCGCTGTGTCTATACATTTGAGCATTGCTAGGCCTGAAACAGAGTCTTAAAAATATATGTTCATAAAATTAATGGACTTCCGACTATTGGCCGAACAACGTAACAGGTAAAAATTGTCTAAGACGTTGTGTTGTGTAAAAAGTGAAGCTATGATAATTCTTTGTGGATCAGGCTTATACTGACTCTGAAGAAATAATAGCATTCAAATCGCCCAGTGTGAAAACAAACGAAACATATTAGAAGTTAGAACCTAGTAGGACAAGAATAATTATAAATATGATTTGCAAGTCACTCACTTTATTTTTCGTTGTAGCAATCTTAGCGTTTGCTAGTTACTATCGTAGCTCGAGGCAAATATATTTCGACGTCTTCGAATGCGCGTATTAACAACAACAGTTTTTATTGAAGGAATATTGTGTTCGAGTGGAAAGATAAATGAAAAATTACTCGGTGAACGGTGGACAGGGCCGTAGCCACAGTGCCCAGGTACAGCCCAGATAAGAGAAAGATCTTCAGTAATTCGTCTGTAATATTATGAGTTTTGCGAGATGTAAATCACTCGACCAGTAATGGAGTGAACTATAGGGTATACATATACATATATGTTACAAAGATCATTTTAACTTAGAAATACAGATGAACCGCTACGCAGTGACAATATATATAAATGAATAGAAATCGAATGTTACATTTGATACTATGATCCGACACTTTTGATTTTATGGTCACCTCCCCATTGCAATTTCATGTAGTCCACTGCGTTCTTCAATTTTAAAAATATGCCAGTTTTACATGTATCGGTAGTGTTTATCGGTAGATTTCAAAGTTTCTCGTTTATTACTAATATGAAATTGACAGACCAATTCTGATGGGTCAACAGATAACTTATAAAAAAATATATCATGGCGCAAAATAACGCAATTTTTCAGAAATAATTTTATAACATATACCCTAATTTTGGGTAATGAATATTTTTCTTTATAAAATTTGTGTGTTTATTTATGTCGCCGTTACGTTGTCTTGGTGTCAGTATGAGACCATTAAATGCAAGATAAAGTCAGGATTTCACATCACAGCTTGCGAAAACTATGACACTGTTGAAGCACCAGAATTCCCACTGACATGTCAACAGATGAGTGTGGGGAGCTTATTATCTATTGTTTCAGGAAATCGGCGACAGATAAATTCATTGCGGAAAGGTATGCTGAATGAATTATTATTACAACATAAAAATATTTATGTTGATGTTAGTGCATTATAGCAAAACATGCATGTATATCATGACCCTCATCAGTGTGAATGTATCTCACGAAAATGCCGAAAAAGACTAAGCACTGGTGTTTTTGAATTTCAGTGAAACTGAAAAAGAAAACGACTAAAATCGTGCATAGTCCAGCATGCGGAATATTAAGACTCCGGTGAAGATGCTAATTCTCACTGAATAAGGTTTTGTTACATTTTGTTTGTGTTTTAGATATGCACAACGTGAAATCAAAGAACACGTTTCAATCAGAAAAACTGAATGAACTGGAAGGTCAAGTAGAAAATTTGAAACAAGGTAAGGAATTTCGGAGTTTATTGTATTAGGAGTATTAATTTGATTCATTTCTCGGCCTTTGCGGATAAAATATCTTCATACAAAATAGCCACATGTCATATAATATTTGGTTTGCTGCTAGGCTAGCATTTTTGGAATGTAATCGACTGTTGTCATTCTTAAGTCACGTAATGTATTGTTAACATTCATCTCGCTGGTTTTATTTGTTTTATTTAAATCTGATAGTGTATATAATATATACATTTTATATAATATATATATACATTCATTCCGAAATCCGAATTATGTGTATTGAATTTTACACTATTGTTATTTTATTTAGCAAATGAGGACCTTAAAAGTGAGATGGATCTTATGACTCGGAAAGTAAATTCAATGTATGCAGGTATTATAATTGTTCGTATTGAGTGTTAAAATATGCGAGTAAAGAGTGCTATTTAACGAAGCATGCATTGGGAATTCAAACACCACATATCTTTCAGTGGAAATGTTTTAATCTTGCTCTCTCGAAAAAGAGAAAATATCTAATTTTGCGTATTTGCAATTATGCTGTCTTCATAATTGGCTTTTTTTTTTCAATCGATCCATGGTCTTGTATTATGCAGCCTAAAATATTTTTTTTTTTTTAGAAATTTTGCGACTATCTCGGGAGGGTAATAATTCAGGTAAGAAAACACCACCTGGTGCCATTAAGCAAGATGACAGTTTCATTAAAGGCAAGTATTAAATAAACTATAATTCCATTTCTGATTCTATTCGATCATGAAACAGACTGAGATTTGTTTCTAAACTCATAGTTGTTTCGGCACAAAAGATTATATTCTGTTTTTTGAATTAAAATGATACGATTTTTACTTTTCTTAGCCGGTAATTGTGATGTCGTAATCGGTGGAAATTGTTATCTAATTTTTATCCGAAATACCTTGGACTTGACGTTTTCTGAAGCTGTTGCAATTTGCAATGACCACAAATCCAGTGTTGCTCTGTTTCCTAACAACGATACCTACGACAAGATTGTAAAGTATTTGCGGACACAGCTGCCTGTTGGATGGCTGAATATTCTCGTGTGGACGGGGCTGGAGATAGATGCAAAGGTGATGCCAGTTTCAAATTTTAAGAATTGTCAAATCATCATGCTTTAATTTCTTTTAGTACAGATGGCTCGGTTTTGCCTTGGTATTACCCATTTCCGGTACACGTGACATATTTATGCGGTAAAATCGTGTTTTACTGACAGACTTTCTCAATTTAGCCCCTAATATAATGGAAGCCGCCGAATTAATCATTATATATATATATATAGGACCTTTTGCAAGCCATGCAATTTCAAACATATAGTACACATTTCCCAGGTATTCTTTACCCCTGGTCGCAGTTTTCACAGACAACCAATCTGTTCAAATTTTTATTTCATCAGACCGGTAACGCCAAAAACGAGCTTACGTCATTCGCTATTTGGAAACCGGATGCATTGCATACAGGACCTTCACATTTGAACTATACGAATGTTTATCTTGAAGTTTCACAATTACCAACTCACTCTGATCAAGGCATGGGTAATTTTTTGCCATCTAGTCCAATGCACGGCGTCGTTTGTCAGAGGACGTCATAACTTCATGTACACTTATGCTGAATGTAAAAAATATAAATTCGTACTTAGTTGAATGTGGGAAAGTTGCCGATAATATTATAGCATAGGTGATGCTTCAATTTTGAAAGCAACTGTGGGATGAAACTCTAATGTTTGCATGCGAAATATTTCCCAGCCAAAATATTATTGACTACCAAGTAGTTTGCATGCTGATAAATAATGAATATCGATTTTTTTATCACGCGTATAATATGAAGAAAGCATTACACTTGCCACTTCCTGACACTGTACAACTTCAATTTAATCTGTTATCAATCATGCAGCGTGGCCCTAAGCTACGCCAAGTCTACCATATGTCAATATCAACTGTATTTCAAGCTATAGGCATGTGGTCGCAAATGTTTATGATTGCTGATGCACATATCCCAAACAACTAAAACAATGTTTTCCGAACTTTTACTTTTATATTACCCAGACTTACTGTACTGGAATCAGAATGCCGCAGTGGCGGCGCGTCAATAGGGCCAACCGGGGCAATGCCCCGGTTGTTTTTTCGGTATAATAAAAAATATTCGAAAAATACCTCAATATCGGTTGCACAGACTGTCTACACTAGCCATATTCTCCCGACATGGTTCATTTTTCGCTCTCAAAGCCTTCGCCGAACGTCGACGGGGCGACGCCGATTTTGCCCCGGTTGCTTATTGTATATCGTATTCTCTCTTTTATTTTCCACTCGCCGCGTTTGTCTCGTTTGTTTTCTGTTTCTTTTACTAAATCATCGGGGCTAGCCCCGAAATTATGACGACACAATGCCGACGTTTCTTACAACAACGTGTTGACATATTCACGCATTCCTTCTCGTTCGTTGGTTGCTTGAAGAGTTGATAGTTTCCTCGCCTTCGTTTTTGTCGCTCGTTTCGCTATTTGAATCAGTTAGAGAGACCTTTAGTCCATTTGCTTTCGATTTTCCGGGCAAACAACGCAGCGTTTGATTTTGTCTGCAAAGGAATGCTGTGACATTCTGGTGAATCAAATAGGCGATCGTCTGCGCACTGAACACCTTGCCGCGTTCTCTTTGATGAACCCCAAAAATTTTTCAAAATTTGCACGTCAATTTCCCATCCATTTGTTGGCTACTGTCTCCAAATTTTACCCCATGATAAACGTGGGTAAATTGGAAAATGAATTGCGATGTATATACACCAATCAAACTTTTTTGAACATCACATCAACTTGCGCGCTCTATGGGTTCCTCATAGATAACACTCTAGTAACTACCTTTGCGGCGTCTGCAAAATTTCTGGACATCATTTTGACGACACCTATTTCTTCCGCCGACGCAGAGCGAACATTCAGCACGCTGAAGCGTATTAAAACGTATCTCAGAAACACAATGAAGCAAGATAGATTAAATTCCTTGGCTGTTTTATCCATTCACAGAGACGTTATTTCTGGGATGCATGACTTTAATCAGCGCGTTATTGAGCATTTTGCTTCCAAGAAACCGCGGCGTGTTGCATATATGTTCAAGCAGTAGAAGTCTAGCAGCATATATATCTATGAGTGAGCGACGCATGTCCTTATCTTTGCATTAACTTTCTTTTCTTCATAGAAACGTTTTAAACCTTATTTTAGGTTTTGTCTGCTTTCCCGAAGTTTCTGTTAATATGTCATTGTATTTATCTGGGTAAATATTGCCTTTCCTTTTGAAAGAGGTTTCAAAATAAACTATGTCTATATTTATTAATCCCTTGACTTGGACCGGTTTTAAAGACACTTTCTTATCGTTAAAAATTGTCGCTTTTGCTGATTGGTTGTTACCGATGGAATGGTTTTTATACTCATAAAATGATGGGAGAACTTACAGCGCTCATCCTGTCCCCGTAGATGGGGGTGACTTGGTCCCGCAGTAGCTTGCCCCGGTTGTCAAAATGACCACGCGCCGCCACTGCGAGAATGGTCCCGATGCACTGAAATCATGCCAGTCTACAGATATCATGTATATATATTACTCGATAACAGAAGCCTTGAGTAATTACCTTTGATTATGAAATGAAGCGCTTTATTTCCCAAAACAAAGCGTAGAGATGCACAGCCTTGCAATTATCTTCACTATATTTTTGTAGATGCACTCATTAAATGAAACGTCTTCTGCCATCATACATATTTTTTCGTAACTTTAAAAAATTATGTTTTCGTGTTCATTACAGTATTCTTTTTTCAAATCTGTAGTTGTTCTTTTTATGATTGTGTATAATCAAGTAAATGTTTAATGCTGAGATGTTCCTTCGCTATATTTGCTGCTGTAGTTGAGAAACCAGCTGTCACTGACTAGATGACCTTTCGAATGTTTCGCAGTCGTCCTCAACTGCTAAGAGTTTATGTCCAATTTGGTAATTCACTGAATGTTTGTTATTTTTTTTTCATATTGGTTTTTGCACGACAGAAATAAATATCTGATTCTGAATCACAATATTTTTTACCTACTTATAATTGATCAAAGACAACTTTGTTGCACTTGGGAAAACAAACTCGTTGATTTCAAATTCGAAGCATCTGATGTATGTGTGTAGTATGAAAGTATACGTCGCTTTCAGCAATTTAAGTATTTTGCTTCAAACTTTTTATATGCCTATAGTTCTCTCTTGGTAGACTTCACAAAATCAACAATAGCAGGGAAAATGCTAGGGTTACTTAAGATACCTCTGAGTTGAAAATCAATGACATAATCGCGGCATTTCATCTTAAGTATGTGTCTTCCATTTGATCATTTCTATATGCAAGACAGTTCATTAGAAAATTTTCTACCGTCTCTTGAACATTACAGAAATCGCAAAGTCCATTAATTATGGCATTCTGTTTTATGAAGGTGCTTATTTAAACGGCAATGTCCTGTCCGAAGTCGAAATAAAATTTTGTCCATTATTCTTGGTGACCAAGTGGAATTCTTTATGCTGTTTTGGTCCTCAATTGAGGGAAAATTGTCTTGTAATGAAACGCTTAGTCATGGTGTATAAAATGCTGATCCCATTTATTAGCGCAGAATTGTCGAATTAGTGAATTGACTTTGTTTTTAAATTGGGATAATCTTTTGTCCACATCGACTTTCGCCGCTGATACCTTCGCTTTTTTGTCGGCGACTCCGTTACCCGGAATGCCAACATGTCCTGGAGGCCATAGTAATGTGATTTTGCATCCTTGTTCATGTAACTCAAAAAGCGGTCTGAATATATGAAGATATATTACTTATTTTATCCGAGTTATTATTTATAGCGTGGATAGCAGACATACAATCCGATACTTTATAGTTATTTTTTGACCATTTAAGGGCACTATAGATTGCAAAAACTTCGCAATAAAACGAGGAATAGTCTCTGTCTAGCCTAAAACCCATACGAGAATTATAATATGGAACATAAACCGCAGCACCGCATTTGTCACCAATTTTTGATCCATCCGTATAGATATGCACGTGTGATTGATAGGATTCATTTATATAATCTAAACTTATAGATTTTGTTTGGTCAGGCGTATACCAAGGTAAAAGTATATTCGATAATGCATCGTCAATATTAATTTCGTCCAAATATCATGAATGAATTTTTTTGTCCAATTTTTCAATATCCAAAGTCCTTGCAATCATACCAAATGTTGAAGAGTTGGGAAATATCTCATGCCAATGTTAGTTTTTAGCTTTATATAAGAGGCATAATTGTGGTCGTCGTATATTCAATGGAATCTCGTTACAACAAACTTGTAAAGCGTTTATAGGCGTACTCATCAGGTCACCTGCAGCGATGCAATGCTGGGTCGAACTAGAGATCTGTACAATGACAAAAGGAGGGATTTGTTAGCTCCCCAGCTAGTTCCAATAAGCAAACGCAGCAGAATAATCCGTTTACTACATTTTTGTACAACATATTCGATATGTCACTTGTAATTTAGGCGCTGTCGAAACAGACTCCGAGGTATCTTACTTCATTCCTGACTGGTAGTATTACTCCGTTTATGTGTAGTTGTATTGGTGGTAATTTCTCTTTCGAGTGAAGAGTACAACTATTGATTTTGTGACCGAGATCTTGAAAACCCCATTGGTTGCACCAGGACTGAATACAATCCAACGAGTTCTGAGAGGAAATGATTGAATCTCAAATTTTGTGCCCAATGTGCCATAGAGCGCTATCGTCTGCAAACAATCCAACATTATCTGATGGAATAGTACTAGACATATCGTTTATCATTATATTGAATAGCAGTGGACTGATTACGCTCCCTTGAGGAATTCTGTTTTCTAATGAGAAAATATTTGAAAGACGGCTGCCTACTCTAACAAGAAATGAACGATTCGTCAGAAAAGATGCAACGAAATGCCAAATTTTCCCGTGACAAGTTTTTGGTCCATTGAGGGCATTTTTACAGATTTAACATCACTTAGCGATTTATAATAGATGCATAGTAGCCTACAATGTGCGAATTGGACGTCGCAAGCTTTTATTTGTCGTCGGCATTTAAAATAGAAGATATCAGTCCTTATTACACATTTTGACCTCAATGCCCACGCCGGGCTGTCTAAGCTATTTATATGTACATGAGGAATCCGGGATTATGATTATTTCAACTAGCAGAATCCATGTCATTACACTCCCGAAGGCTATGTTATATAATGCAACCAATCTAACGATAGTCCTAGTATCAAATTTGGGAGAAACAAGGGCCAAAAGTTTTCAAAGCTTAAAATATTTTAAGGTATGTGGTAGGATGGGATTTGTGAAATACGATGGCTGCTCACAGGGAACGTTGCTAGTTTTTAAACTGGGAGCGGAAATCAGACGGTTTTTGAAACGGTACACATTCATCAACTTCGCCACTGAAATAGCATTGTTTGAGCTCCTAGCGTATTTTACTGACATCACGAAGCGGTTGAATAACTTCAAGGATCTGATACAAAATTGTTTTATTCATTTATTTGTGTGCGTGTTTCTTTATGAGGACCTTTAGGGTGCGGAGAAATATAACGAATTGAACGAAATTCAAATGCGTATTGGGCGGCTTTATAAATAAAATATATACAATACTGGAATCTAAAGGATAGTATAGGCAACTTTGCGGTGCTTGAAATCATTTCTGAATTTTACGACCACAGATATATATGCAACGGCAGGAATATTATTTGAGTGTGTTTATTATTCACCTACAAAAATAAAAATGTCCACCAAGTACGCTGTAGTTTTCGGTTTGGAGAAAGCGCATTCCACGCACAATACATCTTGCCTGAGACCTAATTCATGTTTACAATTTATTGTAGCTTATGCGATAATAGTGTGCAGGCTACTTTGTTTATTGTACGGTAACTCCATAATTTACTATAAAAACAGAGGGCACAACAAAAAGCCTTCAGTCTAGCCGACCGCAGAAGAGAACAGGAGATTCAGATGTTTATTTTCTCTGGCACGTAATATGGGTGGTCGGCGTCCAGACCCGGTCAAAACTGCCTAAATCAAAGGTCTAGTCTAGTAAATAGCATACAGAGAAACACAAAAATATATCACCACAATGCGATGCCGAATTTGCTCAGTGAGTACTTATCAATTTTGTGCTTGCTATAGAAGATTGTTTTAAGTAAAATATGACGCATTCCGATCAAAAAATACCGACTTGAAATTACCTTCAAGATTGAGAATGTTTGTAAGTTTCTCTATTTGACGGCAATATGCGGAAAAATCTCCCCCCCCCCCCCCCCCACCACTATTTTTGAATTCATATTCGTGTTTTATGCATTCCACCGCCGATTGATGTGTCGGTAACTGGTAAATGGTAAATCCATTCATTCTCAGCCAAACACCAAGTATGTTGACAAGATCGGTGGAGAGCCGCGGCGGTGGCCCGGAAACGAATTTCAAAAACAACAACAGGAATTTAGCCGAATAATAATATGTCCAAAAACAGACGAGGAAACGAGGATAACAATGAAATCCCACAAATATTACATATGCGCCATATTGCTATGGGACATTAAATCATAATTATGATTAAATATACAAGAACGATTCGCGGGTTCACTTCGTGTCGAAAAATCATGGGTCGGCGGTGTGGCGCATCGTGCTAAGCGTTAGAAATACGATCGCCACCGCACTTCTGAGTACCCAGCGTGGCTTCGCAGGTTCGAATCCCGTGGAGTATAATTTTCGTGCGAGAGGATTGCTGAACTCCCCGTCGACGTAAGATGGTTCACTTAACCTACGGCTTCGGTTACGGTTTCCCCAACCATCAATTCTATGCATCTAAAATAAATAACTGGCTAACTGATCCCATATCCGACATGGACTGGTAACTCGACGAGAAGTCGTAGTTCGTCATATGGTTACGGTTAAACCATATATTTACGGTTAAACCGCTTTTCCTTTTCCGCTGGATAAATATGTAAATCCTAGAATCCTAAAATAGATAAGAAATATACAGAAAAATCCTACAAGAATTTAATGCTATATTGCTCAGGGACATGAATAATACGATTATTATTATGCAATTATCGCTGCATATTTCTTGGATTTGATGTTTTTCTATAATTAATTTTGTTTACGAAAACCTTTAACATATGAAACTTGCTCCTAAATTTGTATAAATAAATCTGGAATGGCCATCCTAAGGTAAAAACATGCTTCGCCAATTTTCAGGTGAACACTTGTTTTTGCCGTATTGCGTAAAATTACCGACGGCTTCACATTCGGATCAACGGGACTTCGCGTATGCCAAGGGCCGGCAACCAACTTGCCTAATGTAAAACAGGTTCATGGACGCCATCTTGTGCCATATTGGGAAAACGCGAAACAATGGAGTCTTATGGGAAATTTGCGTCGTGTTGTTGTACCGAATCCAATAAGTCAGCTGTTATAAGGGCTAGAATAAAGCCGAAGGGTGGATTTTGAACTTTAAGCTATATGCTACTTAAATATATAACGCAATTAAAAATAAAAAACTATCTAATGCGTTAAATTTGGCCACAAACACAACGTAGAACCATTTTTGGTCATCTTTTTGGAAACTTTTAGAGTGATACGCCGATGTGACGGAGTATAATGCCACCGCAACAATCCTACAATGTCATTTGGTCTTCTAGCGCAGCTCGGAGCTGAGCAGGCGGGCATTATGGAGCTTGACAGGCGAGAAAATGTTGACCCGAAAATGGAAACGGCCATTGAAGCGAATTTGAGTCCCGAGGTAATTTCGACGAATAAATACAACTGTCCATCTGTGACATCACAAAGAACGCTATTGTCAAATGGTCAATTATGATGATGAGAATGGCCAACTTACTTCGGAAGCAACTCGAAACCGGCATACTTGTATTTAAAGACAATTTAATGTACTATAAATGCAATTTGGCAAACATGAAAGTATATCATCATGTTCGCCTAAGCTTCTACTTCAAAATGCGACCTTCAAAATCTTTCTATCTAAAATATTAATGAAAATATTAGGTATGTTTCAATAATTGTGTGAGAACTTCCCATAAGGCGCCGTGTTATATGGCCGAGAACAATAGGCACAAGATGGCGTCCATTGTCAGAGCGTTGCCTCGCTTGTATTATATATACGCTTTGGCGTATGCCAGCAAAGTCTGAAAGTGAATAACCGCTTTTGGTCGCGAACGAATACCAGAATACTGGAGCAAGACGTTGAGGGCTGAGGCTGTTGCGGCAAACGTTGAAAAATTACGATTGCGCTATTTTCATGTCTGTATCAGTCTAGCTGTGCCAAACTGCGTTATCGTGTTTACTCATCTGAATTCTGAGAAACAAGCAACCTGATCAGCTTTCTTGTTTTCCGTAATGTTAATACGTTAAAAAATCACTGCATCGAATAATCAGATGATGGACAAGGTTCAGAGTTTGCTCGTAACAAGTGATGTAAGACTTTCAGACTTTATTTCTGTATTTAGGCCTACTGCAAATTTGTTAAATAAGAAAATAAATTTTTACATCAATTTGTCAATCATTCCAGCATTCAGTTGGAAGTGGACTTCTTCAGCGTCTTTTTGTGGCAGTGTGGTCTTGTCTTTCAGTCTTTAAACCAGTTTCAGATCTTGTAAAACCTAAAATTAATTCTATTAGGCTACGTTAGATAGACTACAACTGATAAATGACGATAAATGATGAGTTTGTATTTTTACAAAAACATTACTGCATTATTTTTTTTTCTGCTGTACCGGGTACTTCATTCATAGATTAGTCAGGTTGGCCGAGCTATGAGATTTTCGAACATCGGCATTTTAACGTTTTCTGTTCATTACGGCACGCTTTACAGATCGAACGACATTGTCTCGTTTCAGAGAGTCCCATTTGGCCGATAAACAGACACCCCTCTTTTCGGGGAAGTCTGGACATTGTTGTCTCTCAATATTGGTAAAAATACAGTAAAAAGTTGCACAATCTGACAATACTGCAATAAACTAAAAAGAAGCGCAATCTTAAAACGTCGTCATTGAATTTCCTCAGGGAAAAAATAATCCGATTTACCTAAGTAAAAAATTTTTTAGTGTGGCATTCAAGAGTTTTTAGCAGAAACAGCAATTTTGATCACATGACGGCCATGATTGGTTTAGATTATTATCAAGACAAGCATGGCGCGATATGACGCATCTGCCATCGTGTAAGACATCCCTCGTTTGCAAGACACATGTAGTGTTTGGTATTTTGAACCAAATGATGGGACATTATTGGAATGTGGAAACTGTGCCCTACTGCTGTTTGATATGGTTATCAAGTGGGCATAGAAGTCTATCCGTCAGTCGTTTGGTACTGCTCCAATTACAGAATTACTAAATTCCGTAATGAGGACAGTGAAACTGAAACACCAATACCTTGAAATATTTAAACTTCAGTTTTCAATTCCAGAGCAAAGAGAACAGTCTTCTGGATCTTTCTGGTCTTGGACCTCGTCGGAGTATTGTTAGAAGAATAGGAACCCAACTTCCTCTCGGTTGTGCTGCTAGACCCACGTGAGTGTTTATATTAATCCTCAGTACTGTAACATAATTCAATTTGATAATTTTCTTTTGCAATTTCAAGTTTGTTTTACTTTACTAATTGATTGTTACTATTGCACAAAGGTAAGAGATAAGTAACAAAGAAATAAATGCATAACTAGTTGCACAGGATGCGCATGGTTACTGGAAGAAGTCATAATCGACAAACATTTATGTGTCTCATTATGATCATATATTTGTAATCGATTAAACATTTCACCATCTTTTTTAAAATTGGTCTTTGCTAATTATTGAATATGAAATTAAAGGCACCCCAGAAGTGTGTGTACCCTATTTTACATCAGGTTGTGTAAAGGGACTGAAACCTATGGGCAGGGGGTATATCCACTTGGCTGACACAGACAGTCCCCAAACTTGTAATAGAACTAAAATAAGGGAAATCTGATTAAAATTATGGCCCAACCCTAACCTGGTACACACACTACGGGAGTACCAAATTAAATAGAGTATATTCCTTTTTCTGTTTTGCATCATTTTATTCCCATATTGTGACTAAACTTGAGGATTTTTGCTTATCAGCCTCAGCCATTTTCATCTTTTATTCTTGATTGTTCATATTATTGTTATTGTAATTCTTACTACCTGAAAGTTATTTTTGGTCATAAATATACCTAGTTCCTCATTTCTTTATAGTCAAGTCTCCTCGAGAATGATATTTGTGTGAAATGTATTTCTGAAAACATGTATTAAAATTTTTTGCAACACTATTTTAGCTTTGAACTTTTGCCCAATGGATCACATGTGATACGTGCATATGGAAAGAAAACGTCCATGTTTTCTCTTGCTGACGTCATACAACTTGATGAACCTTTACCAGAGAGGTAAATGACATAAAAATTTGTTGGAAAACTCAAAAGTGACCATTTCAAATCAAAGACTTCTATTTAAAGAATGTCAAAATTGACTAATAAAGCATAAGTTGATACCTGCTGTTTACAGTGTTTACATTTGTACATTTATCCATTGATTAGTTAGGATGGGCTTGGTTTTTAGTAATTGATTTATATTTTAGTAGATGATATTGGTCGGCTTTTATATCAATAGCTCTTGCTTATTCAAGAGATTCAAGAGAAACTAATCCTAATTCTATTGGGATTGGTTACAGGGTTGAGAGTATCAATTTACCTTCGTAATTTAATTAAGACTGTAAAACATACAAAAACTTTGATCATAATAATTTGTAAATATTATATTACTATTTTGTAACTGATGCATCTGTTGTGGATGCTGTTGTGGACTCCATTTCTATGACATATTTATTTATTAAATTGCATTTCTTTATCAGCATTGTACCAATTCGTGCTAGTGCCAGTGTACCAAATTTGAATGATACTGCTGTATCAGGTGAGTAAATTTGAAAATAATATTGCACAAATATGTTCGTTTTTTAGTTTTGATTTCAGGACGAATTATTTCCAAAATTGCCCTTTTTAGCCAATAAATAAATATCCTTGATGTTAGTGAAAATATAAAATTTTGAGTGCTGTTTACTAAACTAAAATATGTTGAAACAATGTACTTTTGAATTTTTACTATTTGAAGTTCATTTGGGGTTTCACAAATAGTGAATATACACTTTATTGCGCATTTAAATGATATATTGAATTAAAGTTCTTATTTATGGATAAGCTATACAAATAAATAATTCAAAAACAAATTTCATGAGGGAACAAACAAAAAGTCGACAATATTCCATCATAAGTTGTGCTCCAGAAGTATGCGTGCCAGTGCCAATACGGAGGTAACTAATTATATTATATACATATTGCAAGCAGATAATATAAAATTTTATTTCGATATTCTAGTACTTTGAGCTGTCAATGATAGCTTATATTGTAACCCCAATTATAGAGTGATCATTGTAGTCATGACACAAACCCGAGTGCTTCAACAGTAATAATTTTCATCGATAATTCAAAAGTTATAAACTGAACAAAATATCCATTCAGAAATCCCTATCACATCATCAGTATCTGCCACTTCAGTAACATCGGCATCTCAAGAACATATGGTTACAAAAATATCTGCTTTAGAAGATGAACTTGCATTTCTTCGAACACAAATTGCTGCTCTTGTAACAACACAACAACATCAAGCAAATGGTAAATGTTGTTTTCAATTTTTTTTTTAATTACATGCAATATATATGATATGGTAAATCTTTTACAATACATGGTATTCAAATGGAAATGTTCTCGCATCACGTATGAACATTGTACAAAGCTTTAATTGGAATTTGATTTTGCATTGCTTTGTCTGAGTCGTGTTTTATGAAGCTTTGGATTGCGTAAACGATGCCTGAGGTTGATTGTGTATATAAAATATTGTGTGCTTGAGATGCTTAAACCCCCTCTTCTCGTCCGTGGCTTACGAGCGGCACCATCTAGATGAGAAGTGGTCCATTGGGTTTTTGTTGTTTGATCTTCATTACCGAAACAATATGATTAATGATGGTAAAAATTCTATTTCTTGTCTTTTTAGGAGTTAAAGGCATATTTTTTATAGAAAATTGTTTCACATTTTTTTTTTTTAGTATCAAGCTTCAATGTCAGCATATCTAGTAATCTTGAAGCACCTACTTGCACATCCACACCATTGAAGGCACCACCTGCACCACCCGGCATCCCTCCTCCGCCTCCCCCACCTCCACCGCCTCCTCAGCTCACATCAGGAAATGAGAGAAAGAGCGTACAAGAGTTGATAAGAGAGAGAAAACATGGAAAGGTTCAATCAATTCAACATTATTATAATGATTTCGAATGGAGTTAAATATTGTTAACACAATAATGTCAGGCTCAAGTATCAATAATATGGTTTTGTAACAATGGAAGTTGGAAATTTATTGTGAAATAAATTATCATTATGTTCCAAAGTGAGTCTGGGTGATGGCAAAAGTTATAAATACATTCAGCTGAAGTCTTCGAGTTTCAGCTTGCTTTTAATAATCATGTGAAAAGGGCTGATTTTACGTAACTAAATCATGTAAGCTAGTTGATAAAAGAAATGGCTGCTTCATTAAAAAAAAAAAAACACGTAATGTAATGATTATGTCATACTTACTGTGTGAAAATATTGTACAAGACTTCATATGATTAAATTTGTATTCAGTCATCTAGTCCGACTGCAAAATCTTTTGAAAGATTGAAATCTTCAGTACCAGATATGGCTGATGTTTTAAAAGATCTTCATAAAGTCAAACTCAAGTCTGTTTCAAGGTATGTTTCAACTGTCCAAAGTATCATCCATAAATGTTCGAGATGTCAGTCAAATTTGCTATGCCAGAATTTTTTCTTTAAAAGCCTCTGTGTAGAATTTTCCATTTCTTATTGATTGCATCGACTTAATAAACTGCTTGGTAATCCTTGAAATATTTAATTACATCTGTAGTTTGCAACTGTAGTTGGTATTCGTTCATTTTATTCCCTTCATAGTGAGTCTGACTCCATAGGACTTTAGTTTGAGCAAACATTCATGAATAATTCGTGTTGTACTTCGAGTGTTGTCTTTGGTGGCAAATTAATAATATTGTTCATGCACTACTGTGAATTTTACCCAAATGTGTCCTAATTTTTATCCCATAGGTTTTTTATATTTTTTTGACGAGCTGGTAAATATTGTTTTTCATACTAGATCACCTGGTGGAACTCCATTCAACAAGAAAAAAGATGATTTAGAAGTGGTAGCTGGGGATCCAGCTTCATTGATTGCTGCAGCATTGAAGAAAAAATTTGCGCACAGAAAAAATTTTGATTCACCCAAGTCAGATGAAGTTGATGACTCATTTGAAACAAATAATTTAACACCAGTCAAAGGTTTTCCAAGTCCTAATCAAACTCCAAAAGTAAGTTCATCAGATTAATGATTTAGGCTTATTTAATGTAGTGAATTTCCATAACAATTCATAAAATATGGTTCTTTGTATATTAATACGATAGCCCAGGATTTCATCATGCTTGGTAAACATTACCCCGACAGTCAATGACGATGAACATGGGTTAGATTGTTAAATACGTTTTTCAGTTTGGTCAGCACCTTTTAAAAAGACGCAACACTTCACCAGCACCCACAACTACGCCTAAACCAGAGCTTCCAACTTTTTTAAAGAAAAGAAGAGATTTGGAAAATGTTAACCCACAATCTTGATCAGAATTTTATTATAGTTGTTCATGAATAACCGAGTTTATTTGCATGAATTGCTTTCGAATTTTTTCTGTTTTATTCTGCGTGCTATTGTACTTTTTATCTAAGTTCATTTATTGTATAATTCATCTGAACGATTTAAAATGGGAAAATACCAGACATATATTTCTGATTTCATGTTTGCCTAATCGGCTTTTTTCATGTACCTTTTTACTACGAACTACATGAGATAATTTTGGTGCTAATGGTTTATCATTTTTGTTGTCAGTGCTACACCCATGACACATGCTATTTGGTCTTTTATAACCATTCAAAATAATCGTACATTTTTGTGTCTGGTCTCAGTACTGCCTGTCATTACTTTCATTTTAGAATTTTATGCGATTTTACAATTTCTTGCCTTGCTATCTTCAGTTACTTTTTATTGGACTGAAATTGAATCTTCAAAACCAGAACCGGATTTAGTACAGTTTACTAACCTTATACTCACTCTTGCAGTGCTGGCAATATTTAAAAAAAAATTATCGATAGCTCTCATTTTTTTTATCAATGTTCCTCTTCCATCGCTTTAGTTTTTCTTTATTCTCTCGTACCTCTGCATTCCTTGTGCTATTCGTCTGTTGCTTTTATTGTCTCCATGAAAAGGATGAGCCAATTTACCGGCACTACTGAAATTGGCATGTGCATCGTATTCAGAATCAATTTACCTATTCCTAATGCTCATAAACCCCCATGTTATGCTATTGGGGCAAATCATTAGGGCAGTAAATGCGGCACAAAATAGAAAAAAAATACTTTAATCCTTGCCCATAGAATGATCTATGTCCAGTTTACAAGTCTGGCCCAGATTCAGGTCTCATTGCCTTGTGTTCCTGCATCAAACATGATGCCTATCAATTGAAACTTTTATGTCTGCTATATAGTTTTGATTTTATTCTGTCTGTGACATTTGAACTGTATACTCCGAACATGCAAATGAAAGTGTTTTGCTCTGAGATTAATGTTTGTGTAAGGATGTGTTATTGGCTTTTGTTTTGGCTTTGATGAAGTATGTGTGCAGCCAGCCCGCTTTTATTGAAATTAAGAAACTGAGAGGGACAAAGGCGCATGTTTCGTTGTAGAATCTAAGATATTGGTAACTTTTTTTTAAACCATTTGCTCTTTTAGTTGGGGCATAGTTATTTGGATCGCACATGGTCAATTTAGTAGTGGCGCGGCCTTCAGGGACCAGTTCACATATAGCCGACAAAACCATTCAAACGGGACATCGCGGATATAGCCAGGAACCCGGTATCTTGTAAGGATTGGTATAGGGAGAATACAGCGCCCTGGAACGTTCAGGTTTACAAAACATTGTAAAATAGTCAGTGCGACATCCAATGAATTCCAGTATAGTTTTATTCAAATTACAAATTTATCAGGTAACTTCCTTCACCAAGTTTGTTAGAAAACGTCGACATTATCGTTTTCATTGCCCCAGTTGGCCCTATTGACGCGCCGCCACTGGCAGCTTACAACGCGATTCACAAAGCTGCCACTTGCCGAGCAGCGAACAATTGAAAGGAAAATGCGGAGCAGACGCTAATGAATTTGTAAGAACGAGCAATTGAATATTAGGCAACTGGAGAGCAGTTTGAAAAAATTTAATATTGGGAGATACAAAAGCCTAATGAGTTTTGGTTCCAGCCTATCAGTTGATTAACGCAAAATTTATGCGTTTTCTGCAAGGACCCCTAATGATGACGACACGAGATCAATAACAAAAAGACACTATTTTGTGCCTGCAACTAATAGAAAGCCTATGTCAAATGAAGGTGCGGCCCGCGCTTTTCCTCAGTAATTGAAATTTGGCCCGCCTGCGAAAAAGGTTGAACAGCACACCCCTGCTTTAATTTGACCTTTCATAGAAAGGTTTGACCTAATGCATAAATTTCATAATTATTATTAATATTTTTGCGATGCTGAGATCTATTTTATATAACATAAATATATTATATTTCATAGACACAGAAAACTAAATTTGTTTGATCCTAAAATCAGATATTTTATCTGGTAACATTAGTTTCGGCATAACAAATTATGATCAAAACTTGTCGGCCAAAGAATTTGATCCTGGAATACTTCAGTTTTAATATAGCCAGGTTGAGAATCCATATCCGGTGACAAAAACTTAAAAAGAGGGAAAATTTGACCACGTATGAGAATATTGTCCACCCCGCTCGATATTTTTTCGAAATGGGATGAAGTGGATTGCATTTATGCAGGATAACACAGGTTCAACTCTTTTCCCGCTTTTATTTTGATGATATTATAAATGATTTGCCGTTTGCGTTTAATTTTTTCAACAATATTTACAGGTGATACTCTTCTATACTGAAATCTGCTTATCACGAATCACGATGCGTTACCGTACACCGGCGAGTCTAGGTTCGATTTTTTATATTGATGTGAAAATAAATATTTCTTTCTCTCTCATGCCGCAATATTTTCGAGAATTTGATCTGCTATTTCGACGACCAAACTGATAATACTGTGTGTTTGATTTGTGCGTTTTCATTTTAAAATAATTTCAAATTAGTTAAGAATAAATTTACAATCGATCTACAGTCTACGCTGAAACTTTTAATTGAAACCGTTTATGGCTGATCAGAACCGCTCGAAATAACCTGAAGTACAGTGAAGGGACGCCATCTGTCGATGGTTTGCTGGAAAGTATACAGGTGCAGGGGATTTAGTACGGTATTACTGTATTGATATCTCGTCAATCAGTGCTACAGTGGGGGAATATAGAAGAGTATCAACACATGTAAAGGCTTGTTTATCGATGTATATGTTTGTTTACGTTAACGTACATAATTTATGTCAATATTTAGGGAAGAGTGCAGTAATGCAAATCCTTGTGCTAATGACTAATGATGCTGTAATGTGCAGTGGTACCCCTACCCTACCCCTACCAAGTCCATGCTTCCGAAAACAAACAATACAGTAAAAACTAATCCCATACCCGACTTGGAATGGTAACCGGACGAGAGGCCGTGGTTCGCCATATGGATAAGCCGTCTTATCGACTTTCCTCTCCCCCGGGATAAATATATGTAAATCCTACCCAGATGTTGATTCTCTCTCCAAGTACCGGTATGCTAAGTACAAGAGTGCTGGTATGGTTGTTAACTAAATCACCATTTTAATGCACTGAATTCTCAGATGTTCAACATATTTATGCTGACAGATAATAATGTACTGGCATCATGCCTTTGCTCTGAACAAGGCTCTGTATGAACAGCCACAGATTTTTGGGTCTAGTGTATTTCAGTACCACATGTACTTGTAGCATAATCGCGGCGTAGCATAACTATTTTTGCATAGGGTGGTGTAGCCAGTCTGCGGACGATTTCATTCAAACCGCTACCGGTATAAAATAAAAACCAATATTTCTAACCCGATAATTTTTTCACCGTAGGTGCATTGGCATTTATTCTGCGCGCTAAACTTTGAATTAACTTTCTACGATCAGTGGTTAAAGCTATACAAGCCACCAAAGTACGACACTCGGGAGACGAATTTGCGACTGAACGACCGGCGTGCAACCACGGATTTCAAGCATTGAAAATCGATTCTGCTGCATCGAGACTAGATCATACGCAGCCATGCATGAAAAAATTGGGCTTCTAAATGCATTTCTGACTGTCATATATTTTAAGAACATGGTTATTTCGAACAAAACGCGTCAAATTCTAAACAAAGCACCGCATCACAACAATCAAACAGACAAAAACACGGTGGTCACAAATTGGTCAACGAAGATATTATCGACGTATTGGAAATGCGTCCCCCCCTATTATCCCTCTTTTAAATGTAGAAACGCGAAAGATGGTTAAAAGAAACACAACTCTATTCACCTGCCAAGTTTCATCTTTTTATCTTTTATATTTGTATGGATTTTCAAGCTTTTTTAAAGAGACAATGGGTAGTTGGCGACATGATAAAATTGTCCGTTTTTTTTCTGACCTGCAAAAATTGTTGAGCCAGGCCAACTAGAAGTGCATGTGGTACTAAACTACACAAGGCCCCAGATTTTCTATATAAACAAACAATATAACTTTTTAATTACCACATTTTCAGGCTATATGGTACTGCCATAGTGGATAATCTAAAGTAAAATGTCAAAATCAAAGGGTGCAGAAAGTGTTAAAGTCGTAGTTCGATGTCGTCCTCTTAATCAAAAAGAAATTGCAGCAAATCATGACAGGGTTGTGAACATGGATGTGAAATCTGGACAGATTTTAATAAAAAATCCAAAGGGTAACAGATAATTTTAGAAGATGAATCTTATGTTATTTTTCATATCTATGTATTGGGCTATTTTTATGACTGTATGCACAACTATCCATTGTCCTTTAGTCTTGGTCTTCGGATATGGTATGAAAAAATAATGGTCAGAAAAAAGAAAAAAAACAACAGATGAATTGCCTTTTTACTGGATAGCTATCCCATTGTACATAGTCATCGCACGTACAGTAAATTTGATCCAGCCTATTGGATCTCTGGTTAATTTGTGACTCTTATGTAAATCATTGTTCCACATTTTGGAGTTGCGATTAGACGAATTATGTCACTTCATTTTAATAAAATGAGGAAAGGGTTTTGTAAGTTTGATCACTCAATTCAATACTTGCCCGCTACCTTTTTGCGAAACATGAAAAAATTCTTTCAAAAGCAACAAAATAACAATATAAACGCCCCAGATTTTGATTTCACTAGCTCTACCCGAAGATATCATGTTCAAACCATCTCATTGTGTACTAACTCATGATTGATATACTCAAAATTCATATTAACTGATACAGTCATTGCAATTATAGTTTTCATACATGAACATCAAATACTGTTTGTATGTTTAAAATACATCAAGAATTTTATTTGACCATTTATGCTATTACAGCGACTGGTGAAGCAGAGAGGAGTTTCACATTCGATGCCGTATATGATTGGAATTCAGAGCAAACAGATCTTTTTGAAGAAACTTTTCGAGTTTTGATTGATTCTGTTCTTGGAGGGTTCAATGGCACTATATTTGCCTATGGACAAACTGGGACAGGAAAAACTTACACAATGGAAGGTTCGATTATGCTGTAATTTTTATGGTGAACCATTTTGAATTTTTTCGTTGTATTCTTGTTTTATTGGTTATTTATCTTGTTCATTTTTGGTTAACAGGTGTTCGAAATGATCCTGCGCTTCGTGGAGTCATTCCTCGTTCATTTGATCATATTTTCACTCACATTGCGAGAACTAAAGATCAAGAATATCTTGTCAGAGCATCCTATCTTGAGATTTATCAAGAGGAAATTCGTGATCTTTTAGCGAAAGATCAATCAAAACGACTGGAATTAAAAGAAAGACCAGACACAGGTTTGTTTAAATACAGGGTGTCCTAAAATAAATGAAACCCATTAATTTGATTACCAATTTTGTGAGTTTCATTTATTTTGGGACACCCTGTATATCTTAAATAGTTATCATAATTCTCAGCAAGCAAATTCATCATTAAAAAAATAATGCTATGTTCAGAACTCCAGATCCATATATACTTCTCAACAGTGTAGAACTTATTGATTATCTACTTCGTATGTGTATGTTTTGGCTTCAATGCTTTGCAAATTTGATTTTTATTTTAATTTTTTTAAATATTAAAGCCCGATTTTTAAATTTAAAACAAACTCCGAAAATCAGTCATTAGTGTAATTATTTTCACTGTTCACAAATAATTAGGGGATAGAAACAATATTGCAATTGACTGTTATCTTGAATGGCATTATTTGACTGCTTATGACCACTCCATGCTATGGTTTACAAGCTACTTAGTAAAGTGATAACAATTTCAGTGGAAATACATTTTTTCATGAAGTGTAAGTTACGGTATTATGTTTGTTTTTCAGGCATTTATGTGAAGGATCTTCTGTCATTCGTTACTAAATCAGTAAAGGAAATTGAACATGTTATGAATGTTGGAAATCAAAACAGATCTGTTGGTGCAACTAACATGAATGAACATAGGTATATAAAGTTGATGACTTCTTTTCATTATAATAAATCAAAACAACTTTTCATGACATTCAAAACATATTTAGCTGTATTGACAGTGCAGAATACTGATAATTGTATCTATTTAAGGGATATGTTTTTCAACTACACTTTGCATCGTATAATTACCATAACTCAGAATCTAATGCAATTTATTATTTACTAAAATGCATTATGTTACATTGTATTTGTATTTAAAATAACATGGCGAGAAATTATTTATAACTTGATTAAATTTTATTGATATTGTCAACTAGATAGTATTGCAGTAATGGAAAATTCTTAACTTTGGAATCAAATTCAAGCTGGATTCTTGTGAACATTACAATATATGTTATGATATTTATTTACTGATATTGCTTCTAGTTCAAGATCTCATGCTATATTTGTGATTACAATCGAATGTTGTGAGACCGGTGTCGATGGAGAAAATCATATACGAGTTGGAAAGTTAAATTTGGTCGATCTTGCGGGAAGTGAAAGACAGGTTAGAGTTGTTAATATGTAAATATATCTTCTATTTTTGAAAAAGAAAAAATCTACATTTGTTTATGCTTAGTTGTGAGACATTGCATCAGTTTCAATTCAATTATGTTATTGTAGCAAACTAGCAATTGTTTCAAAACACAAAATCAGTTGATAACTAGATATTAAGCTGATGAACAAAATTAATCCTCAAATTAATATCTCTGAAACCAAATATATCATTAGTTCCGATTTAATTATTAGTTGAATGTTATGTATTTTTATTTGCTTTTCAAGTTGTAGCCTTACATCATCTGCTGTGTTTTTTCAGTCAAAAACTGGATCAGCGGGCGAACGTTTGAAGGAAGCAACCAAAATTAACTTATCTCTGTCAGCATTAGGTAATTAAGTCTTAACTAATAATTTTATCAACACTTCTCTTGGCATTACATATGCTTGAATCATGATATTATGCATACATATTCATTACTACTTACCGGTTCATCCCTCCATAGCAATCCTTTTTGACATCAACAAGTCAAATTATTTCCTGAATGAGTGTATTAACTGCTACTTCACTTAATCCTATGGTATCTTATTCACTTGCGATCTTCCAAACTACTTTTTCAAAACAAATTTCTTGAATATACATTGACTTTTATGTGTTTTTTATTGAAACATCTCAATTTAGATATTCTATATTTAAAATATTATTTCAGAAGGTATTTGAAATAGTAGCTTATTTGGTTTTTGCCATACCTTCAACGATTGGACGTTTCACTTTTTCAGGCAATGTAATATCAGCTTTAGTTGATGGGAGAGGACATATACCATACAGAGATTCAAAATTGACAAGATTGTTACAAGATTCATTGGGTGGAAATGCAAAGACTGTTATGGTAATAGATCTTTGTAATGTATAATAAAGTAATTCTATAATGAAATGCAGTTATCTGCAGTTTTATTCTTAATTTCTGTTATTTATTATCATTCACGATTTTGCTGAATCTTTTCTATGTAAATTTTTGTCTAAGATTTGATGGGACCTTATACAATACAGATTTATAATACAATAGGTTTTCCTTATTCAATTCGCTCAAGTTTAATTAAGACCACATTAGCTTTAGTATTAGTATGATATACATTCTGTATTTTCTTGGTTACAAAAAGTTTAAATATTATATGATAGCAATGTCCTCTACTATAGAATTAAATATTTTTTTTAGGTTGCCAACATTGGTCCAGCAAGTTACAACTATGATGAGAGCTTGACAACTTTAAGATACGCAAACAGAGCAAAAAATATCAAGAATAAACCCAAGATTAATGAAGATCCAAAGGATGCATTACTCAGAGAATTCCAAGAGGAAATTGCTAGGTAACCAAAATGAAAATTTTGAAATTAGCATTGAGAATTGAAGTTTGTATTGCAGATGGGATTTGCATCTACCGGTATATACATCTTTTATACATTTTCAATTTAAATTTTGAGAAAGTCAACCTTTAATTCACTGGGTTTTCTAAAGAAGATAAATCATTTTTTGCAGATTAAAATCTCAGTTGCAAGGAAAAGGTGGTGGAAAAGGTACAAGACGGAAAAATAAACATAGAAGAGTTGGAGAAAATGGAGAAGAAATTAGCGGGAGCGAGAGTGACGAAACTGATGATGGTTTGTTATTAATATTCAACATTTTAATCATTTCTCATCTTGTCAATTTGAAGTAATTTGTATATTTCTACAGGGTGGCCTGGTTGCCTAGTGATTATATCGTTAGACTTAAATCGGAGAATACACATCTCAGGTTCAAAACCCATGCAACCAACATCAACCAGGGTGTGATAAATTGGGTACTACAGTAGTGTGTGTATACTAGGTTAGGGTTAGGCCATAATTTTATACCGATTTTCCTTATTTTAGTTCTATTACAAGTTCGGGGAATGTCTGTGTTGGCCAAGTCAATATACCCCCTGCCCATAGGTTTCAGTCCCTTTACACAACTTGATGTGAAATAGGCAAACAAAGTTATTTACCTCCATATTGATACATACACTTCTGGAGCGCCATAAATTGTGTAGGCAATGCCGAAACTGAAAGATTCCGGTTCTTCCAAATAAAGGTAGCTCCTTACATATATACCGTAAGATATCGATGTCTGGCCTTGTTCACAGCAAAAGGTATGGATGAGCAACATGAAAAAAATTTCTTTTATAGGAAGTTTATCTGAAAATCAACAAGCTAAGTTGGAAGAAGATAAGCAGAGAATTCAACAAGATGAAAATATGGCACAAGAAGAAAAGAAAAAACTATTGCAAGAAAAGGAAAAGAGAATTCAAGAAATCAAAAAGGAGCAGCAGGCAAAGGAAGCTCTCGCTGCAAAAATTAATGTAAGCCTGAAAGAATTTCAAAAAATGATCTAACTCCAGCTGTTGGTTTTCTACCACCAATGACTTTCTAAAATTTTGATATCAATCTGTGTTTGTGCCGACAGTGATAAAAGACAGGATGCTTTCTATGATTTTTGTCTTCATTTGTTGTATATTGGATGAATTTTGAGATGAAATATTTTCTGTTTGGCTCATCAAATACTTTACCCAATACATTTTGGCCTTTGCTGAAAAAATTGACTAATTGGATGCTTAAAAGCAAAATTTATAGAATGATATGTGACTGATAAAATCATAATTTGATTAAAAAAATTGAAGGAATATATACATTATTTCACAATTACTTTATATTATTGTTTTTATTATTTTGTCCCGTTTGAAAATTTAGACATTGATGGGATAAATTTTCAAACACTTTTCGAAACTAAATTTCAGCATTTGTTATAAGGGTTTTGTGTACAGGCAATGCAAAGCAAGCTTCTTGGCGGTGGACGAACGATTGTAGATCACACCAATGAACAAGAGAGGGCTTTGGAAGCGAAAAGGAGAGAAATTGCGGAACAATTATCGAAGGAGAGAGAAATGAAGCAGAAACTAGAAGAAAGGGAAGGTTCTGCTCTTGAAGCCCAGGAAAGTTACACATCTTTACGTCAAGAAGTTGAAATCAAAACGAAAAAACTTAAAAAAGTATGCACATTTTTGACTAGTCTGTCTTTTACAAATCTTTGTCATTTTTAAAATATATGATTCAATTTTTAGTTATACGCAAAGTTACAAGCAGCAAAATTGGAAGTTCAAGATACAGTTGATATAAATGCAAGCGAAAGAGTGGAATTAGAGCAAGCACAAATGGAAGTAAGATGGAATGTGATTGCATTGTTTGCATAATATAGTACTATCTATTTTTTCAAATTAATTCAAGCAGTATTACAGAATTATTGAATATTTCATTTCCCTTTCAGCTTATTCGTGAATTCAAGCTTAGGGCTTTGATTCTAGAGAATTTTATCCCTCTTGAAGAAAGGAAGAAAATAGAAGATCGGACATACTTTGATGATGATGAGGGAATACACAGACTAAAACCTTTGACTGAAACGATGAAGTATGTACCTGAGTGATTAATTGAATATCAAATTTTTTCTTTTTCCATTTATCATTTATCTATCATATCTATCGTCAAGCCATGCTGCAGCAGCGCTTCTGAAAGAAATATGCTGTCAAAATAAGGTACTCCTGTAATATGCGAACCATGATGGCGGACACCGGATCGTAGTATGTGTACCAGGGGAGGGTTAGGCCATAATTTCAGGTACAAACACTTGGCTAGTCCCCGAACTTGTAATAGAACTAAAATAAGAAAATTGAAATGAAATTATAGCCTAACCCTAACCTGGTACACATACTACGATCCGGTGTTCGCCGTCTTGGTTCACATACTACGGGAGTACCCAGAATAATTCACAGCCTTAATTGATTTTTCAAAATGTGATTAATTTAGTATGATTCTAAATAGTAGGCATCACGCTTAGCGGTTAAATTTTTAGACCGAACTGTATTGGCAGCGCAAGTTACACTTCTTGCGGAATGTAGTCTCATAAAAATTATTTGCACATAATTTTGTGTTACTAATTGTATATATCTATCTTTCAGACAAACGATGATGAAGCGACCACAGAGTGCAAAGGGAAGTGGAAAACGACCAATGAGTCAATATGCCAGAGTTGCAGCTGCAGTAGATATAACTAATCCCAGATTCAGAGCTGAAAATATACTGCTGGTTGAACTCGATATGCCTCCAAGAACAACTAGAGATTATGAAGGACCATTAGTTGCTCCAAAAGTAAGTTTATATAATCGGAATCGTGGCAATATTGGATACATTTTCAAATTATGATATGGTGGTCTATTGTTCATTTTCTTCTGATTACTGGTGCACATATGCTGGTGATCTTATTGCTATATTGTTTATCTCCTTGGAAAGGCGTTTTGTTGTTCGCTAATGCAATAACTGTGCAATGTGCATAGATAGTGTTTTTCACAGATTTGTTACATTTAGTATGCACAGCTTGCTCAACACTAAACATTCAATGGTCACAAATTTATCCTCAAATTCACATCTATTTGTATTTGAATTACAATTTCTGCCTTAATATTAATATTAGATATATCTTCCGTTCAAAATTGAAATACCAAACTTTGGATTTGAGTATTGATAGCATGTATTGTACAGGTGCAAGCAGCTCTTGATGCTGCTTTACAAGAAGAGAGTGAACTTCACCTTGATGCAAGTGCAGATATATTTGCATTGAAGCCAAAGAAAAAATTGAAAACAAGGTTAGTATGTCATGACTTTGAATTTGCTGAATCCTTGATACTCTTGCTTAGTGTTGAGAGACTCGAGTCATAAACTCGTTTGTTCACTGTCTCGTTGCAGCAATGAATAGCTCTTGTTGATGCTAAATTTGTCAATGCACGATTAAATTCTATTCAAAATATTATTAGCGCCATGCATGGTAAAACTTTCAAGTGTTACTGTCAACGTGACTCATATTTATCTGTTTCACTTGTTAAAAAATCTATTTTGACTTTGAGAAAAAATCTTAGTGACACGACTCAACTTCGGACGCCAATTTTAAAATTATATTAGGCTGAATGAGACTGAAAACTCGAATGACCAATGACTCAATCTGACTTTCCGGCTAGGGTATTAGGGACTTGCACACTAAATACTCTTGTTTGCACTCATCTGTGATCACTAAATTATTGTTGATCCTGTTGCAGATGCAAATTGTTACTCTTATTCAGGAATGCCAAAAGTGAATAGAAGATTTCAATATATTATGAATGAACAGTGAATAATTTTGCTTTTGGAGTATCATTATTTATAAGCAATTGAATGACACAAAACGGAATATGGTCCATTTATAATCCATTCAAGTCATCATTATTCAGTGATTTTAGTCCGTACAAAAGTATACATAAGCTCTTTTTTTCCTCAAACTTGACTAATAATATAATAGTAAATAGTAATTTTCTTTTTTACAGAGTTAGATCTGAAAGATCAAAATCCGCAAAATCAAGCAAGGGTAATCAAGATACTTCGGCTTATCCAACATCAAGAGGACTTGTGCCGAAATGACAAAATAATTTAAAACATTTGCACGTATTGCATATTGCACAGACTTTTACCTGCTGCCTACAGATACTGTGGTCTTATCAATAATATGGCACTTATATGCAGGGGCACAGCCATGATTCATTTTAATGGGGGGATTACTCTGGAATTAAAACAGTGCTCCAGTGACCCAATTTATGGCGTCATGAGCGGTCTTTGTGTTTGTATGCGAAATGCATTTCTTCTGCTGTTTCGTGGTCCGAACCTCATGCCATTGCTTGTCAATCAGCATAGACGACGCATAAGACAATACCCTAATGATCATAGAGATAAACCACATTATCAGTGCTAACTAACAGAGATAACTTATCCTAAACATGATTTGAAGTCAAGTAAATTAGATTATGGTGCTAGCACATTGAATAAAATACGGTACTTTTTGACGGTACGGTGCATAAAATGACGTTGTTGTTTATTTGTAACTCCAAAGATCTGCTGGCTTTGTCCCTGCTTTTGATGTATAGAATTTTGTGTGTTGTACTTTATGTTTAATATGTGCCATAAACTGATTGTTTCATTAACATGACATTAGTGCAAGTCGTTCGACATTTAATATTGTAAATGCTTTAAATACAGCTATCTATGGATGTTGGCTGAAAGCTGAACAATATTCTTCAGAATAATTTAAAAATTGGATTTCTGAGTTGGAGTCTGGAAAAACATAATATTTGAGCTTAAACTTTATTGATAAAATTGGGAACTTATAATTATTTATCTTCTACACTCTTTAGAATTAAGTTCAACTTCATTATATTTATGGCTAATTTTATTTTTTAGACAAATTTATTCATACTTCTTTTTTTGTAAGTTTTCATATGTTTCTCTGTATCCATTTCTTCATATTTGATTTCATTTTGTGAAATTAGATTCAACGCTACTTTTTCGTATGTGAATTTATTTTTATATGTGATATTTACCTTCCTCCCACTGTATGACTAAAGTAATATTTTTCTTTTTGAATTGGGCACTTAGCAAGCAGTCACCAAACATGAAGCTCATTTGTGTGGTCTTATTTTTCCGGTCCTGACTAACTTATATTATTAAACTCCGATAGCTTACTATCAAGCTTTCTAGACCCATTGGATCTGGCTACAGTTAGTAACTGTTACTTACTTCATTTAATACATCTGTGGTCAAAAACAATATATGGTATCAATAAATTCCCTTTGCAATTTTAACATACTTTATGGACACCGTATATAATTTTGAAGCAGATTGGCCTTAAGTATTTGAGCTTTTTTCAAATCTGATAAAAAGCTATTATTAGATGAGAGATACTGCAATTTCTACCTATATTTGTTTATTTGCTTCTATACTAGATTGTCATATACCACTGACTGGGAATTTCTGCAACTCTATGCTGGCGGGACTAGGTAATAATTACAAAATCAATTCGAACCGTGATATTTATGGTATAATGTCCAATTTTTAGCCCTGTACATGGTTATGATGTAAATTTTAGGCATGTTGAATATTTTATATTTCTCTGAACATATTGATGGAGTCTTATAGAGTTGTGATTCAAAATTTTACAGCTGACATGGAAATTCTCACTGTGACTTATGTTAGAATGAGGTTATTAATGGTTGTGTTGTTGTAATTTTATATTTTCAAACGTCTAAGTTGCACATTAAATATTCGCTGAGTGTGATGATGTTTTGTCATATCATATATTCATCTGGCACGCTTTTCCGCTGTGGGAGTTTTCCAATTATGATATAGTTTATATTAATTTATCTGGTTCTCAAACTTTACCTTTGTCACGTTGTCTTATTATTAATGACTTGTTTGAATCTGATGGTATGTAGCGTCCCCTTGTGATTTCATGACATTTGGTAAAACCTGTGCGAACAATCGAAAAATTGTGTGTGAAAACGAAGTTTCTAGGGTTTGTTTGATTGAAAATATTATCATTATAAGATTTATTTTTTCGAAAAGATGAAGAAATGTCAATTGCAAATGTCATACATGTTCTGATGTTCCTCGAGTTTGCTAATCCTCCAAAATGTACATAGTGCATCATTATTCGCTGTGGGAGTTGAGAGACAAAAAAAACAACCCAAAACAAATGATGAGGTAGAATATGCATAGAGTTGAACATTTTAAGACATATGACGGTACATTAGAGTGATGAGCAGAAGTCATGGTTTACAGCTGTCGGTTGCGTTTTTGAACCGCACTACATCGAGTTGAGGTGTCGGCCCATTCTGTGATTACACGATTGGTGAGAAGTCTTTAATGTAGAAGTTTTTTTTAGTCATGAGAGAAAGACTTTTATGAAGACTTGGTCAACACTATTACATACATAAGCCAATGCAGAAAATATTTGGGTCGGTTAATTAAGTGCAAGAGCTGGTTTTGGCTGGACTCCTCGCCGCCATGGGGTGGTTCACGTAACGTAATCGCTTGTCGGCTACGACTTCGTCCGCCATCAATCCCATTCTCCCGAATACAAATGACTGGCTAACTAACCCCATACAGGCATACAACATAATAACAAAACGATCCATGTGTACATCTCGTGTCCAAAAATACGAACAACATCATAACAACAAAACGATCCTTTTGTCCATTTCGTGTCTAATAAAAACAAGAGAAAAATACAATCAACTACTGAAAATTTCGAAGCAATTGGTCCGGTAGTTATTGAGAAAGCGATTTTTCACACTTTTTTAGATGGTTCCGACCGTCGTCGGGTGCGGACGTGGCTACTTGAAAAGACTAGAGAATACTACCCTATGTGTTTCGGTATTTACTGTTGGATTTGTATCGCGTAATATCAGCATGAGCAAAGCTCATCCACCGGAATTAAAGAAATTAAGGATTGGATTTAAAAGTTAAAGGGTGGACGATCTGTTAGGGGTGTTTTGCGAGCTTTCGATCCTTTTATGAATCTAGTTGCCACCATTTTACGTGAACGAGTGTTTTTTATTTCATCTTTTTGTGGGAAAAGCACTGTTGTTATCGTAAATATAATACTACTACGTTATACACATACACGTCTCACATTTTAAAATTGATTTGCCCGATTTTACATCGTGTTTTTGTTTTATTGTGTTTTTTGACTGTTTTTGGTGGACGGGCACGTACTTGTACGTTTGAACTTTTCTTTATTAAGTTACGCATTTTGTTTGTCTGTTTGTCGTTGTTTATTTTCTTTCAGAGTGACCGAAATAAAATTGATTGATTGATATATAATTATGCTCATTTTGTAAAGAAACCTATCGTTATTGATTTTCCGGCGAATCCCCAAATTTACATCAGAATTTTAACCGATTTACTTGTTTTTGAGTGTTAATTTGTGACTTCATCGCATAAAATTGATGCGTTTGATGGCTTCTATAAAATGAAAGCAACTTTTCATGCTGTGTCGTTGTAAACCTATGATTACTGTATTGATTTTTGGAGAATCCCATAATAGTAGTATATATTTACGCCCTAATATCCAATTTTTGCATTAGAATTTTTGAAGCATGTTATGCAGAAAATGTGCAACTTTCGTTAGTGGGAACAAGCTGTAATGCGTTCAGTATGTTCATTTTCATACAAAACCAGAGAATTTATATAGTCCCCACGTGTGTGCTACGAAACTCACTCTCTAGGCTTTTTTCAGGGCCAACAGCATAATAACAGAACGTTTCATATTCGTGTCCAAAAAGTTTAATTTGGAAAGACGTGTGCTTGCTTCAAATAGTTGAAAGATATGAATTCAAGAAATTCAAATCTAAATATATATATTATTTGAAGGCATAAAAGCAACCATGAACCAACGCCAGCAAGCGGGGGCACCGGTAGTGATCTACAGATCTAGGATGTGTACACAATGTGTGTACACTGTTTTATGTCTCCGGAATCAAATTTGAATTTTATCGTTTCGGCAGGCCTAGCTTACTTTTGTACTTGGCTTAAAAGCATCGAGATATTTTGTGTTCAATGTTAGGGTCTTGGTAGATTTCCCCCGCAATTCGAATTCAGTGATGCGGTGCCTTACCATACCGTAGCCTGGTACGTCTGTACCTGTACCGCTGTACGTAGTGCAGTGACTTAATTTTTTACAAAATCTGTTGCTACAGCAGTCAGGTCTCCTGGATGCCTGGTGTCAGAGCATGGAAGCTGATTCAGTGATTGGTGAATTGTGATACACATACTGACATACTTGATATGTGGCGAATTGAAAAAGATTAGTCTATTATGTTTACATGCAGTGTATTTCATGTTGTGTTGTCTCTATTTATTAATGTCAGGATGTTGGTTTGTCTTACAAACTCCTTTGAACAAACAGTTTTGTATACTCCACCCTTACGCCTGTTACCACACCCATCCTCCCACATAGACTATTACTGTATTAAAAATAGTCTATCTGATTTATTGTTTTTTATGCTTATCATAAGCATAAGGCAGTACAGCAGTAAGGGGTGCATGCCGGCGATGCCGCACATTCGTGTGTTTAGGTCAGTATGGCTGTATGGTATGCTCTTTTATATTGATTTTACGAGACGAATAAACATACATACACACAAGATGAAAAAGTTGATTTTATCAAAACAAGTTTGACATAAAATAGACTTATACAAATATGAAAGCAATACCAGAATACTGGAATATGCAAAATAATCAAAAATATTTTTCGTCCGTTTCGGTTAAATGCCGGCGATGCCGCACATTCGTGTGTTTAGGTCAGTATGGCTGTATGGTATGCTCTTTTATATTGATTTTACGAGACGAATAAACATACATACACACAAGATGAAAAAGTTGATTTTATCAAAACAAGTTTGACATAAAATAGACTTATACAAATATGAAAGCAATACCAGAATACTGGAATATGCAAAATAATCAAAAATATTTTTCGTCCGTTTCGGTTAAAACCCTTGAATTACTGAAATATTTACAACTGAACAATGAGAATACAACTAACTACTGTACCGTACTGTCAGACATTAGTTTCACTGATAGAAATACGCTATCTGAATATACATAACATAAGCGATATGCAGAAATATATTTATTTAAGTGTATATCATTGCACCAAGTTAGGATTAGGCATCACATATTCATTACAAACCCAGAAAATTCAGTGGCGTCTCACTCTTGTTCATGTCATCATAAAATCAATGCTTCTGGACTTGTATGCATATTTCAGTATATCTCACCACAGTCAAATAAATAGAGTAAAATAGATAGTGATAACATCAACTGTATTTAAATATACAAAATGAAGCAAAGTAGGCCTGTCAAAAAGAAGAAAAAAGAGATGACATGGGCTGAAGCAGCTACAGAGGTTTGTTTTTAATTTGCAGTATTCGATTATACCATAAGGTTTATTTGTATCATTATAAACCAGCTTTGGAAGTGATGAAAATATAACACATCATTAAACAAAAGAGATTAGAACTGAGTTTGTAGCTGCTGTAGGTACTGAAGTAACCATTAAAATTAAAAAGGATTTTATTTATTGGTTCAACTCAACTCCATCATCTTAAAATTATGAATCTACCATATTTTTACTGAGTATATTTCATCCATGTCTACACTTAATTGTTGTTAGAGAAATATTCGTGATGACTAGGTAAAAGCATACACAGCTTGGATATTTTAAATGAACTTTTGTATGTAGTTGTATGAAATTTTCTCAACTCTCCGAGAACAGGAGGCCACACAAAACCCCTCAGCCTGTGGCCCATAGTTTGCCCATCCTTGCACTAGGTGAAGAAAATCTCATTTCCAGCATTGTCCAGATATTACCAGTGATAAATTATATCATAGCTTGTTTTTATGTAGTTGGATTTACTTTTTATGTGCCACAGAAAAACTGATATTTAATAAAACTCTCAATATTTAATCATATATTTCTTCTTAAACCTCAACTGCATATTCCTGGAGCAGTTTGTTAACATCTTCTAACTTTATACATTCGCTGTTTAGGTATTGGAGCGTAGCACCAGCAAGATCCTAGGAGTTCGTCAAATTCAAGAAAAAATATTTGATTTAAAATTGAAGGATATTAAGATGACAAAGTACGATGTAGTTACTCAATAATTTAACATACAACAACATAAGAATAATGATATAAATTTTATAATTGCCATCGAAAATTATCGTCTCTATTTTATAGCTCTTTGATATATAACCCCAACAAACTCCTAACCGACATATCTCGAATCTCATTATCAATTTTACAGGCAATCAGAAAATGTTCTGAAAACAATGTTGACGCATCATGCGAATATAGAAGATTGTCCATTTTATAAAGTCAAGGATAAAAGTAATCATTACGCTTTAAAAGTATGTATTGATTTTTTTTACGCATGCGTTCTGTTTATTCAATGCTAATTTACATTTTGTTAACCTTTTGATCGAAGCTATTTTCTTTTGCGCACAATATATATTCAGCCCCAGTTGGTTAGAGTGTCAGCTTATACCTTTCGTCTTGTACATATTATTTTTATTTGAGAAGGTTGTTCTGTACTAATAATTTTTGTCGCAATCAAAGCTCATGTAGTTTCATAGGAATAAAATTTTCTCAACCAAACTCATCAAACAAAATTTGAATAAAATCCTCACAATACAATTGCTATGATCTTCAATTTGCAAGTAAGTTTTTAACAATTTGTGATGTCTTGAGGGTCATGAAATACTAGGCAATGACTAGTTAGTTATGTCTGTGATGTGCATTACTTTCTGTGCAGCCACAAACCTTTCGTACATAAAAACATTTCCTACATATTATCTGGTATAATTGGTTACATTTTTGCTTTTGCAGAAATCTCACATGTATTTGCAGGGTGAGTAAATTAAATATATTATTTTTTACTCTTCCTAAATATTGTTGTACAGTTGCCTAGACACGAGTGAGATGTTGTTAATATTACGATTTGTGAATGGGGTATACACCTCCTCGTTAAATGAATACATTGTTATGTTGGTAATCAGATTATTTCCCATATAGCAAAAGCTAATATTATTATCAATAACACAGGTTGGGCCAAAAGTAAGGTTACAGTTTACACACAAATAAAAGAATAATTGTAATCTGACTTGGTCCATTTTGTATATGATCCAATATTGTCTTCAGACTTTAGAGAAATTTATTGGTAGAAAATTATCTTTACTTTTATTTCATTTTGAGCTCTACCTAAATTTTTATTCAATTTCCTCCACTGATAATGATGTCACCTTATTTTTCAACTGTCTGTTCTTAGAGGCCGCTACCAATGTCATGTAAACATGATTTATAACCATACAGCTTGGAATAATGCAGGGAAACATGCAGAATCTGATAATGTTTTCCAATGTTAATTTGTGTGTTATTTTATGATGATATTGATATACTCACTTCAATTTTCAAATCATGTATGTAACTTTTCCTATTATATACCTGTTATTACATTAAAACATTTACCCTCTGTTGCTTTAGTCTCATGTTCTTGCTTATATTTAAAGATGCAGATTCAGATTCACCAATTGATATTAATGAAGATTCTAATACATCTGTGAATTCTGTGAAGAGAAAATCAAAACGAAAAGGTAAATTTTTGTCGTGGGGTTGTCTAAAAGAATAGACTGACTTTACATTCATTTCATTCATCTTTTTGCTGAGAACAAGGTTTTGCACAGGCACCCACTGCTAGGGAAAGATCTACTATACTTTGGATATCACTATACTTTTATGGAATTGGAATCGGTGCTGTTGACACTTATCAAAAGTACAAAATTAGTTTCTCACTGAATGCTAGGGTGGACGTTAAAAATTATTCAGCATGGTGTAATGTTCATGTGAATATGTGATTTTATTTCTTTCAGCTTCTCCATTATCGATTGTAGATGTGAAAAGCAATGACACACAACTGATGAAAAAATCGATAACCAATAAGGTCTGTTTTACTGCATGGATGTTTGGCAAAATATTCTGTTGGTTTTCGTTATGATATTCAATCAGGGCTGCCCTGTGGTGATCATACCAAAAAAGCCTGAGCAATTGTGATTTTTAACCAGATCCCCTGCCCTGCTTCAAATTGCATATTATTTGAAGAACATTCGTTACTCATAATATATTTTCCATCACATCAGAATTTTTTTTTTGTTCTTTTTAAATTAGGTTATCGCAGGAGGAATGACAAGAAGATCAAACTCCTACACTGGAAGTGCATGTAAGTATATACATTTGCCATTATGATATTTCTGTTCTCTTTTATATTACTGTTTTTGATTATGTTACAGCTAACTCAGGTTTATATATTTAACTCATGATGATTGCAACAGGGTCTATTGCTTGGACTAGGTAACGCCACAAATTCATAATATTCAGTAAAATTGAAATTTTTACTTCTTACAGTACGCAAAGCACAATTGCTATCCAGGAGAAGAACGTCATCACCGAATGTTATGTCATCTTCAGCACATTCAAATCTTCGCAGTCGGGCTCAACTTCAATCTGTCCACAGAAGTCGATCTGTAAACTGTCTCCAAAGATCACCAAATCCTGGTTCAAATAATAAATCTCGCAATATGCCAATGATAGATCTTGAGACACCTGGCAGTGTGCTGACCAATACACGATTAAAGGTAACTTTTCATGAATAGGAAATAGGAAAGTATTAATCACATTCTGCTTAATTCTTATGAATATCCAAAAATTCGTATTTTTATGATTATATCTGGTATGCGGAATCGACTCTCGAATAAGGGGTTGGAAAAACTTTTGATTCCAACCCATGACTCCATGTTGATGGAAATTTTATTCAGTCTCCAGGCCCACACTTCAATAAAATAAATTTTGCGTATGCAAACTTACTTTAGTAATTGAGTAGTAGGAATGTTTAGTCAGCTTAATGATGTTTGTCTTTCTGATAGTAATTAACTGGCGGTGTGGCGCATCGTGCTAAGCATTAGGAATACGCTCGCCACCGCACCTCTGATTATCCGCATGGGTTTACAGGTTCGAATCCCATGCGAGGGTTAATTATTTGCGAGAAGATTCCTGGACTCTTTGCTGCCGTAGGGTGGTTCACATGACCACTGGTTGGTTACAGCTTTTTCCACCATCAAGTTCATGTATCTGAAAACAAATAACTGCCTAACTAATCCCACACCTGACATTGACTGGTAACCGGACGGGGAGGCCGTGGTTGCCATATGATTAAGCCATCTAATCGTCTTTCTTCTTCCTTGGGATAAATATGTAAATCCTATCTAACGTCTAAAAGCAGACTTCCGACTCAAAATAATTCAAAATTTCAACTCTGAATCCGATTTCCAATAACAATAGAATTATTACAAATTCTAAATTAAATAATGAATCATGAATGAATACTGTATTGGTGATTGACGAATTTCATTTGTGATTTTCAACAGAGCGTGGTCAACAGTGCAACATTCTCAATGTTACCAGCTATATATCAATATCAACTCGTTCAACTATTACCAGACGTCGACAGAGTTGTAGATGAAAATGGTGTTCCAAGAATGAGTCAAAATGCATTGAGCAATGAATTTTTTTCTCAGGCGCTCATGGTATGTTAAATTATTTTATTACCCAATTGAATTAATTTTCAACTCAATCTGTTGATTATATTATGATTGATTTAGGATTGGATTACTCAGTTATCAGATGGAGAATTTACTCGTGAAACTCAGGCTCGAATTATGCAAGAAATTGCCAAAGAGAGAAGTAAAGTTAATCCCTGGAAGGAAAAGTTTTTCGAAGAGTATTACGGGCAAAAGTAAGAATATATTTGCTTCTCTATTACGGCACATAAAAATATCTTTAGAATATTTTATGACTTGTTAGTATACTGTAAGTAATCAGTATTATTCATTCTGTTCATTTACTTGTCTGCACTTTCTATTACAAATATATCTTCATTTATTCTTGATAAATGAATAAAAAAAATTATTGTTTACTGCTGATGTAATTAATATTCAAAAATAGGTCAGATTTGATTTTTGAACGATGAAGTAACTTTTTAATCTATTCTTAGATTTTTTATATATGACATATTTATGTGCCTCTCCCTCCCAACAAGGTTCTACGCAAGCAGCCACTGCTAGGTAAGGAGCTACTATAGTTTGGAAAGATTTTTTTCCAGTTGCTAACTTACCCATTGCTAACTTAAATTTCCAATGCCATCATAGTTAAGTCTTACACTATTAAAAACTTGGCCACTTCGCCACTGAACAATGTTGTGATAGTTGAAGTTACGGATTTCATTTTCAGAACTGAACTGAAACGCACTCGAAGCAGAAGTCATGATGCAACTTCTAATCTGACAGATCTAAGTTTTGAGGGTCAACTAGCAAAATTTGATCACCTTCGTAATGCTGTAGATGAAGAACAAACAAAAATAAAAGAAGAAAACGACAAAATCATATCTGTAGTTTCTGGCTCAGATTCTGATGAAGATCCTGACTATGCAGAATCAAAATCAAATCCCAGAACTACCATAAAACCTATCGTTCAAAATCCACCATTAAAACATATAAACAGACGGAAAATAAACAAACCCTTTAAAAGGACAATGGTCAATTCGGCTGGTGACTATAGTCATAGCACATCCATGATACACAGAAAAGCGATTCCGTTGCATTCAACTACCTCCTTGTTCAGTCATTTGGGTTCAAATATCGCCGTTAAGTTTAAACCTCAAGCATCGTTACCGCATCATCCCAACTTTCAAATCAGGGACGAATTTTATCGAAGCGACAGTGAAGCATCAGATACAGGTATGCCGTCCTGTTAGCAAATGTGGTACTCCCGTAGTATATGTACCAGGTTAGGACATAATTTGATCACGATTTTTCTTATTTTAGTTCTATTGCGTTACGAGTTCAGGGACTGTCTGTGTTAGCCAAGTGAATATCCCCTTGCACATAGGTTTCAGTCTTTTTACACAACTTTATGTAAAATAGGCGAACAAAATTAGTTACCTCCATATTGGTACACATACTTCTGGAGCGTCGCAAATGCTATACATTTTATGATTTTTGACTTGTTGAGGCTATGTATTATTATGAGTGGGTATACAAGTTCCTTACTCTGTGAATATGGATAGTGTTCTGTTTACTGAACTCAAATAGGTTTTACAACAGTGATGAACAGTCCTATAGAGCAGGGTTTTAAAACTTTTGGTGTTGTGCAGCTCATGAAGAGGTTGACTTTTATGACCCACAATGAGTTTATAAAAAAAATAAAATAAACATCCTGTTACCTACTGATTAATGTTTCTGAATGAATTAAAATTACTTTATTTGTTTGGACAGTTACAAAATTTGCAGGTTGGTAGCTTGATGAGTAAAATAGTTCACTTTGCTTTTTTGCACATTACTGGAGTAGACAAGCAATCTTTGCTTATTTCTGAAATATGATGTAAGAAGTCTAGTCAACTTTAGTAGAAACTGCTCCACCTCACCCAAGATAGCGAGAAAGAGCAGCATGTGTTGATAAAATTATCCTGATCCATCATGAGTGATTCTTAGTAGTGGTGATATTGCAATGGTACTAAAGTTGGCCATGCCCCAATGTAGTTTTAAAAGGGATAATCCTCAAACCAGCTTCAACAGAGAGTTAAACAAAACATACAATTCAATATACAGGGTGTACAAATTAATTTCAGGTCTTATCTTTGATTCCTATTCAGGTGAATTATCCGACAGTAATTCATTTCATCAACACGATGAATCTGATTGTGATGATGATGACGATGAATCATCAGATGGATTGATGAATGTAGGGGATGATAATCTCATGGATGTAGATTCTGATTCTGATCAATTCGATCCTGAATGTGTTACTGGAGATCACTCATACACGAGGTTACCTGTGAGTATCTTATTTTGTTATAAATTTTTCCTTTGTTTATTAGAGACTTTATTAAAGATAGGTCACTTTACATACGTTTTAGCAACCTTTTTTAGGGAAAGTATTTTGTGTGTAATTTAATATTTCTTATAACATAAAATTTGATTGCTGTCTTAGTTTTTTACTAATTTTATATAATTTTTCTGGTGAAATGTGGAATATTTATTTTTTCTTGTTACAAAGAAAACTCTTCGCCAAAATTCGAGTTTGAGTAAGTATATCAGTAGTAGTTATTAATGTTATTAATAGGTATGCGCAAAATAATCATTTATAATAAACTCAAACGAATATCGCTTTTTACATGTTGAAAAACATGTAAGGAAATAATGATTTCTAAATAACAACAAGTAATGGCACGATAATTACATCTTTACAAGTGTAATTATGGTAAAGTAATGACACCAAAACATTCACACAAGTGAGACCAAATGGATAACGAATTGGCCTAATTGTGAAGTCACTATTGGATCCACTGATTATAAGCTCTATGTCACAATACCCACTACCCAGTGTTGCATACTATTTCCATGAATCAAAATTTTTATGTGAAAAGCTAGTATATCCATTTGTTATGATACTTGTGAATGGTTTCATAAAATAATTTTCTACAAACAATTTTAAACATTTTCCCAGGATTTGAATACAGTGAGAAGAAGGTCAAGTGATGACAGAGATTGGCGAAGACGACAGTTGCAAGGATTGGCAAGTGTCAAACCTGTTATGTCAACGGATGACAACAAAATTCAATCATCAACACAAAACACAACATTGATTCTTCGACCAAAGGGAAATCTGGAACAGACAGTCCAAGCTATGAATTATAGTGAAGATAGCAGTAGTACAAGCCCAGAACAGGTATAGTCTATATATCTGTGGCCCAGGGTTGCCAGACCCCAGCGATAAAAAAAAGCCAAATCAAGACATAAAAAAGCCAGAAAAAGCTAACAATTTTACTAAGTACAAAACCCCCATGATTTGTCAGATTTTAAGCCCTTGGCAACGTACTGATGATGATGTAGAGCCATCAGTTCATTCAGTGAGGCACACAAATAGAAAGTAAAGTTCCTATAGAACTGTAGAAAGTAAAATGAATATCAAGCGGGCAGCATTATTTTACCATTCGATATATACAATACAGGTTGCCGCTTACTGTAATGTACCTACTTACTGTAATATACCTACAATATGTTTCTACTTGTGCTACAGCTTAAAAAAAATTCTCTCGATATCGTACTTTACTATTGAAATTTTTTTCTTTTAAAATTTATAAACTATCAATTTTATTAAAAAATTATCTAACCCCCTGCCGCTCACAGATGGACCACTGATATCTAATTCAGTAATTTTAGCGTAGTTAATCACATCGTTATTGCAATTGCAGAATTAAACTAAAGCTGAAAGCTCACATAAACCATATCAGGCAAAATGAAAATTAGGTTATACAACTATTTTTTGGAAACCGATCGTAAACTGACAAATAACACGCAAAACTATAAAAACGAGGCAATGTTTACAACCCTGCTTGAACATCTGTCCGAGCAGCTGCAGAAACTGCACTTATTTCTTATTGTGTATGGTTAAGATTTAATGTAACAAACAAGGAAATCCTAATGTTAAGTAGCTAAGTACAGGTAATAGGCTATTGTTCAGTTGTTACACACTAGATATTGTAATTCATATGACTTTAATAATAGTCACTACAATAGACTCGAAAAAAGCCAAAAAATCGCCAAAAAGCCAAATGGAAATTCTAAAAATGGCAAATTTGGCGTAAAAAAAGTTAATATGGCAACCCTGCTGTGGCCCTTGGTCATATGCCTATCCTGGTTTTACCCTACTTCAATTTAGGCATGGAATTGGCATGAAAACAGTGATTCAAATTCATAATGAGCATAATGTTATATATGAGATTGTCATCGTGTCATGCCATTGACAGAAATGTTGTTAATGAGTGAGAGTGACATCATCAATTTTACAAGATAAACTTTTCCAAAATGACATTCATGTATAAAAAAAAAATTAATGGATGACTCGATAAGTCTGTGAAACAAAGTCCATTCAATATCCAAACATGTTTTTTACGTAATTTTCGAATAAATGTAGATTTAGCTGATTTTGAAATATTTTTCTAACTACGGTAATCATCGATTAACAAGGGGGGCTTTCGTGTATTTCATTGATGTACTATATTTATAAATATATTGACATATTGTTTTAGCCATACAAAAGATTGACCAAAGATCAGCCAATGTTTGGAAAAATCCTCACTGTTTCTAAAGAGAATACAAGTAAAGAAGAAAGAGTAGGAGTGCTGTTTGGTCGTAATGTAAGTTTTTCAGCTTTTGCATTATTACCGGTAATATTCTTCCACTTGATTTGTGTGTGAGCAATAAGCATTGTCAATTACTCAAGCCATGCTTACCATGTTTCCCCAAATTTTATTTCGAAGAATAACACTAGGGCTTATTTTCGGGGGATGTCTTTTATTCTCATTTATCAAAAACAAAATTACAAATTAGAGAATTAGGAGATTTTCAAATATACAAAATATGAAAACCCATATTCATTTACTTGTAAATAACACGTTTTATTTATAATAACCGCTAAACATAGATTATAAATCATCTAAAACATGTAGTAAAGATTCCTTGCTATCGACTAGGTCCTATTTTAAGGGGAGGGCTTATATTAAAATCATTTTTGAAATTCAGGCTAGGTCCTATTTTTTTTGAGGAAACACTGTAGTAAAGATATATGTGAGTGTATATTCTGCAGATGTAAATTACCAATTTACACCTACTCAAACAATACCACACGTTATCTTCCTTTATGCCTATCATCACACATATCAAGGGCACTGCAAAACTGTTTTGAGTGAATGAGGAAAACATATATTTTTGACTTTTAAACATCTTTAACTTTTTATTGAAATACTCTGGGGAATAAAGTTTCAAACTTTGATTAGAACATTCGCCCTTTTGTCTTCGATATGTCCCATATGGCGGGCCAATCATATTCTTTTATCTGCCAAGATGACTTCGCTCAGATTGCTCATATTCAATAGAAATTTGTATTAGGGTTTCAATCTATAATATGTATGAAAAAAGTCTTGCTATTTTGATATTAACATACTTGATTTCAAATTTCTATCTGGTAATATTTTAACATTGAATCATCTAATATTCAGCTTCAACCAACAGCTAACACATACCATGGTGAATCTATTATTCCACGAATATCTGTTACCAGTGGTTTGTTGTCCAGTCCAATTATACCAACAACTGTATGTACATCGACCACACCTGCAAGACATTCAGAACAACACAAAACTAATGTTGTGAGTCCCAAGTTGACTTGCCACATTAGATCAGAAGACGCCACAACTTTGAAAACTAATAAAAACAACAATAATGCAATGGTGGCTGGTGGTGGCGTCGCTACTTTACCAAAGAAACCTGAAAATGAAATCCAATTGAAGACTAGGACCTCAAATGTTGAAATTGTGAAAGGAGGCAGCGGACAAGCCACAATGCCAGCTGTCTCGAATGTCGAACAAATTCAGAAAAATGCCATTTCAAATATGAATAAGACTTCTTCAATAAATGAGTCACTGAAACCAATTAATGACTCTGGTAAGGTTTCAAACAATGAAGATTGTTCACCGCCAGTGACCTTGAAACAAAGTCCTGTTCCAGTGACACCAGTAGAGATTCCTTCAAGTACCCCTGGTGAAGTACACAATGAAGAAAGACCCAGTAGTCCTGTGCTTTCTGCTGCAAAGAATTTTCCACCTAAACCATCCCCTACAAAATCAGTAACTGAAACGTCAAAATTATCTCCAGTACTAGCAGGTGTCCAAGGTGAGCGGATGAATAAAAACTAATTTTATACTGGAATTGTTCACAATGATTCAAATTTTGTTTAGGGCTTAGAGCAGTGGTTCTTAAACTGGGGGGCGCGCCCCCCTAGGGGGGCGCAAGAGGTCACAAGATGGAATCGGAAATTGACATGTAACGGCTCCTGAAACGGTCTCCGCGTTCATTAAAAATACCGGCTTTTTCGTGGTATAATAATTTTTTCCGTCTCGTAATAACTAAAAAAATTCAAAATGTCTCTCTATTTTAATTCATTTGTGTTCAAGGAAACTTGCGGTTGCGACGACTCATGTCAAAATAAACTCATTACCGATCTAAAATACCACGCCAATCCGCAGACATATCAAAGTGTGATCAACTGCCCGATTATTTTTCGTTTTGATATATATTGCACTGATGCGAATTCGTTGACTTCATTAGAAAAATCTGGTATAATATCCCAGAAAGTATACTTAATTTAGTACAATTAAAATACATATTCATCGACTCGAAATCCCCGCGGTACGAATCCTGAGTCTGTCCTCAACATTACGCCAGTCCTTATAAGAGCCAACCCAACTTTGTCAACGGATATGTAATGTATATATAATGTAATAATAATACTCCAAAATACCACGGTAATCCGTAACCATAAAAATGTGTGGCAAAGTGCCCGATTATATTTTGTTTTGATTTGTATTCTTGCCAATGTCACCATTATGAGGTGTCCCTGCAACTCTTACTCCGCTTTATCGCAATGCTCGATTAATTCCTTATTCTACGATAAAATCCCACGGAGTAAAATTTATTTCAAGTCGGTAGTTTTAGAACACTACTGGTGTGCCGCAGGCACAAGGAATTCATGAGATTTGCAATGTCTAAGAAAGTGTTTTTAATCTGTCGCGGTCCACCCCAAAACAAAACTCATGGTGTTTTCAGTTTTATTTTTAGTATTTTATAATCTCGCTTTTACAATAAAGAAATATTTGGTTGCAGATTCACTACTTTATTCTATCTTTAGCATCTCGTCGCTGATGATTATATAATAAAAACTAAGTCGTGTTCCTCAGAGATGTCATGGTTCTATTCGAAAATAAAAAAAGTAATTATAATCGTCTTCGCGACACAAGAATATGTCGAGGGAAATTTCTGATTTAGGGAGAAAAATCACCAAAATCAAGATTTTTACGGCATAGCGGGCCACGCTTACGAAAACAATCGAGATTTAAACAAAATGCAATCGCAAACCCCTTAGCGACTTTATTTTTCAGTGGTCAAGGGCCGAGGAAACGTCCACATTCATAATAACTATTAAAAAATGAACTGCTTTTAAATTTACATAAATTCATTTGTACTTCTCCATTTTGTTTGAAACGTTAGGCAAGCCAAGAAGTCTGTAATTGTTGCTTATTTTTAACACACAGTAAATAATTTTGGCATCGCTCAATAGTGATGAAGTAAACAATTGATTGAAATTTTAAGTTCTTATGTAAATGTTTAAGCAGAAAATACATTAAAGCATAGGTTCATTGCGTGTTTAGTTTTACCTAAAAATTAGTTTGTCTTTACCAGGTATTACAAACCGAGGGGAAATACGAGAATGTATGATGACCAACCATTATTTGGCTTTATACATACGACAGTGAATGGCAAAGTTGTACTCCGAAGCGTTTTATGCCTAAACAATCTTAGCAATGACGATATGAGACCAACACTCTTATAGTGCCATCTTATTAAATAGCAACCTGCCCATCACAAAAGCATTTTTTCAAAGCAAAAATAGGGGGGGCGCGAAGTTTGTAAATATTTTCAAAGGGGGGTGCGGCTCAAAAAGTTTAAGAACCACTGGCTTAGAGGATTATTTCATTCTCGTAAATTCATGATATTGTCTCTAAATCAATAATGTTAACCACCTGACTTATACAAACGAATTCACCTCATCATATAATTTCCCTGTATTGGGTATAGATTTAAATATTTGGGCAAGCTTGGTAAAAAAAAGTGTAACATTTAATATTAGTATCTATAGTTCCCAAACAATACCAGACATGACCCATTCAAATGAAAAAACCTTGTATACAGGGCTACAGGCATACAGCAATAATACTAGGCTAAATAAACTAAATATGATGGTTTGTGTAATATTCTATTCATATTCTATATTTACTCAATCAAGTGGTGTGTCATCCTTTCAGTAGATTGAACCTAGTTCAGCTTTACTTTTGGTCTACAATGTACATTTTGCTCAAATATATATAGCATACACTGATTTTAACATTGAATTTTAAAATGCTATAAACGACACATGCCTTTTTTACTAAAAACCATTCATATTTCTGATCTTCATTATATAGATAGAAAACGACCTGCATCATCTCCTGCAACTTCGAGTCCTGTGAAACGCACACGAACACTGGCTGAAATTAAAGCGCAAATGAAAGCCAAAAGGTTGGCAGCTGCTTCTGGTAGCCCGGTCAAAACTACTGTACCCTCACAAACTTGTGCATCAAAAATGCCAGTAAAAATAGCTCAGCCTGTATTTTGTCCAACTTCAACAAAGTCTCTGTCAACTACTAAAATCGAGGATAAATCTTCACAAGAATCGTCTGAAATTTCTGATATTTCATCAAAAACACATATTCCTGAAAACTGCCCACCAATGTTTGCTGGTGCCATACCAGAAACTGGTTTTTCTACCGAAACTGAATCTTGTCCACCTACTACAGAGGCACCAGTTACAGATGTGTCTGACAAATCTCCAATCTTGAAGAAATGTGCTCAAAGTGCAGAATCTTCACCTAAGAATCCTGGGAAAATTATTTTAAAAATCAAGGCCCAAGAAGGCAAAAAATATTCTGTCAAAGTTGATACAAGAAGTTCAACACCTGATAAAACTTCAGAGTCTGACGAAGATTCAAAATCGATAATTAGAAAAAGCAGACGTTTGAGTCAGGTTATATCATCATCAGGTGAAAGTGGTGATGACTTGGAAAAATCAAACGATCTGGGTGGTAGTGATCCAAGAATGATCGACAGTTACGCTATGTTAAGTCAACTCTCTCTCCCTGGTATGTACACGGGCAAAGTTGTGTCAGTAATAGACACTCATTTATTAAAGAGGACTCAAAAATCTCCTGTTTTTGGGGAACCAGCATTTGAAAGTATGTCATCTCTTACAAAAACAATAACACCTTCGCTCAGTGTGACTGCTAACTCATCTGAATCATCCAATACAAAATGTCAGCCTTTCATATCAGACAAACCTGTGATAGGATTTCAGGACATACCATCTTGTACTGCTTTGTCATCTTCAAATGTGAGTATTCTTCTTCAATCATTCTGATTTCAAAAACTATAATTTTATTCAATATCACAAGGTATTTCAGATTTTCCTATTCCTAATAATTACTAGTTTTCTATGTAACTTTGAATTAGCCCAATCTTATCGAACTTATGTCTATTCATATTTTTGAAACATTGAGCAAGCAATCGTAAATTGCAAGTCGCAAAAACGGAACAAAATTGTCAGCATCGAATTTCAGATTTTAGAATGACCTACTACTTTTGTTCTGGCCTTTCATAGCCAATGACCCCCGCACTAACACTTGTATTTTTGGCACCAATCTTTTTCAATTTCGTGATTACTTCTAAAGTTTAAGTGTGAGCATACACTGATTTTAACATTGAATTTTAAAATGCTATAAACGACACATGCCTTTTTTACTAAAGGCCATTCATATATCTAACGTAACAAAATTGTCAGCACCGAATTTCAGAATGACCTACTACTTATGTTCTGGCCTTTCATAGCCAATGACCCCCGCACTAACACTTGTATTTTTGGCACCAATCTTTTTCAATTTCGTGATTACTTCTAAAGTTTAAGTGTGAGCATACACTGATTTTAACATTGAATTTTAAAATGCTATAAACGACACATGCCTTTTTTACTAAAGGCCATTCATATATCTAACGTAACAAAATTGTCAGCACCGAATTTCAGAATGACCTACTACTTATGTTCTGGCCTTTCATAGCCAATGACCCCCGCACTAACACTTGTATTTTTGGCACCAATCTTTTTCAATTTCGTGATTACTTCTAAAGTTTAAGTGTTTATTGATGACCGTGAAATAGTTCTGCTTCATTTTCATATGATCTTATGATTTAGTGTTCTTGCTCATTACAGGCACCAACTTTCGTTCAACCATGTACTACAATTTCTGCTACTAAAGATACTCAAAAATATAGATCTACTAGTAAAGGTGGGTGTTCTATTGGATTTGGTTTTAATCATTGTGTCAATGTGGTTTTTGTCATTTCAACATTCTATTGGATTCAAATATGCAGCCGAAAATCCCAATTGAATTGCATCACATCTAACATTATGTAATCTATATTGTATTCAAGTTTACATAAAAAACTTTCGAGCAACAGCCTTAAAAAAACTCTTTACTGACGTGTCCTGACTTCTGATACATAAGTTGAGAACCGCTGGCCTAGATTGTAAATTACATAAAGTGGAAATTATGAACATCTTTTTTGCTTGAAACATAAAAGTTTTTTCTTTCCGAATTAGAAAAAAACTGTGCGAAATCATGTTATACTGTTTACATTTTGTTTTGAGATATTGGAATTTATTATTTTTTTCAGGTAAAAGTCTAATTCAGATGCAAGAACTTGCTAGAACGAATCAAATTCCATCTGATGATTCTGAAAATGTCGATTCTGATACGGAAGATTCTGTTGTATCTACCACATCATCTGCTGAGGAGGATACTACTTATGAAAATGATCATGGTTATGAAAACTTGAAACATGAAGAAAGGGAAACTCCAAATAAGCCTAACTTGCGTAATCGATCTGTCATTGATAATGAAAGGTATGATTTTTGCTATCATGTTGTGTATGAAAATTATTCTCTTAATTTGCCTTTCGTGGCAATTTTTTGCAGTTGCAAAACATGGTAACATGTGGATCCATACTTTAAAGGGATCAATCATCTCTAAAAAGTTATCTCCAATGGCCTGCTCTCAATATTTGAAAATACCTGAATTTTTTTGTCTTTAATATCTTAAATTAAAATACTTTTCTTCAATATTGACACAATGAACTCCAGCCATCCAATTTCTATCAAACTTCCTGATCAGTAGAAAGCATTATTTCATTAAAAATAAAAAATCACCTTCACTTTTCAGACCAACTGATAAGAATATAGAACGAGACTTTTCAAATTTAAAACAAGGTGCTAAGCAAGTGAAAAATGAGGAATCTGACTATGAAGATTCATATTCATCGTCATCTAACGATGATAAACCAATTATCACTGATTGCATATGTGCGTGCAAAAGACTAGTTTTGTGCAAAGGATGTGGAGCATACACACATGAAGAGTGCTTAAGTTCTTCAAAGCTATGTTCTCTTTGTTGTGTGTAAGTTTTTGTCTCATTAATTTTTTTTCTGCTAACAGATAAGTTTTTTTTTATAGAGTTGTGTCTTTTCAAAATTTATTGCCAGTTTTTCTTCAGCTATATTGTTTCTATATTTTTTTTAATACCAAGTTATCTGATGTTGAAATATCTTACTCTATTCAGGGTATTTGCTTTGTGCAAAATGTTATACCCATTACATCACATTGCAGGACTTATCCTTATCAGTGGTAACTTTACGTTTTATTTTCGTCGGATAATGCGATATCTGATATTATTTTTTGTATTTGCACATCATTTTTTGATTAATTCTGAAATGCAGGTTCTTTGTGAAATTGGTATATACCTGGCTTGATGATGATTTATGTCATATTAATTTAAGGAAAGGAATCAGGTTTTCCTGGATAACGGACTTCTACTAAATAATATTAATTTCAAGGCTCAACTATTATCTATACCAAGGATGGCGAACCACTGACCCGCACAAAGTGACCCACCGCGTTTTATTCGTGACCCGCCAAGGCACGAATAAAATAAAATTCTAACATATCAGTGATAAAAATTGATAAAATCGACCTTAAATTAATCCAACAATAACTAAACGAGAATATCGGTCGAAGACCGACGACTTATCGATTGAAAGTTAGGAGATCCTCTAAAACAGAAACCGCGGTATCGATTCATTCGATATGACTCCATAGCAACACCGTGTGTCCCATCACTAATTAATCAATAACTCGCTAATTATACGACATACATCCAAAATCAATAGGCTTATGGTACGAGATATGATGAATGCACATGCAAAATTTGAAGCAGATTCATGAGATATCGCATAACATACGAAAGTGTCTGTCCAACAGACAGACAAACAAACAAACTAGAATTCAGTTGGAAACCGAAGACTTATGATCGAAGGTTAGGGAATCCCCCAAAACAGTGGTCTTACTCCATAGTGACACCGTGTGTCCCATCATTAATTAATTAATACCTCTCTAATTATACGACATAATCCATCCAAAATCAATAGGCTTCTGATCCGAGCTATGATGAATGCACATGCAAGGAGCAGATTGAACCTCGCTTTCGTGAGATATCGCGTGCATCTAACAGACAAATACCTAACAACATACTTACCGCAAGATCGATAAGTAACTATTATAAGGTACCGTCAGTTGGGCAGTCAGGGCTGCGATCGCTCGTATTCAAATTGTTAATTTCTGTGCCGGTATGGTAATTTTTAAACCCCTGATGTTCGACGCATGTCTGCACCGCTGTGTACCGGTATTCAGCTATTGGCTCTAACATCGTTTATGACATAACAATGCAATTCATGTTCATTTCTTGCAACGTCTTGTCTCTTTCAGAGTTGCATCTGCAGATTGTTTTAGGGCTTATATATACTAGAACTAGATGCTACTTTGAATTTTATTAGTTTCTCGCCTACATGGCCGTTGAGAAAACAAAATCTTTCAGACTTGAAATAAAAACCTAGAAATCTGAAATAACAATGGGGCAGTGTAAAAGTGCTTTAATGTGCTTGAAAGCTGATTGAAAAATATAAAACTATCATAGTGGGATTCGCTCCAAACTCTTTGGAACCGTAAAATAATTTACTGCTTCATCCTAAACGGTTTTGGTAATTCATGTGGTTGTTTTCGTACTCTAATTTCATGAAATCGAGTGCCATAAAAAGTCCCTGATAGAAGTGCTGCATAGGTAAAGCACAAAACTACACTAACACCAACAGAAGCTTATAAGATTTCAGAAGTTTCTTAAAGATACAAACATTGAAAAAATAAATATCTATGACCCACTCACTTCTGTTCCTCGATAAAAATATAATTTTTGACCCATTCATTGAAAAAGGTTCGCCATCCCTGATCTATACCTTTATCTACAACCAAAGTTCCGATTCAATTCTAAACAATGAGATGTATTTGTAAGATGTATGTTCTTTATTTTAACGACATTAAGCTTTCTGCTCAAAATTTTATTTTTGTTTTTTAAATCTGCATGGTCTTGTTTCTTATATTTACACTGTTTTGTTACCAAGGATATAAACTTTCTATTCTCTACAAATTGTCTTTATCATGAATTAAAAGTTTATATGCAATTGTTATTGCTTGAAGAAATAGGTGTTGCTAGTAGCAGATCGTGGGTATTGCTGGAGTGGTTTTCTGGAAACTGGTTAAAAGCATGTACTGAGTTCAGTACGAACGAACAATGTTCGAATGCAATCGGACTAGTTTTAAATACAGTGTTCCTTTGCCTTGTAAAAAAATCGTGTCGCTTATGACAGCTATAAATAAGTTACATCGTTTGATAAAATTGAAACAAAGGGTTCCAGTGGTGTGACATGTGAATAATGCATAATCAAGATTCTAAGCTGATTCGGCTGAAAAACAGTCGTTTAAATTAATCGCTTATAACCATATGCGTATTCTCAAGCACTCTGTGAATACGTGGTATAAGGCCACCTGAAAATATTCGCCATAAATAGCGTTCTCCAGCCTATAATAGTTTTATTCCAACAACCTGTTATCAGACACGAATAGTTTTGCGAAATTGTGGTGCTCCTGGAGTATGCGCACCAAGATGTCGCATAACCTGAACACTGACCTGGTACACAACCTGAGTTCAGGTTACTTACGTACTATACCATGTCATGTTGGTATCCCAGGTAGTATGCACAGCAGATAGAGACACAAGATAGGATCGGATTTACATTTCTATCCCGGCGGAGAATAAAGTCGATAGGACGGCTTAACCATGTGGCGAACCACAGCCTCTTGTCCAATTACCGGTACCATTACATGTCGGGTATGGGATTAGTTAGTTATTTGTTTTCGGGAGCATGGACGTGATGTTGGAGGAAGCCGTAACCGACCAGCGGTTACGAGAACCACCCTACGGCGACGTGGAGACCAGCAACCCTCTCGCACATAACCATCCCTGCATGGGATTCGAACCCACGCAGAGTAATCAGAGGTGCGGTGCGGTGGCGAGCGTATTCCTAACGCTTTGCACGATGAGCCACACCGCCGCGGCTAGATCCGGGAGCCTGGATGGAATTTTTCGGTCCCTAACACAGACCCGCACGAAACGATGTTCGATCGTAGTCGGTATGCGGTATGTTAGTCGTTGATCGCAGCAGTATATATTTACGGTTCAATCACTGGATAGGATAAGATAAAATTAACATATTTACTGTCAAATGATTTCTTTATCAGCTTATGTTAATAATAGTGTCGACTTTATTATTCCTGGCAATAAATCCTTCTCTCTCTGTTCCCGGCAAGGTAGGTACATAATGGGTTTGCGACTGAGCACAGATTTATATCAAAATAAATTATCTTAATTATATAGTGTCAATCGCCCGTAAATTTACTTGAAAGTTGGGTCCCGAGTGCCTTCAGTAAATTCGCTTGAAAAAATATCACTTCCCATCCGAAATACCGGATCGTTTGGTCGCAATCAACGACTAACGTCGCAATGGACCTTTCCACGAGCATCGACTTCTTTGTTTACTTCGTGACATTGACCAATCAGCAAGATGCAGAAAGTGACGTAACAATGCCCCCTTTTCGCATTTGCTCAGACACTTTTCTCACTCAGACAGATTTTCAAGCGTGGTTGTAAACATTACCTCGTTTTCGCGATTTTGAACTCGTTGAAATTCGTTAGTTTTCAGTTGTGTTTGGGAAACTTGAATAAAAATTAGATAATTCAATGATCACTCTGTCCTCCTAGGAGTTTTAATTTAATTGCGGTAATAAAAATTAGTGTAAAAATAGCTGTGATAGACTAGCCCAATGAGCATATATACAATGAGTGGAAACTTGCAAAGATTTGCTCATTTTGGTATTGTTCCCTGCATTTTTACGTCGTCCAGCTAAATGGTTCGTTGCATATTAAGAAAACGCATTGCTCGCTGCCAAAATCCCTTGCTTCAGCCGAGTCGGGTGCGAAATTGGCCGTATTGAGGTCTGTAATTCTTCAATACATATTTGGTTTTGGGTTTCGAAGTATGGTACGCTGAAAGCATACAACTATGAGCATATGCTTATTGGGAATGCATATCTATTAGGCAGAAAACGTATCTACAGAACAGAATATGAACCAGTCGCCGAGAGGGGTGCGGTTATTTATTATTCATTGATATAACATGGGATTTACATATTTATCCATGGGAGAGGAAAGCCGAGAAGAATGCCTAAATATATGGCGAACCACGGCCTCTCACAATCATAGCTCTGTCCTCCATATGAATCACATGGCTCTGCGAGCTATTCGTTTACCTATTAAAAATACTGATTTTAACTATAAATTACTCTGGGATATCTTGCCTTTGAAAACAAAAGCCAGAAATTGGAAGAAAATCAGGGAATGAAATGTGTGTATTATGTAATGGAGAACCTGAGTTTGTTTCACATATTTTCATGTATTGTAAATTACAAAAAATATTTATGAAGAATTTGTTTTAGATATATTAAAATTGATTAGAATACATTTTGTTATCAATATGATTCTTGCATATCATTTAATTTTAACGATCCTTTATATAGTCATATAGATACTGTTGATTTGGATGCAATTATACTTTTGTTATCAATAGTGAGAAATATTTCAGGACTGCTATTAACTATGTGAGCTATTTTTTCTGCAATGCAAAATACATCTTGCGTCTGCTATTTACTATGTGAATTAATTTTTCTGCAATGTAAAGTATTTCCATAACTGCTTTTACTATGTGGGCTGTTTTTTCGGTACTCTTGTAGTATGTGTACCAGGTTAGGTTACGATTCTCCTTATTTTTGTTCTATTAAAAGTTCGGGAATTGTCTGTGTTACACAAGTGAATATCCCCTACCGATAGAATTTAGTCCATTTACACAACTTGATATAAAATAGGCGAACAAAATTAGTTACCTTCATATTGGTACACATACTTCTGGAGCACCATTTTTTTTGTAATGTAAAATATTTAATATGTGAACTAATTTTTTTGGAATGCAAAATATTTTCTACAGCTTCTGTATTTTTCATATGTCACTTTTCATTTCATCGATAATACACATGGTCTGGCACATTGTTCATTCTTTGTGGAGATTTTGGTAAATTTACAGATGGAATAAGACCGACATTCAGCTTTTTTCTGTTTTACAACTGTAATACAAATTGAAGTATGTAAACCCAGTTGGTAGACACCGGAACCATGTGTACCAGGTTAGGGTCTACTACATACAAGCATTCCCAAACTTTTCAAGCCTTTTTAGAATTTGTGAAGTCTTGCGCCTCACCTCAAAATAGTTAGCTAACAATAATAAGCTACAAATAACAGTAAGGCATAGGTACGTTTTATTGGAAAAACAGTTGAAAATACATGGATGGAACGAAATAAATGACAAGTTTTGATATGCAAATATTTACAAGTTTTGATATGTATAAAATCAGCCAAGTCCAGAAGTCAGTATTTTAAACTAATAGAGAGAGAGAGTTTATTTCGTTCGTCAAACCATGAACATATATAAATTATAATAAAAAAAACAGATGCTCAGGTGTTTGACTGGGAGACAACGTTACAACATTTGGGGTCATTTAACAGGTTCGGTGTTAAATTCTTCAATAGCTCTCATATACCGTATTCACTATATACATTATTCACAAGAATTTTTGATTTGGAAAGTACTAAATAATCATGTTTTGTCCTAAGATCATCATTTATTCAGCTGATAAGTTGACATGTATTGCATATCAACTGCATAAAAATGGGTTAGCAAGGATACCTATTATTTGGAAAATTTGTCTACTAAAAATTAATGTGATAGGACATGGGTTTTTTATGAGCAAAGATGAGGAAAATTCTATTATTATAGCACTTTAATTATAAACATTTGATAATAGTAATGAAATCATGAGTATATTTCTTTATACACTATAATTTGAACACATCAAATTATAATACTTGATTATGACTGGCAAGTGATTTGGAGGATAGTGACACACATTAATACATGATCAGGATTTGACCCTTCTCCAGCAGATATATATATATATATATGAAATAAAGTGCTCATGTACATATCTATATTCGGCTACAGAGCACGTATCATAGAATGAATTTTAAGGCGAAATATTGATAATATACTGAAATAGCAATGATAAACAATAGGTTATTTTTAAATAAGTATTACCGGTACTAAAAAATAAATAAAGTGCTCATATACATATAGATATTTGGATACAGAGCAAGTATCATAGAATAAAATTCAAGGCAAAAAATTGATTAAATACCAGAATAGCAAGTATAATAAACATTAAGATACTTTTAAACGAAGTATTACTAAAAAATAAATAATGTGGTCATGTACATAGATATTTGGATACAGAGAAAGTGTCATAGAATTTAGGGCGAAATATGGATGCAAGTATGATAAACAATTTGATATTTTTATAAAAAGTGTTACCAACAAATAAAATAATAGATTATGGAGTTCCAGCAAGTGTGCTCATAACAAATAAAAAGATAGCAATTCATTTACCACAGTGAATTAAATTCATTACACATTACTACTTGCTATAACACGGCGGGCACATGATACTCATCGTGTTTTAAACTTTTTTAAAGGTTTTGCTCGCTCTCCAGAATTCTCCATTTTTTATTTGTTTGTATTGTCAGATTGTGGACTTTTCAAAATAAACTATCTATATCAATGAATACAATATCCCGGGTCACCACTTGGCTGGTTCATATTCTGTTCTGTAGTTAAGTTTTCTGCCTAATAAATGGTATGTATTCCCAATAAGCATTACAGTATGCTCATTCGTTCACTCAATGAGTGATTTTAATTACGGTTATTATAAATAAGTTCATATTCCATGTTGCATCCATGATTCAGTATTTATTTTGTTCAATTCCAGTAGTAATCCAGGTTATTTTAATAAATGCATTGATATAAAACAATAAAAATGAAATTAGTAAATATAAAATACATATCATAAACATATAATTTTCTTTTTGAAATAACGCTTTACATAAATTTTTCAATTCCCTCTCAAATGGGTTGTTTATTCTATAATTCTCTATATTTTTCTACATATTATGGCCATTTTTATCTGCTTTTTGAGAAAGGCAAAATGGGGTGTTTTATTTTCGAATATAATAGAATTTCTCATGGTCAAAATTTTATATCTCACTATTGATTACAAAAGTATAATTGCATCCAAATCAACAGTATCTATATGACTATATAAAGGATCGTTGAAATTAAATAATATGCAAGAATCATATGATAACAAATGTATTCTAAATTAATATCTAAAACAAAATCCTCATAAATATTTTTTGTAAATTTACAATACATGAAAATATGTGAAACAAACTCAGGTTCTTCATTACATAATACACACATTTCATTCTCTGCTATTCTTCCAATTTCTGGCTTTTGTTTTCAATGGCAAGATATCCCAGAGAAATAGTTAAAATCAGTATTTTTAATAAGTAAACGAATAGCTCGCAGAGCCATGTGATTCATATGGAGGACAGAGCTATGATTGAGAGAGGCCGTGGTTTGCCATATATTTAGGCATTCTTCTCGGCTTTCCTCTACCCTTGGATAAATATGTAAATCCCATGCGCGGCGGTGTGGCTCAACGGGCTAAGCGTTAGGAATACGCTCGCCACCGCACCTCTAATTACTCTGCATGGGTCCGCAGGTTCGAATCCCATGCAGGGATGGTTATGTGCAAGAGGATTGCTGGACTCCTCGCCGCCGTTGGGTGATTCACGTAACCGCTGGTCGGTTACGGCTTCCTCCACCAACAAGTCCATGCTTCCGAAAACAAACAATATAACTAATCCCATGCCCGACTTGGAATGGTAACCAGACGAGAGGCCGTGGTTCGCCATATGGATAAGTCGTCCCATCGGCTTTCCTTTCCCCGGGATAAATATGTAAATCCTTATCCTTATCCTCATTATCCTAATAAATACATAAATAACCGCACCCCACTGGGCGACTGGTTCATATTCTGTACTGTAGCTACGTTTTCTGTCTAATAGATATGCATTCCCAATAAGCATATGCTCATAGTTGTATGCTTTCAGCGTACCATACTTCGAAACCCAAAACCAAATATGTATTGAAGAATTAAAGACCTCAATACGGCCAATTTCGCACCCGACTCGGCTGAAGCAAGGAATTTTGGCAGCGAGCAATGCGTTTTCTTAATATGCAACGAACCATTTAGCCGGACGACGTAAAAAATGCAGGGAACAATACCAAAATGAGCAAATCTTTGCAAGTTTCCACTCATTGTATATATGCTCATTGACTAGCCTGAAATTCTTTACCGGTACTTTTAAAAAACAGATTGTTGTATGCGATGAATCATAATGATAGTTTGAAACACCCACCCCATTTTACAGGCGCGAACTCGCAAAAGCACTCTTAAAATAGCCCTGGAAATTTTGCAATAGTGAAGTATAAGGAGAATTTTTCGGGGGTCAAAGGTCGGGGAAAGGTCCATAAACCAACGACTAACATACCGCAATAAACGTAACCCATATATTTACATCCGCTAGATGTGCAAAGCAAAAAAAATTGTTATTTTTTGATTGTGACTCCCCATTGCCCCATGCTTTCTGCTTTATTATTTTCGTTGAAACGTCAAGGTACCCCGGCACCGGAGAAAAATAAGTACCGGTACCTTAGTAGTAGCCGATAGCAATACGGTACCGGTACTTCAACAAAATTTCAGTAAGCCGTCGTGGCTTATCACCCACAGTCTCACAGACCCACGAAAATAACTAGGCCTCTAGGCTGGAAACAAGAGCCAAGTAACCTTAACTTCTGAACTCGGGAATCCGGTACCGGTACCGGTACCATTTAAATTGCACAATTTACAATCGTTTTGTTCAGTTACCTTACGGTATCCAGTTATATGTGTTATTCAATCTTCAGCCCTCCTGCAACAAATGATTATTATTCTGTTTTGTATTTAGGCTACAGCCTACAGGTATGCGATCTTGCCTGATTTGATAGAAGTTTAGTCAACTTAGTCTTTTTCATTGTGAAAATATTACAGTATTTATTGTATTAGGCTACTCTTAACTTCTTAAATGCTTTGATCTTCCAAATAACTATGGCTTTCTATTCATGTACGGTACCGTATTCAGTTATTACTGGTACTGTATTATGTTCTCATATTAAATAATATTGAATACCGGTATATATCGATTAGCTAAACATCAAAATATCTTGATATCATGGCCTCATCGTTATTAAAAGAAGTTCTTCCTAAGCAAGGACAACTATATCAAGAAGATTCTCCAGCTGTGGTTTTATGTAAACCAAAAATCATGCCTCTCAAATCAGTGAGTTTGGAAAAAATGGAAAAGATGCAAAAAGAAGCGCAAGAAATGATGAAAGCGCAAGAGGAAGCTGACTTGTCTGAATCACAGGCAGAAAGTTGATTAGCCGATTCATGCATTACAGCATTATACCCTTCAGAAAGACTAAATGCTACCGAAATGAAAACAGATATCGTATCGTATGACTGATGATAATTTAATGGTTTTCTCTATTCCATTTCAAGTAACAGTAAGATAGATTACTGAGATATGATCAATATTCGATTTATATGATTTATAATTCTGGTCAAATTGAAATATGGCTATTCATATAAATGATTTTTTGTATGGATTCAATATGGACAAGTTGATTATTGAACTAGTGCAATTTGAAATTAATTTTCAGTATGCTTTGAAAATTGTTATACAGTACAGCACACTATCCGAATTCCAAGAATTTCCCTCCATTTGGCTCAATAAAACAAACACTCTATGTGTCTCACAAACGAGGGGTGTCTGGGACCACGTCAGATGCTTCATATCGTGTCATGCTTGTCTCAATAATAATCTAAATTAATCGCAGCCGTCACATGGCCAAAATTGCCGTTTTTTGCTAATAACTCTCGAATGCTATGGTAAAAAAAATTTTTCTTAGGCAAATCAGATTATTTTTTCCCAGGGAATTCAATGATGACGTTACTAGATTGCGCTTTTTTGTAGTATTTTGCACAACTTCATTATACTGTATTATTACCGATATTAAGGGACAACAATGTCTAGACGTCTCCCAAAGGAGGGGTGTCTGATCATCTGTAAAATGGGTTTCTCTGAAACGGGACAATGTCACCCGATTGTTATAGTGTGCCATACTGTTATAGGGCGGTTTAACTACTTCAGTACTTTGTGATCATTATGAATTTGAGGTCACTAACTTTATCAAAATGATCACTTTTGAAAAAAGTGATATAAATTTGATGAAGGATTCAAATATTTGCTACACACCAGCTCATTTAAAAACCACGGGAGTTACGAATAAAAAAGTAAAAAAAATCCTAATTGCCAGTGTAGAACTTTCATTTGAAAAGTTGTCAAATGTCGAAGAAATAAAAAGAATATTGAGCTGAAATTTGGCAAGCAATAGAGTGTTGTATGTTTAAAATCATCTGCAGTTTCATCTCTTAGGCTATGAAGAAAATGGTGTTTGGAGTTAGCATTTTGTAATCATTAGATATTTCCATCAACAAATTTCACTCTAAATTTGAAAAATGCATGATTCCACTGTGTCTGGTAGCATTATTGTGACAGATTTTATAGGACTGAAAATAAAGTTGATAGTAAATTGGTTAAACCACACTCGATGATGGATTTTCTTATTACTGTATTACTAGATGATATATGATGTACAAGCATAGTCAATAAATGTAAAATGTGTCTAATGATATTTTTTTTGTTTATTTTTTTAATTACATCGTTTTATAACGTATGTTTTATAAGTCTGTAATGGCTGCTGCTGTTTATGGTAAACAAGGGTCATCACCCATACGTCCCAACTCAAGTCAGAGCCGCAAACGTAGTCCTTACAGAACCAGGTCACATTCTTCAGAAGTGGATGAGACTTTATTTGGTAGACCTGCTAGATACCATGATCAGAAAGACACTCCTAGAATCAATCCTGAAGATGTAACATGGGATCCTCCGTGGATTACAAGCCCAAAAAAAACAGGTGTTCCCCTTCTTTGGAGTCCATTTGATTCAAAAGGTTAGTGTGCTCAGAACAATGGACTAGTAACACTAAAATATGAGGTATTAAACTAAAAGCTATTCTGAAATGATATTCAATTTGTACTGCTCAAGGCCACCAAAATTTGAGTAGCCTATTCAACTTTTTTTCCAGTTTTTATATTTGTTGAGGGAAATTCTGAGGCATAAATTATTTGAGATCGTTCATACTATTGTTTTCTTTTGCCATTCAATTTATTATTTGAGGAATGAAAAACAGCAGAGTGTATTTTCAATTCAGAAGTTTGGTTGGGTCATGATCATTTATGGATTTTTCATTTTAAATAATTTTATCGTATTGTATCCATTGTACCTCTTCTGTTTATCTGGTTTGTGGATGTGACGCATTGTGCTAAGCGTTAGGAATACACTCATTACCACACATCTGATTACTCTGCGTGTGTTCGCAAGTTTGAATCCCATGTGTGAGAGGATTGCTGGACTCCTCGTCGCCGTAAGGGTGGCTCACATAACAGCTGGTCGATTACGGCTTCCTCCACCATCTAGTCCACGCTTGCCAAATCAAATAAATGGTTAACTAATCCCATACCCAACCCTCTCCCCCGGGATGGATATGTAAATGCTGTTCTATCTCTTTGCTGACTATAAACTACTGTTAATTTATTCAGATGCAGAAGACATGAATTCAACAAGAAAAAGTGTAAAAACTACGACACCTAGGACTCCCAAATCTGCAAAACAAAAGTACAGGTCCGTCAATCAGTTCGTATACTTGTGTTGTATTATCAGTATATATATATTAACTAAGATAAATGCCCTAATAATTTTCATGGAAATTTGCCCAAACCTTGCTCATAATTAATAATAATGAATAGCCTATCGAAATGGATTATTTAACGGGCTACTACGCTATCAAGATCAACTGTCATTTTTTATATAATTGCATGATACATTCTTGTTATGCATTTTAGAGTGCGGAAATTGGTTCCTTCATATGTTGATGAAACTTTATTCGCCACTCCTCGGAAAACATCAGATTTACGGGCTCCTTGGGCAACTGATGATATGTCTCCGGATGCTTCTGCACCTGCCCAGATTATCTGCCCACCCTCGGTTGATGCGGCAAATCCGCTGACGCCAATTCAAGTTTCACGAGTAGAAAGCAAGGTAAGCAACTTTGCAATATATATGCCAGTAGCAGTATCCAGGATAAAAATATATCTAATATTGGTGTTGTTTTTATTGCTTTGCTTCATTTTGGCATATAGCTAGCATGTCAACGATACCTCTGAGTTTCTTTCTGCAAAATTCATCCCCCTGATAAGTTGTTTCAGAAAATGCTCGTAAAAGTAGGGTTGACATTCGAATAATTTGCTTCTGCACAGTCTTCTGCATCAGTCTTACAAGACTGACAATGCTAAATGAACAGCATGGTTATAATTACGGTAGTCTTTCACTATGGGTCATTATTATGCAGTGCTGTCAAATATATTTTGATTCGAATAAACCATTTAATGGCATAGACCTTAAATTATCTCTTCTAAAAGGAAATATTTTGTTTATATATTAGTAAGGCTTATTAATAGAATATATTATTATGAAATTTGAATACAATGATGCATAAACGAGAATATCGGTCAGAGACTGAAGACTTATGATCGAAAGTTAGGGGATTCCCCAAAACAGCGCTCTTACTCCATAGTGACACCTTATGTCCTATACTCAACATACTTACCGATTAAAATCTATAAGTAATAATTGATTAAGAATTGATTTTACTTGGGTCTATTTCTACTGTATAGGAATTCAAACAATTCTGATACAAAATATAAAACGAGTTTCATACACATATTTTCATGTTTAATAATAATGGCAATTTTAAAAGATGTAGGAAATTATCAAATTAAATTTGACAAACACTAGCATCACCATTTACCATAAAGTTTCATTTTATCAACGTTGAAAAGTGTGCTAGATGTCAAGTCTTGTTTAGTGTGGGAATATGGATTAAAGTTTGGATTGAAAAGCTTTATATATATATATCACTCTGTTTTGAGTTCAAATTGTCAAAATTATCTGTTTCCCGTATTTCTTTTGAAAAATCTGCTAATACTACTTCTCTTAATATTGTACAAAAATGTTGAGTAATGTGATCATTTAAATTTTGATCTTCCTAGTTGCTAAAACCTTATGTGAATAGTGAAAGTGATTTTATCAACATTAAATGTACTGAAACAACAACATTTTGAAATCGCATGAAAGGAAATACAGCTTTATGAGACAATTAAAGCTCTTTAATTCTGACAAATCAGATTTAAAAATTTGTACTTCTCTGTTATTAAAGACATTGAATATACAATATATATTAACATTAACAATATACAATATAAATATTATAATACATTATATCAACAATATATTCAACCCTCTCAGACATTCGCAAACATATTAGCTGAAGTAGATTAAAATCTATTTATAGCTGCATTTCTGTTGTGAAGGTTGGGTGGTTATTTTGAGGTGCCGAGTAAAGAATAATCAGACAAACAACAATAGTGCATTTGTTTATACTATTCGAACACAATGATATGACGAGGATGGAGGTTGTATCAATATTGTATTACCTGTATTCAATACACATTTCGAATATTGCTCTTTTCACAATTGGTAGAGGCGGTGACAGTACTATTCCAGTCGTTTTAGATTTATAAAAGAAAAATCTGCTGTTATGTCCTTCTCACAATTTGTAATTGCTTGCTAAGGCATATGAAATCTGTAATTGTGAATGAGTTACTGGTGAGTTTGATTTTTCTACAGTTAGATATTTCCAGTTAAAGCAAGAATTATGAGGAATGGCTTATGCGATGACAATTGCTGCTACTTTCAGATAATTTTAGATACACTACTAGAGTAGACTCTATGTTTATTTATCATGTGAAATATAAAATACTTAGTAAAGAATTCTGGAATGAAATTTGAATGAAACAAAATTAGCATAATTACTATTAGCGGTGAAATTATTTTTTTTTAATTCTTGTCAACTAATCTGATAGATCAATGTGTCAATCTATTCCTTCATTACTGCAATATTTAAAAATACTCTTTTATTCTGTTCTGCCACTACTAAATATCTGTATTTCATCCACTGAAAATACAATTATCGTAACTCCCGTAGTGAGTGTACCAGGTTAGGGTTAGGACATACTTTTATTCCGATTTTCCTTATTTTAGTTCTATTACGATTTCGGGGACTTTAGCCAAGTGAATATACCCCCTGCCCATGGGTTTCAGTTTCTTTACACAACTTGATGTAACTCTATATAGGTACACACACTTCAGGAGCACCCAATTATCTTCACTTTTTTACAGACTGCAGTTGGTGAAAATACAATGCATTACACTCCGGTAATTAAGGCAAGACCCGGTTCTGCTATCAACACTCCACAGAGTCGAATAAAACCAGATGTTAGGAGGAAGAAAAGTAATTCTCAAACTGAACCACAAAAACTTGATTTTTGCTTGGAAAATGGATTAAAGAAACATGCAGAAGGTTAGGATTTGTTGGTAAATTTTTGCTCTCGTCTATTCTATGCCATTCTATTCTTGCTTATACCTCAGATGACAATTTTCATTAACAATTAGTTAAATGAAATGACTGAAAATTTTTTTTGAAATCAAGAATATTTTCTACACTAAAAATTTTTAAATAGTAATTCTGTTCTTGGAAACCCAAGTATTAGAAATCTTTTATGTTAACTTATAATAATAAAGAAATTAAGACTGTATGATGTAGATATATATGTGACTGAGATATACTGTTAATTGAATGTAAAGAGACATGTGTATTTCAAACAAAAAATGTAAATTTAACATCATTGGGTTCAGTGACAATATAAAAGTGTAAAGGAAAAGAACACTAATAATTTAGCTGGACAGTTTGTCGAAATGTAACAATCTAATGAAAGTAGACGGAAACATTTTAAGATCAAATTCTAGTTAAGTCGGTTGTGGGTTCAATTCAACTAAGTTGTATATAGAATGGACATTGTCCATCGTCATACAATAATTTAATTATTACCTTGCATCATCAGTTTTGACAAAGGGTCAATGTACCAGTTATTTTATATTTTATTGGCAGATGAGGATCCAAATGAAATCGTCCAGAGGGCTTTGAAACTTGCTGGAATAAATCGTAATAATGAAAGCCCAAGATATCGGTCAAATTCCTTAGATGGTCTGTCAAGTAGAGCTTCAACACCAGGAAGATATTTTTGGAGAAGACCTGCTTCATCAGCTTCATCTACAGGTATTTTATCTGAGTTAGTTCGCTCTAGGTAGCTCTATTTGATGTTCTACTTCACATAAAAACCAAAATGGGCTGTGGTCACATACAAATGTTATTCCACCACCTTCAAATGATTTAAATTAGATTTTGCAGCAAATTTTCAATAAATGTTTAATTTTACTTGATAGTCTCCTATAACAACAGAAGTTTAAATATCTTACGCCCTTATCCATGATACAATTATTATATTTTCCCCTTGGAGCAATATGGATTAGAATAATGGCGTTAATGAAAAATGATCAATCACCAATTCAGCTTTTGAATTATAGCCAAACATAATCAAATTGTTGATGTGACCAGGGTAGTTTATAGGACCAAAGCCCTTAAATTTACCAGGGTATGGAACAGACTGCTAAATGCTCGTCAATGATGATTCAAGCGATAGAGAAGTGGCACCCCTTCTGACCCTACCCTTATTCTTCAACCCATTTCAAAAAATCATACTTTTTTACCCGTGCCATTAATGATCTCTTACACTTGATCTGAGGCTGCATTGAGAATATTTGAAACGAAGATGATTAGGTAATGCTAGTTTGCTGATGTGCTAGAACACTGCTTTCCAATATTCTTTATTAAGCAATTTTAGGGGTCCGTGAAAATTATACATTTGTGTTACATTGCAAATTCAGAGAATGTGGTTACTGGTAATATTCATACTTTTATTGTGATGTAACAATTCATCAATCAACTGCAAAACAGAGAAGACAGGCAGAAGCTTTCTCAAACTGCATCAATAGCTAACTATGACCTACTTGCATAGGCGATATTTTTGTTTCGTTAAATTTACCATGCAGTATGGGCCATGGCTAAATCAAAAAAGTACTCTGAAAGTTATCTTGGTGTGGGGCTTATTTCAGTGGCCATGCATGGCACAGTGTGTCAAATTTCTTTATCAAACTACAATATGTTTTTATGTTATACCAGCGGTTACCAAACTTTTCGTTCGTGCGGCGCCAAATTATCGGGAAAAAAACTCACTGCGCACTTACAAAATTGCTGGAATTTGCAATAATTGCTGCCTTTAAAAAAAACTAAATTTTGTGATCTTTAATGTGTACTTGCTTTTAAAGTTTGTAAACATGTAGGCCTGAAGAATAAAGGCAATATCAACTCTTCTTCCTCATTTTCCTTTGAAATACTGTTACAAAAAAATCCCCAATGTTCGCTAAAAAACTCAGCTCAGCAGATAAATAAACTGAAATTGCAGCAAAGAGTGACTACCTCTATTGTTACATAAAAGTTGGGCAGGGCATCACTGTTTTTGTTTGCAGCGGATATTTCAACCAACATGAGAGACAGAACCTCCAGCAGATCAATGAACAAGAAACAATCTAAGACTGAGCTTGAAATAGATGATTTGTTTTCTGCAACAGGGAAGCATATGCCACTGTCGGCAAGAAATTCCCCAAGAAGACCTAACTCAGCAAGGTACAAATCTCTTTGTCTATTTAATAGGTATGCAAGAATATTTTTCAAATTTGAAAAATATGGTACATGGTACAAATTAATTTACCTATATTGTGTACCGGAACCTCCCAATAAATAAAGCAGGCCTAATAAATATAACCCTTGGGCCATGGTCTGGTTAGTGATGAAGTCTTTGGGTTGTCCAAAATTTAGCGTTTAACCTTCACACTAACTTGTGTTCTGTTTTTGTCTTAAAGGTGAATGTTGAGTAATATTTAATTATTATGCTGTTGTGACTATAAATTTCACTGCATTTGATTGCCACTAGGTTCATCCTCAATACAAATTAGTTTCTTTTTTATATGTTAATTATTGTATTATTTGAAAATACAGAACAGAAAATTCCCCAGGAAGTGTACCTGGACTCGACCTCTCTCGTCCACCAAGGCTGTATAAGTCTGAGAAACCTCTGAGGAGTGCCAGATCAGCTGCAAGCATGTCTTCTACTTTGTCAAACAGGCCTTCATGGCGACCTTAAATATCATGGTGACCAATATTGCTTGTGTGAGCATGGATTTTATGGGGAAAATGAAGTCTGTAGTAATAGGCCTATTCCTAGGAGCTATAAATTTTGGAAATTACTGTGATTCTTTGATTATATTCAATAATCTGTGTAGCAAAATTTTTGTGCATCTGGCATTAAGTTTAAAATGAGAACCATTGGTCTCATTTTATTTTTGTACTGTTACAATTCCAATTCAACTCCACTGTTTTAAGAGCAATCATGTAGAAGATTTAATTGGAGAAGCTATTCTCGGAAGATTGTATAAATTAAGGTGACATGAGCTCAAGAAAGTGACTCAAAAAAGCAGAGCGAACATATGTAAAATGAATTTATATACTGTTGACTGTTCATTCTCAGTTTCATAACTGTTATGACAGATGGAGATAGATATGTCTTGAGAACATTGAGATCAGATTGCTGTGACATTTTTTTTATTTTTGTATACTGCAGTTTTTACCATGTTTATAAGACACAGATGTGTCAACCATATTTTTTTAGATAACTAAATTTAATGATACCTTTATATAATATCTATTTAAAAGTAGTTTTAGATGACATTCATATAATATCATTTTATAGGAGATTTTCATACTGGTTTTAAAGTTTTTATAATCTATTGCAGCGGTTCCCAACTGGGGGCACGTGGCCACCAATGGCACCACAGAGCAGTTGGGGGGCCAACATGCTAAACGCAAAACAGATTTTACCTTTCCTTTTACAAGAAAACTTCGTTCTTCCTAGTTTCTTTACTTGATTAGGTTATTGTGTCTTCCCCTTGTCGAGCATGTAGTGTTTGAACATAATGGGATTTAGAATCTAAAAGCCTTCGAAGAGAGGGGGGGGGTCTATTATATAGTTGTACTACCTGGGCCAGTCTAAGGTTATTGACAATGAGTGTTTGTATTTCTCATATGACATTTTCCACTGTGCAAAATTTTGAATATTCCCCGTTTTGTCATTTTAAAATTTTGGGTATAACTTAATATTTAATTTTGAGGTGTTTTTTATTTTATCTGAAATAGATTTTATATTTTCAAATTTGTATTTCATTATCATACTTTGGATGAGCGTATTAACTCGTCAAAACATGAAGTGCAGCGTCCTTTGGTGGAATATCTGATATATTCAGTTCAAAAGGGAATTTCACAGTAAGCAATATATTTTAGGAGGAAGGTTAGGGAAGTCTGTATTTTTGTCTTTTCTGCAATTAGAGGTTTATCTGAACTCTGTTTCACATGAATATGTCACCCAAGCAGTGTGTTCTTCATTGTGCAAAGTCTTATTTGTGGTCCTGGAAGCATTCCTCTAGTCTAGTTGAGTACACCCTCGATATTCTACTCCTTATCAGTTATCACTAATGAAATTTCCTTTAAAATGGTCATATATTTTGAACGCCGCCATGGTACGAAAAAATTACATAAAACAAACTTACAGGACGGAAGTTTTAAAACACAAAGACTTACAAGTGCTGCATGAACAGTCTCGCATTGACTATACAAATACACCATCATACCAAAAATGAAGTGCCCCAAAGATCCAATTTTGTTCGTTCCTATTTTCCATCTTTGGTCGTGTGATCTTCATGGAAAGCGTTGTATCAAGTTCGACTCCTGCAATACAACCAATACTTTACTGCGCGTGATAGAAACGGGCGGCGCACTCATCATATCGTGTAGCAGTAGTTACGACGTCAATTACAGGAATCACCGATCTATACCCAATGCTCCAGCGACTTGCTGGTATGATCAGCGTTATGAGAATCTGGCAGACAACTGCGTCCATCTCTGTACCTTTTCCAAACAAGTTTAATCTTCACGCACAGAGCGCCGTATAAATTCACTTCATAGATATAACTCGAACTTTTTAAATACAAATGTTCTTTACGTATGTGATAGAAAAGGTGGCCAACGATTTATAATTGATACAGGTACAACAGTTTCCTTAATTCGCCCGCATCAGAAACGTTCCGACCATCCTTGACCCGGTCGTAAGTTGGATGTTAATACCATGGTATGCCAACGGTCTGTGACTCTTGCATCAGATAACAATATCAAATATGACTGCGATTTTCAAATAGCACATGTTTTGTAACCGATATTAGGAGCTGATTTTTTGTCAAAACATAATCTTGTGGTTGACTTACGCAACTCGCGTCTCTTCGATTCAAACTCTTATACCTATATATATGGTAAGAAGTTCTTTGGCAGATCAATAGCCAACTTCATTTCACCGAGACATCAGGGTTACTAAGCCCATTTGTTAAAAGAATCCGAAGATTTGACAATCCTTCGACGTGCATCTGTTAGGGCGAAATATAACACAATACGCCGTGTTATTAAAACCGGGCAGCCAGTGCATTCTAAAGCTAGACCTCTTACGCAAAAAAGTCAGAGACCAGTGAAACACTCATTAAATCAGGAGACATAGTTTCTTCCAGCTCTCCTTGTTCATCTCCTATCACAGTTTTACTAAAGTAGGATAGCGATGAGGTCCGAATTTTCGTTGACTATAGCTTCCTCAATAATAATTAATCAGACCGTAAATATGATCAGACGACAAAAGACAGATGCAAAGTGACTATAAACCAAGTGAGGACAACCATTGGTAACGTTATAAGCGCTCGTGTGACGTCACACCAGCCATTTTGTGTCCAGAGTTTTCTATCGCTGTATGATCCTAACTAAGTGATTTAAACCTGCGATCGTTAAACAGCTGATTAAAAAAAAAACGACGCTCAATAATTCGAACCAAACTTTCGCAGCGGCAAAACGAATGAACATTCTTCTGAAAATTTAATTATCCACAGATGTTTCTCAGATAATTCGATTCGGCGGTATGGTCAGCATATACGAAGTTAAGGTTAAAGTCATCCAACTTCACTCGATAAATCAACAACCCGATAAGACCAAAATATTAAACAAAAAGATACACATTTTATTATTAAATTATTATAAAATTTCTGGTGTAATTATCGCTACTTGCACAGAACCTATTTTAACAAACTGACAGAACTACAATACAACTTATACTACAGAAACTTGCACTATTTTTGCGGTACATGTCATGATATTAAAATATGCGTATCGCAAATCTTCAACAAGGTGTACATTGCCAAAATAATATCCAAAAAATATACTACATGCATGGATTGAAGGATAACGGCGTATATCAAGTTTACAAGAACATATAATAATCTGGAGTGTCTAAAATAATATATTATCTATTTAACTTGAGCTCTTGCCGCAGGTTTACTAGCATACCATTTTCAATAATTTTATTTGTCTCCTCTTTTGCGTAAATATTCAACCTTAAATTGAGAAAACGTTTCAAAATTTTAAAAGCGATATTGTGGCAAGATGGAAAATTATATTTCAAGCAACTTTATCTGTCAGAAAAGTAACAGGCGAACATATATTAAGAAAGGCATTAATATTTGCGAGAAATATAGTTTATACTTCGCGCAAAAATACGACTGCTTTTTTGGATGGGTGGCATAAATATTGGGTAAAACTATCAATTTTCAAATATTTATCAGGTGTGTAAGACCTGAAAAGAGTTAATAACGATTGTGGGCATTCATCGGGATTGACACTTTCCATAGAAACAAACAAACAATTTAAAACCCCGTGTCTTTATAGGGTTCCCCCGAGAACATCAAGGCTAGTTTTTCACTGTTGGATATCGATAAAATTACAATTAAGTTTTATTAACGAGAACGTAGAAGACATGATGGCGTCGCTAGATCACCTAGTAAATATTTTACATTTTTCAACGCAAAAAAAATCGAAATATCCTGCCAATATTAAGTTTATAAGAGATGCAACACCAGTCGCGGCGGCTGGTTTTTAAATTTTGTAGATTATAATGTACATGCTTCGATGAAATTCATTAGGCCGCACAATGTGCTAGCGTGAGATCGTTTACATTCTATAATTTTCGGAGCAACCGTTTCAACAGCTCGTTAAATTAAGAAACATTTTTCCGAGAAAATTCACTTTATCCATTTCATCAGCTTCTGGAATGATTAATGTAAAACGCAGGCTTTAAACTTTCGGCATGGTGTGAACAGGTATCATAATACCAGTTCAAATAGTACCTGATTCAAACGTATGCATTAGATTAATGACGTTTAACACTTGCGAAGGAAAGCGATATGTTTTTTTCATACAGAACGTTGCTACGTTGCGACGTAATTGCGTAACGAAGTAATTAGGTAACGTTGTTGTTTTACTCAAGTTTGCGCAGTGGACATGTCAAGATTTGGAGAACATTGAATGAAATAGCTTATACAATTTTACAGGTGCACGATGAATTCTGTCTAATGTCGAAAGCTATCTTTAACCTGTGCAAATGTGTCGATGTCATATTAGGTTAAAACAAGAACAAATCGAAATTTTTGGTATTTAATTCAAAAGCTTTTCAAAAAAATTCCACGATTTTCAATTTTGCAGATTTTTGTATGATAATCGCAACATTTTATCTCCATCTCATTATTATAATTAGTCTCCTAGATTGTCTTTCAAACAATATAAAACTTATCTGCATCTAATATAAGGTTCGTGAGATATGAGGTTTCAAAGTTGCATAACTCACACGGGAAGATAAGATAACTATTGCAACTTTCACGAAACCGCACGATACCAGTATGATTCCACGAGGCAAATAGCAAAAGTAAAATGATGAAATTACCCCAATAAAATGAAAAACAGTAAAAAATCTTCAACCAAATTGACGAACGGCCTTCTGGCGAAGCTGAAACAAACCGACGCTGTCACGTTCCCCCGATTTTTGGACACAAAATGGCTTCTGATATGCATCATTGCACTCGTTGTCTCCACTTGGTTTATAGTCACTTTGGACAGATGGACAATATAGCGACATCTAGTCTCGGGTCACATGACCTGTGACGCGATGCCACGTTTTGACTTTTGGAATACCAATTTGACACTCGCTTCCTGACACATGATCTTCGCACACTCGACTTCTGGCACTCAACTCGGGGATCTCTCGCGACACGCACCTACTACTACTCCAAGCATCTGCCTTATTTTTGAGTTAAGTTATTTTACTGTTTGATATCTGTTTTATGCTTTTATAACGCCGATTTTATAATACAACATACAACAAGGAACTTACCCGTTTTAATCAGAGACTTGAAAGCGGACAGGAATTAGGAAGCCTTGTCTCGGCATGCGGAGTCATAGGGTTCTTGCTACCCTATAGAAAGTTGGTGACATCCCGACGTGATAGAATTCAACTTCAAGTTTCAAACTTAGACAAACTTCAACCTCGGGAATCAAGAAAACGGATTCAAGGTTTTTAAAGATTTTAATCCTGAAACAGACAGATTTTTATCAATTTTAAGACTTTTATATTAGCTTTTTAAAGGACTATTTTATCGACCATTTTATCGCGTGCGTTTTTAGCCATTGTTTTTATTTACTTTGTCATTATTAGATGCAACGTAATTTTACTCGAAGACAATTTTCATTCGAAAGCACGCAGACTGACTTGATTTTAATTGATAATAATAGCGACAAATTACCAGAACGTGCGATGAATCAGTCTGAGCCACAAATAGATGTAGGTAGCACACCAAATGCCGGCTCGCTCAACGATAATGTTGGTCAGGTCCGTCCACAGTTTATTCATCAACCGCGTCCATCACTTCAAATAAATGAGTTTTGGTCTCATTCTCCTGACTCGTGGTTCACGTCGACCGAAGCAGGATTCCGCATGGTAGGGATAAACGATGATGTGGACAAATATTGGTATATTATTCGGTGCCTGAACGACCGCCAATTGGAAACTATACGTTTTCGCCTCCCGGATGAGCATCATCCCAGTTGCTATCGACTTTTGCGGGAACTTTTGATCAACACTTACTCCGTCCCGCTTAGAGAACGCATAGGGGATATACACAACGGCGGATGCTCAAATTTAAAACCGTCCGAAATTTTAAGAAAGCTACGCAGTTCCGTTTGTCCAAATGACGCTCCAATCACCAACCAGGAATTTTTGAAGGAGATGTTCTTTCAGCAACTACCGCCAGATATTGTTTCAGCTCTTTCTGCCCATCCGGATGATTCCATAGATAAATTAGCCTATCGTGCTGACAGTATATTCTCCAGATGTACGTTACAACCGGCCAATCACATTTCTTTTAAAAATCAGGCATCAAACCCTGACTGTAGCGCCGACAACAATAAATATTCTTTCCTTAGGGTCCTTTGGCAAATCAATAGCAGCCAACCTCATCTCACCGAGACATCAAGGCCACTACACCCATTTGTTGAAAGAATTCGAAGATCTGACAATCCCTCGACATGAATCTGTTAGGGCGAAGCCGGTATGTTAGTCGTTGGGCGAAGCATAACACAATCCACCGTATTATTACAACCGGCCAACCAGTGCATTCTAAGGCTAGACCTCTTCCGCCCCATTTACGCCAAAAAGTCAGAGACCAGGTTGACATACTCATTGAATCAGGAGACATAGTTCCTTCCAACGCTCCTTAGTCGTCTCCTATCACAGTTGTACCAAAAAAGGATAGCAATGAGGGCCGAATATGCGTCGACTATAGATCCCTTAACAATCAGACGATAAAAGACAGATGGCCAATTCTTCACATGCGCGATTTTACCAATGAATTACATGGTTGCCACTATTTTAGTAAATGTGACCTTTCGAAAGCATATCATCAAGTACCTCTTCACCAATCTGATAGGAAGAAAGCTGCCTTCGTCTGCCCTGATGGATTGTTTGAACCAGTAACTTTACCATTTGGTCTGTGCAATGCCTGTTCATCATTTTCTCGTTTTCTGTCGGAAGTAACTTCCGGTTTGAAAAATATATTCGTATTCCTCGACATATTAATTGCAACCGAAACTGAAGGACAACATCGCCAAGCACTAAGGCATCTATTCTTACGCCTACGAAGATACGGACTTGTCTTGAATGTTGATAAATGTGAGTTCGGCAAACAAGAGCTTGATTTTTTAGGCCATCACGTAACACCAAAAAGTATCTATCCACTATCTTCAAAGGTTGAAGCAATGAACAAGTTTCCTTTATTTAATACTTCAAAAGAACTCCGGTCTTTTCTTGGTCTAGTATGTTACTATCACCGCTTTGTCAAGAACTGCGCGACCATATTAAAGCCACTGCATGATCTAGCCTCACAGAGCAAGAATAGACGACAGTCACTCAAATGGACTCCTGAGACACTGAAGTCTTTTGAAAGAATTAAATCAGAACTAGCATCTGAAATAATGTTTGTCCATCCAAATCATACCGCAACTCTCTCTTTACTTATCGACGCTTGCCAAGTGGCCATGGGTGCCGCCCTTCAACAACGTGTTGGCGGCGAATGGTCACCTCTCGGATTCTTTTCCAAATCACTCAATTTAGCACAAAGCAACTATTCCGCATTTGATCGCGAGCTTTTAGCAGACTATTCCGCAATACGCCATTATAGCACACAGCTGAAAGGACGGAAATTTCAACTTAAAAGCCATAAAAAATCCTACTGAAAGATTTGTTTCTAGACAGGCACGGCATTTGGAGTTAATTTCCGAACACACTGAAGACGTCAGGCATTTGAAAGGCTCACTTAATACTGTCGCGGACACATTATCTCGTATTCAATTTTTATTCAATTCATCCCAACATCAACGTCAATAGCATTTTTTAGCCTCAAGAGTCGTTTTCTTTGCATGAACTTTACGCCGCTCAACAAAACGATCAAGAACTTATCGAATACAAACGGGATCCTGAGAAGCATTCTCTTGAATTAGTAGATGTTCCCATCGCAGAGCTAAGCGGAACATTAGTATTCGATACATCAGCAGCTAATAAATTGAGGCCATTTGTACCCAAATCGTTACGCAAGAAACTATTTGACAATATTCATGGTTTAGCTCATCCTGGTGCCAGAGGCTCAACGGATCTAATCACATCACGCTACATGTGGCCCGGAATGGCTAGAAACATTAAGCAATGGGTTCGTGAATGCGCTCAATGCCAGCGTTCAAAAGTGCAACGTCATACACGTACTCAGATGACAAATATCAATGTGTCATGCGATAGATTCAACACTGTCAACGTTGATATATTAGGTCAACTCGGGTTAAGCAGAGGCTACAATTACATTCTTATGTGTGTAGATCGTTTCTCACGTTGGTTAGAATGCATCCCATTGTCTGATATTTCCGCTGAAAGTGTTGCCAATGGATTTGTATTTGGCTGGGTATCACGATTTGGAGCACCAAAGAGGATCATCACAGGTTGTGGGAAACAATTCAAATGCAAGCTTTGGTCGGATCTAATGAATTTTTTTGGCACCGACCATTCTACAACTCTTCCTTACTCGCCACATATGAATAGTTTAGTGGAACGCGCAAATCGTACGCTTAAAAATGCTCTTCGCGCTATGGAGAATCCTGAAGACTGGTATGACAATTTAGGATTTGTATTGCTCGGCATTAGAAGTGTCCTCAAAGAAGATTTAGGTTTGTCCTCGGCAGAAATTCTGTACGGAGCACATCTTCGGCTTCCTGGTGAGCTCGTAGATCCTCGTCCGAATCAAACTACAATCGAACCGTATAATTATATCAACAAGATGCGCAGATTTTAACAAGCTACATAGCGTGCCTACTCGAGAGCAGCCGCCTAACCGAGTTTATATTCCTAAAGAACTCAATAATGCAACACATGTCTACATCCGTGTCGATTCCACAAGAAGAGCACTTCAGCCCGTCTATACTGGACCACATAGGGTAATTTCAAGGCCCAATAAGTATTTTACGGTCAAATATAAAGGAAATCCTTACGACGTATCAACCGACCGCGTGAAACCAGCATTCCATCCTTTTTGTGACGTCGAGACTACAACTGTCAAATGTCACCCTTCTCCACTGAAGCCGCAGTCAAAACCTGATAGCGAACCAAGAGAAAACCCTCCCATTTTGAACGCACCAAGCCAAAACAGCCTTACTCGGCGTGGACGGGTAATTCGCACACCACGGCAATTAGACAATTTTCTGCTGGCACCTATTTTTAAAATAAACATTTAGTTTAATAGCGTAACTTTTTACTTTCTTGTGTATATATATTGCCCCATTAAAGCGTAACACCACATTATATGATCTATTTATTCGTCGTAATCATTTATTTTTCACTTTCACGTATTTATTAGCTCTTCCCGCGGGTTGATTTTGTCTAATGATTTAATACGTCTGTCAGCCAAAAATTCTGTCACTACCTTATCCAATTTAACACATGTTATTTATCACCGTTTGCTATTCCCTCTTCGCCTATCTCAAAATTTTTGAATATCATGCGACTCTTTCCATGTCAGCACCCCAAAATGCTTTTAAGACATGATCTAGTAAAGTATTATTTGTCGTCTTTTCATTTTTTTTATAGCCCTGTAAAGCGGGTATTCCTTGGAATATTTCATACATGTTTCTGTTTCTTTACTTTTATCATTTTTTTTTCCACTGTCCGGTGCTGCTTTTGTTGCCGGCTGCAATAATTTCATGATTATTGAGAATATTTTGTTGTTCAGCTGTGTCATGTTCGAACTTTCAATTTTAAATTACCAGCAGGCATATCCCTTATCTCCACGTCAATCAAGTGCACCAAATGGTGAAATTCGGCATATCAAGTTAATTGGATTTCATCGTTAATATACCCACTAACTATTCATTCGTATTTTTAATGTTTATTTATTTACTTCACCACATGCATAGAATATTACATATAGTCATATTTTCGCAAATCTCACCTCCTATTCATTGCACTTGCTGTTGACAATTATTACTGTCATACACTGACGACAACAATGTTTTGCTGCTATGTATATATTGTACTATACATTGCTATATTTATCGGCTGTTACTTAACTGTAAATCAATCGTTGTTAAATGCAAACAAGAATTAAATTTTTAAGCCCACACGTGACACCAAAGGGTATCTATACTATCTTAAAAGGTTGAAGCAATCAACAAGTTTCCATTACCAAATATATACTTCAAAAAGGCTCAGAATCTCGGTCTAATATGCTATTATCATCGTTTTGTTAAGGATATCTTAAAACCACTGCATAATCTAGCTTCACAGAGAAAGAATAAGCAACAGTCACTTTAATGGACGCCTGAATCACTGCAGTCGTTCAAAAGGATTAAATCAGGACTAGCATCTGAAATAATGCTTGTCCATTCAAATCATACTGCAATTCTCTTTTTATTGATCGACGCCAGCCAAGTGGCAATGGTTTTTATGTGGGTGCTAAAACCCATGGGTTAGGGTTCAAATATCCGTAAAACGCAAAAAATTCCATAGTTGCAATATTATGCGGGTGCAATTGTCGTGGGTTCAAATGTACGTGGGTTTAAATGTAATAAAACCGTTTTATTAGAGACTAGAAACGGACAGTAACAAAGGGAAGCCAATCTCGACAGGCAGAAGTCGTAGAGAAACTTACACAAAAAAAATTCCACCGCGGCAATTGAGCTCGGCTGACTCGAATTTGCCAGAAACGTTCCAACCGTCCTCGACCCGGTCGTAAGTTGGATGAACTCGATGATCTAACGGTCGCTTCGTTACACCTTCGTCACAATGCTTTAATACTAATTTTGAAAAGTTGTATGAACTATTTTACATTGCTGACGGAATAAAATACTACTACCATTACTACAATGGATAAATAGCTAAAAATCGTAGAAGTAAATAAAAGCAAGTCAACTACAAATGACACATGTGTAATTGCTGCTGAACCTGCTGCAGTGGTTTCGTGTTCGCAATCGAACATTAACAATAAGAAAACTAGATCATAAGAAAAAGAAATAGGATGAAATCATCCAAGTTTTGGCTTCACATAAACGGGTGATGAGGAAGAGCCAAATAGGCTTTTTATGGAATGTGGAACTGTTATTTCAAACGGTAGTCTTTTTCCATCCAAACTGAAACGGCATTTAGAAACAAAGCACTCTCAACTTGAAAATAAAAACATCGAACGTAACATGGGTAACAGGTTAGGGTTAGGCGATAATTTTTTTTTCCAATTTGCTTTATTTTAGTCCTATTATCAGTTCGAAGACTAGCCAAGAGCCTCCCGTAGTATTTATACCTGAAATTATGGCCTAACCCTAACCTAGTACACATATTACATTCCGATGTCCGCCATCCTGGTTCGCATACTTCGGGAGCCCCAAACATCGATTATTTTAAAAAGAAGAACTAAATGAAAGAGAAACAAATGTTTGTAAGGTTTGTCTGTGAAGATCACAAAAACGCACTCATTTCTTCTTTTGATGTTAGTTTTCGGATGGCACAACAACAGCTGAAAACCTAATAGAGCCGTGTGCAAAATATTTAATTGAGAGGCTGTACTTCATTCAAACTGTAAAGTTCCAGGCATATTAGCAACATGGCAGAATATTGTCAAAAAGGATTGATTGAGCGAATAAAACAAAGTCCGACATTTTCTCTTCAAATGGACGAATCTAAAGACTTGGGGATTTAGCTGTATTACTTGTATTCGTTCGTTACATCTATAATTTCGAGTTTGAAGAAGACTAACTCTTCTGTAAACCTTTGAAAACTCACACAAAAGGTGAAGATATATTTCTACTGATCCAATCTTTTTTTGAGCATTATGATATAATAGGAAGAATATCATAAGAAGATTTGAAAGTGGTAATAAGATTTTCGACTACCTATCTGTGTGAGAAGACATTCTCATTGTAGGCAGCAACACAAAATAAATATAGAAACAGCTAAACGCGAAAATAGATCTTATATTAGCAGTGACTTCGATTGAGCCGCAATTTGAATATTGTTTAAAGACAAAGCAGCACATACATCCGAGTCATTAGACAAAGTAATTTTAATTTATTCGTTATATTAATCGGTAAGTAACAATTTTTTTTTTCAAAAATTTATTCATTTTGGAGCTTCGTGACTATAAATAAATGAATCAAAAGTTTGAGAATCCCTGCCCTGACTCACATATGTATTATTTTTCTTGAATAAGAATGATTGTGCATTTTAATATTGAATGTGTCAATAAATGATAATTTAAGCTCTGTAATCGTTCCGATGTACAGCGGAATAATAAAATGAAACATGTTTTGAAAATATTGTGTCCTAATTGTTTTTCTCCCGACTGCTAGGTTATTTTCTCCTATTCGAATAATATGTAAAGATTTATAATATTTCTACTTTATTGTTAATTTTTTAAAAGCTTCTTTTTGTGTCTAGAGCCTCTTTTCTTTAAATTTTGACTCGTACTAAATTTTAGTGTCGCAGATTCACAATGATCATTTCTGATCATCCGCACCTTCCTATCAATTGCAATAAAATTTATTATTGGCACGTATAGTATTTTGTGTTCTATAATATTCTGTGATTTCTTGCACGACGAAATAAACTTTGTTAATATATACCACAAGAGCATACATATAAATGAAAACATGAACACAAAAATCGTGCATTTCGAACATTTGATTTCGGTGAGAGAAGTATCCAAAAAAAAAATAGAATATAGGGGGGACAAATTCCGTGAAGTGTATAGGAAAATATAAGTAATTTGAACAACAATTTCAATAACAAAGCAAATTAATGGTTTTGAAAATACCGAAGTGGTCAGGAATTTCTTCTAATTTGAAAACTTTACTTATTTAACATGTCACTGTAAATATTCTCACGTTTGTACTAATTAGGCCACAACTTCAAATCTATTTCCATTCGAATATCTTTTAAACTAAATTAACAGAGCCAAAACAATGCTGAGCCAAAACAATGGTGCGCCAGTTTTTGAACAACTTTACTTACCACCCTAAATGAGTAAATGAAAGACATGACACGATACAAAGTCTGTCAAATTAAACTTTGCTGAAATATTATAGACCATTTTACAAACAAATTTGTTTATGAAAGTTCCATGAAAACCATAAATGTAATAACAGCCCTTCCTCCTCTTTTTAAAATTATCGAAAACGTCACTAATAAAGGCGGTCGAATTTTACAGGCTAATTTTGTCATCATCGCCGATCGTTTTTTTTTCCGCGTCGCGTGATTATTTGGGGAATTAACATCGGCATTATGCCAGTTTTAATTTGAAAAGAAGTTACATTCCGTGACAAGTTACCCTTGTTGTAAATTCAGTAAATACGATTATTACGAAATTTTGGCGATTCAACAGCGCCTAAAATGGAGTTTTGTTTTATCTATCACTGGCTCATAAATTAAGAGTCGTGATATTTTCCTTAGCATTTACTTCCTTATTTTCAGTCAAAAATGTGTGCTTCAGATCTACTCTCTTAACGATAGATAGATACGACGATAGATAACATACTGCCGCCATTTCAGTTCCAGGCAAAATAATACAATTATCTGCGTTATATACCGACGAGACTGAACCCGACTTTTCTCTGATTTATTTCTGCAGCTTACCACTTATTTTCATATCTAGCGTAGAAATGCTTTTATTTTAACGTAAGTCGGGCTCTTCTATAACGCAAAACGCAATAATCACATTTTTCTGCGTGTTTTGTGATGTAATAGACAAGTTCACATCAGCATTACACGGATGACTAAAATATAGGCAGAGTAGTGTGGATATAAGGGATTATTATATGCTCTGAGAGATGTCAGTGGCCATTCAACAAAAAATATAAAAATCACTAATGCGCATATGCATTATTTATACTGTTCTATTATCCGGTTAACCGTTACAATAATATCCGGATATCAGATAGCAAAATACCTCTTGGTTAACCGGTTAACCGCTATCCGGATAATCCCCCCTAGACCGTGGCATTTTGCCAACGAGCTGGGACCTATGAAATCTGTGCATCTGCGGCGGTCATGTCGTCTTGGATGCTGAAATATGGTTCAGTATTAATGTAGGAGGCCACTTCCAGTAACAATTTAGTTGGAATGGCAGTGTGTACCATTTTATCACCTTTGTTTGTTGTTTTCACGTATTTCCTACTGTAACAGCGAGTGACATCACTGGGGGCATGCTAACATGATATTTTAACTCTCCCTACTCAAGTAAGGTATATATTATGACTTATACCGGTATCACCGTATCAATCCAAATCACAGGTGGTGGACACAAAAGGTGTCGCTGAGGGGCTCCGATTTAACAAAAAAGCGGCACTTGGAATAAGTACGTACAAACCCCTGAAATTTGATCGGATTCGGTCTAAAATCTAGTGCACAATGAATTTAGTAAATTTTACAGGTCGAATATGGAAAAATTTAAAAGGGTTAGCTCTTCCCGAGCTTTGTAAGCTGGAATTCTCCCTTTTTCTCCTGTAGCTCGGTTGCTTGCCATTACATAACCATCCTTTAACGATTCGCGATATGACATCGAAACTTTCACTTTGTCACCTTTATGCAACTGAAATTCTTCGGTATTAATAGGGGTGTGGTTGGCTGTTGCTCTCCATGGTGCATCAAATAATGTCTTCAATCGATGTCCCGTATCCAAAGAATGAATTCGGGTCGCAGCGTCAACGCGATTTGCTGACATTGCTTCATATGCGGCGCGACATACCTGTCAATTTTTAAATTATATAAAAGTGATTTATAGTAAGTAGGCTACTAACTTTCTCATTGTTAAGAACTAAGTTTTGTCATATTCTAATTTTTTTACTGATTTGCTCCAAACTTGTATAATTATTGTGATAGCATTTTTTCAATGGCCATGGTATTGTGCACTTATTTTACAACAAACTTTGCATCGAGAAAAGTTTCGAATAGAATATTATGTCATACAATATCATACTTACATTTGAAGATAAGGTACAAACAATATAATCACATCTTGATAACAATAATATGTCAAATATTATTCCCTCCAGTCCGCCGTCACCATAACGCATATGCTTTGTTACTTTTTCCGTAACGTAATTGCTGACTATGAACTTATAATCGGGATATCTTAATAAATATGAATCAGAGATAAATGTCACTTTATAAATATCACATTACGTACAATAGCTATTTTGGGGGAGAGACCCTATAACTATTTTAACTCCCTTGGCTGAACTCGAGTGAGAACAATTATGTCATCACCCCATTTTTAGTTTTACTGCCTGTAATATAGAGCGATCTACATACCTCAGTGTCAATTCCGGCAAAGCGGATTCATCTTCTGTAGCTAGGAATACTTTTGGTTGAATATGTTTGTTCATTGTTTTCAAATAGTTGAAATATTGATCAGCATAAAACATGTATTCATCAACCTCATGGAACCCTCCTGAATCTTTCAACTTATCCCCCCTACGAATTTGTATCCTGTGAAATACTTTCAAAACTTACAATATATACAGTATATGTGCATGAGTACTCACTCCTTCACCTATTTCGACAAACAATAACATGAATATTTTGAAACAATTGCATACGGCATAATTCGGCAGCGTTTTTTGAAAAAAAGTGTTGAGTCCCCGAACGATCTTTCCCAAGTTATAAAGCGATTTGGTGTTAACCGCCATTATTATTCGTTCAGTCCTGCGATCGACTGTTAATATAATTGAGTAGAGATAATTCCAACAAAAGAACGCAATTACGACTATCTGATTTAGTAAAACAGTAAGATATACCCAACTACAGGACTTGAGAATCCCACACGAGTTATGATGTTGTTTAAATCTTCTTCCATCCATGGTTGAAGTATCATTGCATATTTAATCAATTGCCCGATCCACCAAAGAAATGGTTCTGCGTGATATTTTTGCAAAGTAGGAGATAACTGACGTGGAATAGACCAACCTATCCATTCTTTATATTCACTTGAGTACTTCTTGATAATTGTTGCATTTTCATTACCTACGACAGAAATCACATGCGCCTAAATTGAGCGATTTACGCAACATGTGCAAATAAATCATATTTTTTTTGTTGTCTGATACGAAAATGTTGTTATTCAAGGATTCAGTGACAGACTTAGCTCCGTTATTCGACTTAATATTGCCATAAAATCAAATTGAACATGGTGAAGTAGGTTTTCATGCGATATCGATTCTGAGTCATGAGATTGTCTAGATGGGTAGCACATTTTATGATACGTAAACGACTAACCTTCTGACGTAATGTATGGATTTATTGAAAATGAATAAGTCGAACAGTTGTTCAGTGGCGAAAATGCATATTCTCGACCCTGTTTGGCATATTTCCATCCTTCAGTAATATAAATCAGGGTCCGTTGACTTCTAAGAGCCTCCATCATGCAGCTGATGAGTGAATGAGTCTCACAGCCAAATCCACAGTTTAGTTTTGTGTTCAATTTGCATATCAGTAGTCGTGTGTCCATGCAGTCTCTGGGATTCTAAAACGCTTATTGTGATTATCAGTAATATTACTGAGATATTACACTATTTCCACAATTTTATGCATCTTTTTTCCTGTTTCTCATATCGGAAATCTACGTGTATGTACTGGTGAAATGAAAAAAATATTTTAGTCTTTAGATTTTAATTAAGAACCTACGGAAATATATAAGAACATTTCATTCAACATAAGAACATCGGACATTTCTATAGGTGAAATTACCTGAAGTTTTTGGATTTTCGTCGTCACTTTTATGGAAAGATCATCTAATATTTTTTTTCTCTTTATTTCAGACGCTTTTATCAACTCTTTTATCTTCTCGAGGAGAAACCTTGAAAATCAGAATATTTATTTACTAACCCAGAAAATACGGTAACAAATAGTATGCGTTTTATTAATTGAATAAAAATTTAAATTTATGAATGTAAATTTTGAAGAAACTTGATTTGAACATACCAAAATTTATTTCCTAGTGTTTCCTTGTCGTCTTCTTTTAATCCAATATTCCGAAATACAGACATGGTTTGCATCCAAAAATGTTTTATGTCAGAAAATAGATTCCAGAAAGTGATGAAATTCTGTATGAAGCAAGAGTAAGGAGAGAAAACGAACCGCAAAACATTTGCAACTGATAAACATGCTATCAACCTACCTCGGCTGCTAACTCAATACTGTTGTTTTTGGAGTTTGATACCAACATCAGAACCCGTTCGATTCGAAAGCGCAGTAATCTGAATTTGATCACAATATTACATGTTAATATATATAGAGTTTCTTTGCTTATTGGAATCAAATTGAATCGGTCGGGAGGAATTCCTCTGAAGGAAGGAGTTTTGTTGTTTTAGCGGGAGGGGGGGGGGTACAGATTACTTTCCATTTGACGTAATTTCAATAATATTGATTAGTAATTTAGCATTTTTCTAATGAATATTCAGGGACTCATTATAGACTATTCAAACTGTGCAAAGAGTGCGCTAGAGTTAAGTATCCTTTGAAAAATGAATAAATAATGGAAATATGCAAAGTGCGGGAGGAATAAAGAAATCCAGAATAGGAAAAAGAAGGAATATGGAAACCACATCTTTACCTGCTGCACTTATTGAAATTTTTAGTGATCAAAGATGTTTGCTCTCTAGTTTCATAAAAGTTTTGCGGACAGGCAATACATTTATCTTGCACACAGAAAACACGAAAAACAATGACCCATTGGAAATCGGCTTAATTAAAAAATAGTGCTAAATTGTTGCCATAAATATTCAACTTGAACGCCAGAGTTCCAGAAATATGCAACTATACCCAACATGCAAAGTTCTTAAATTTTCAATTTCAGGTTAGATAATAAATAACTCACAAATATCCATCTTCTAAAGCTTGTCTATATTTATTGTCAGCTTCAGAATTTTCGCACGATGTGATAATATATCTCCAAGTTTTATTGTACTCAATTAGTAGTTTTCTTGATATATCCTCCAAATTTATTGACTCTGAAACTGTTCTGTTCATTTTCCATATGCCACGAAGCGATTCCTGGTAACCAACTTCATGTTTCTTTCTAAGTATAAATGGGTATATATATATATATTCATTAATCACGCTTATTATCTCTTATTAAACCATGAATAATTGCAGCCCTAGATTTGGAAAACGATCGCCATGATCTACTTCTTCTTTATGTAATGACTGACAAAATATGGGAATAACTAATACCCCGATTCACTACGATCACAACAGTTCAACTCTTATGCCTTTTTTGACTCAAAGAAAATAACGGGAGCTGAAAAACTTCAAATTTCTGCGTCCTTTTCTTTGTAGATAGTTCATGAGCATTTCGAAATATATCCTATTCAACTTTGCCAATATTGAAATGAAATGGTGAATGGACTTACAATTATTGAGACATATATATGCTGCATTAACTTTTGCGTCAAGATTAAAAAAAAAGAACATAACTTTCCCCACCTGAATTTCACTTGATATACATAAACTTGTAAAAATATCAACACCAACACTGCAGCAAAACACGCACACTTTGTTATCATGGTATTCTTCTTGACTGAACGGTAAGTTTCATAACGTTAAGTAACCAATGAGCCTGCGTTGGCGAACGCACTTTAGTTACCTCCATGTCTTAATAAAACTTCACATTTCAATATAAAGCGTTATACTGTGTTTCCAAGGTATCATATTTATAAAGCAAAATGTTAAGCAAATCTCATACATAATATCCGATGAAAGATTGGTTTCACGGTTTCTATAACTATTGCCCGAGGGTGTGCAGACGCGAGGAAGGTAAGTGATCGAATATTCCTCAAAATAAAATTAGCATTCCGTTCTATGTTCTATTAAAAGAGCCTGGTAACCCTCACGTATATAAATAAAAATTCCTAGTTATTTGTCACTTATTTGTTATTCGTTTTTAGAATTTTATCTATTCCTCATGTTGAGTTGATGGCAGCTTGCTACTCTAAACAAAGCAAAACCGAAAACTATATTTATCTTGGTGTAAATGCAACCTCGCTTTTGTTATGCTGCGCTATTACAATATTTCTGAACAATTCCCAACATTTCAACTAATATGTTGCACTCGTCTCTGTACAATCATTAAATTCTTTGTTTTCTTGTTACGACAATACCTTTGTTTTCGCGTGATGTATTCGGGGATCTAGGTCATGTAAGCTGTTTTAACGGTTGAATCATTCTTACATTTATCATCCACATAATCTTTTACTATGCCTTGTAGCCTATATGTCAGGTGCTTTATGTGGATTAAAATCCACAATTTTCCATCATTAAAAACATGCCGAAAAAGTGCAAAATTGTTGCCATAAATATTCACCTTGAACGCCAGAGTTCCAGAAATATGTAACTATACCCGAAATGCAAAGTTCTTAAATTTTCAATTTTATTTTAGATATTTGATCACTCACAGATATCGATCTTCTAGAATCTAGAACAGAGCTTGTCTATATTTAATGTCAGCTTTAAAATTTTGCACAATGAGATAATATATCTCCAAGTTTTATTGTAGCCTACTCATTTAATACGTGTACTATGCTTTATATATATATGTAAGGTCAGGGACGTAGGCTTGCGGGGTCGACCTCCCCCCCCCCTCCTTTTGGAATGTGTAAAAAACGACGAATAACAGGTGCGCAAATTCCATAATCTATATGAAGCCCTTGTTCCTGGCAAATCCTGACATATTCTGTTTCAATTTCTAAAAACATTCTGTATCACACATAGCAATTTTTAGAACATCAGTTCTCTTCGAAACTCGCGTTTTGCCGCCTCCGGCCGTAACAGTCAAACTTGGCAATTACAAATTTCAGGGTGCTCCCGAAGTATGTGTACCAATATGGCGCACAACCTGACCATAGCATGCGTACCAGGTTAGGGTTCAGGTTGTACGTCATCTTTGCACACATACTTCCGGAGCGCCAATTTTAGAACAAAACCTATAAAAATATATAATCGTATCTTCGTTCAGTGATCAATCTCCAATAATTATGAGTGAGTGCGCGTGACCTATCTTTGAGCAAAATAAAAAAAAAAGGTTTGGTATGTAAAATTGATACTATCAATACTCTGCTAACCTTGTCTTTTGAAAATGAACATTTTTGTAAAATTAGGTGAACAATTTTATTTTGTAATAATACCAAAAGGTATATATATTTCAAGGCTTCGGTGATTCCATGAAATATGACCCTTAAAATTTCATCGAATTCAGACAGAAGCTGCTAATTAGCAATAGAACGGAGAGTTAATAACGTTTACTGCTCAAATATAGGGAAATCTAAAAGAGTTAGTTCTTCACGGGCCTTGTGGGCTGGGATTTTCCCTTTCTCCCTAGCCGGATTACGTGCCAATACATATCCATCGTTTAACGAATCATGATAAAACTTCGACACTTTCACCGTGTCACCTTTTTGCAACTCAAGTTCCTCGGATTTAATAGGGTGATGGTCAGCTGTAGCACTCCATGAAGCGTAAAGAATGTTCTTCAGTCGATGCCCGGTATCTGATGACTGAATTTGAGTCGCCGCGTCGACACGATTTGATGACATTACCTCCTAGGCAGCGCGACACACCTAGAAATATACACAAAATAATGTTGGTGGAATTATCTCATTTTCTGTTTCTGTTATTTATTTTTTAAATGTTCAACATCAACTATTTTATCTAACTCGTTAAGTTTGATAGTGGTCGAGATGAATATACTCCGTCTTACTTACATTTGAAGACAAGGTACAAACAATATAATCACATCTTGACAGCAATAATATGCCAAGTATTATTCCTTCTAGTCCACTCTCACCATAGCGCATATTCTTTTTTACTATTTCCGCAACTTGTTAAACAAATAGCAATATTAATACCTCTATGCTTTCAATGTGAGAGAAGTACATATATAATATAAGCATATTTCACATGTACAGGAGGTCACTGATACGAGCAGGTTAGTGATTCTACAACATCTAAACGCATTCCGGCAAATTCAAACAATGAAAATGAACAACAAACACGATTCGTCCAAAATTGACTTCCGCATAACAAACCCATGGCAGCCGCCACGAACAACACGTTGTAGGGGGCAGCAGAACCAAGCTGTAGGTGGTATTACACGTGTTTTTCTCGATGTATTTTTATTTAATAAAAAAGACATTATGTGTTTAGTCTTGTGTGACTGACTGTAGTGATAATGAGTCAACTGTGGATGTTTCCCCGACCATTGACCCAAGAAAAATTCTTCATATCCTATTTAACAATTGCAACATTTTTAGTGCTCATTTTACGGGTGGTTTTTCGAGTTAGCGCGTTAAATTGGTTTGTGTGTTTCAAACAATCATCAATTCAAAATATTCTACACTGTTACCCAAAAGTACCGGTAGAAAAATTTAGCCTTGTCTATCACAACTATTTTTGGACTTATTTTCTGTTTACTGCCATTAAACTATATGAGAAGACATATATTCATTGGGTTCCATTATCTTTGTACCCACGTACATTTGCACCCAGGACAATTGCACTCGCATATTTTTGCACCAATGGACATTTGCACCCATGAACAATTTCACCCGCAGATTTTAGCACCCACATACAAATTGCACCCATGAACATTTGCACCCATGGATATTTGCACCCGCGTACATATGCATCCACAGACATTCCAGCCCACAGACATTTGCATCTATGTACATTTGCATCCTCGCACATTTGCACCCACGTACATTTGCTCCCACGTATCTTTGCACCCGCGTACATTTGCACCCACATACATTTGCACCCACGTACTCTTGCACCCGCGTACATTTGTACCCACGTACAATTGCACCCGCGCACATTTGCACCCATGGACACTTGCACCCATGGAATTTTGCACCCGTAAACATTTACACTCATTGATACCAGTTTTTGAAGTAAAAGAGGTTCTATTGCCATTTGTGCCAAGATAGGGAGATCCCAATGTTATATTTCGAAATGAAGACGAACTCACTGCAAACCCCGAACGCGAAAAATTTGGATTTTCATCCATTATTTCCTCTGATGAGGAAAAAACGCGCATCGTTATACACACCATTATGACACAATATTACAAAAAGAGAAGGGAAGTGCCGTAACAACTTGTTCCATATAAATCCTGCTTTCTTGGTCAACTCTAGGTCGTTTCTCGCTCTCTGTTTTTCTCTTATCTATTCTTCTCTCTCGAGGCTCCTCTCTCTTGTCTTGTACAATTGGTACAACACTGACTTGATTAATTTATATACGACCAGCTGTTTTCTTCGCCATCGCCTTCTAACCACCGTACAATTCGACATATATTTGCATTATTTCATCGAAAAGAAAAAGATCAACAAAAGTGGGATAGGATTATAACTCGCAAAGACAGTAAAAACGTAGCGACCCCCAACACAAACTTAAAATTTGCTACCTAAAATTTGCAATCCGTTTTCATTTCGCATATATATATTTATAGTTGGTAATTAAAGTTTGTCTGAAACACGATTATTCGTTCATGAGGCGAATGCATATGCGTGAAAATGTCATAGGCATATAGGTGCGGGTGCAAATGTCTGTGGGTGCAAACATACGTGGGTGCAAATATCCGCGGATGCAAATGTCCAAGGTGCAAATGTGCGTGGGTCCAAATGTACAAGGCGGCAAATGTCCGTGGGTGCAAATGTTCGTGGGTGCAAATGTCCGTGGGTGCAAATGTTCGTGGGTGCAAATGTCCGTGGGTGCAAATTTCCGCGGGTGCAAATGTCCGCAGGTGCAAATGTGCTACATTTTCTTGCTTCATTAGTTGAGCTTGGCATGTCATTCCAACTTTGTGCATTGCATATTGTTTATTACTCAAAATCGGGTACTCAATGGCTAGTTGTGAACGATCTTTCTCAAAGTTGAGACAGATAAAAACATATTTGAGGTCTTCAATGTCAAATTAGCGCTTGTCAAGTTTATCTTTGATTAGCATCAAAACGAAATTCCTGACGAGCGAGGTGAGGCTGTTGTTCAGACATTTGTTGCTGGCAAAGTAGCGATTAGACGCAGAAATAAGTGACTTGCTTTTTTTAATAAATGAGTTCGATCTTATGCATATGAATTTGTTGCTTCGTTTGATTATTTATTTAATAAAACAAACGTTTCTATCTTACTTGACCTCTAATTTATTTATTCTCATGTATATCTATAATCTGTTTATCCCCCGAATTACTTTTGAAGTTAGCGATAAGGGGCATCATTATTAGAAACTCGCCCCGGGTAGCAGAAAAGTTTGGCACGCCCCTGATTATCCAGAGCGCTTCACTCACCTCATTGTCAATTCTGGCAAAGCGTATTCATCTTCTGTAGCTAGGAATACTTTTGGTTGAATATGTTTATTGGTCTTCCTTAAATTGTTGAAATATTGATCAGCATAGAACATGTATTCATCAATCTCATGAAACCCTCCCGAATCTTTTAACTTATCTCCCCTACGAATTTGTATCCTGTAAAATTTTTCAGTTTTAATATAACTTTGATACCTTATATGTGCGTAGGCCTACTCAGCTGTCATTTGCGTATTTTAACCAATGACCACATTACACTAAATGAATTTGAGCACTCCCAAATAATTATCTATCATGTTATCTGGCCGCAGACCTAAATAAGCGACGATGTGATCTCGCCAGTCTCAAATAATTTTAATTAAGGGGATGTGTTCGATTGGTGGCCGTGCATTTGCACCCACGTACATTTGAACCCATAAATTTGCACCGGTATATCCGCGGGTTCAATCTATATGCGAGTGCTAAAATCCATGGGTTAGGGTTAGTATGGGTTCAAATATCCGTAAAATTTTTTTTTCCATAGGTGCAATAGTATGCAGGTGCAATTGTCGCGAGTTCAAATTACGGGTGCACATGTACGTGGATGCAAATGTAACGGAACCGTTCGTTTAGCCCTGTCATTGACTGTTAATGTAGTTGAACACAAATCAGACTAATAAAGCGCATTCAGGATATTCACTACGATTATCTGACTCAACTAAGACATACCCAACAACAGGGCCTGTGAATTCTATACGCGTTATGATGTTGTTAAACTCTTCTTCCATCCATGGGTGAAGTTTCATTGCATATTTTATCAATTGCCCGATCCACCAAAGAAATGGTTCTGCATGGTATTTTTGCAAAGTAGGTGCTAACTGACGTGGAATAGACCAACAAATCCATTCTTGAAATGCGTTTGAGTCTGTTTTGATGATTGTTGCATTTCCAGTATCTACGACAGCAATCACATGTACATCAGTTGAACTATTTAAGCAGCATAATAGAAATTAAATATTTTGCCTGATCCGAACATAAGTATAAAATGTCAGTGGATAATTTAGTATAGTTATTCGGCTAGATATTGCCGATCAAAATGAACATGCTAAAGTAAGTTTTCATGCAATAATAAATGTGGGTCTAGGAAATTTCGAGTAAATTCCATATATTAAGAGAAAATAAAAGACTAACCTTCTGCGGTATCATATGATTCAGTAGATGACCGTGTCGAGCAGTTGTTCAACGGAACAAATGCATATTCTCGACCATGTTTAGCATATTTCCATCCTTTACTAATATAAATTAGGGTCCGTTGACTCCTAAGAGTCCTCATAATGCAGCCGATGAGTGAGTGAGTCTCACAGCCAAATCCACAGCCTATTTCGGTATTTATTTTACAAATCAGTAGCTGAGTGTCCATGCAGTCCCTGGGATTCTAAAAAAGACTCATTGTTACTATCAGTAATATTATTGAGATATGAGATTATTTCCTCTCTCTGCAAGTACCAATTTTTCCTATTTGTGTAAAGCAGACGTCCGTATTCCACGCGGACAATACATCTGAAGGTAAAGGATTTACCATAAAATTTGTTGTGTTTTGACCATGAGAACCAATTATTGAATAGCCAGCCATCAGCGATTATTTTCATATTAAGTACCGTAAGTGCATTTTGGAACATAGAGACTAAAGATAAATTTATTATTAATAACAAAATATTATTCAATTATTTTAGGTAATATTGTCAGCAGCCCCGAAATATTTAACTATGACTAAAATTTCATTAAATGTCCAACGAACAAAAAAGAACATAAAGCTCTCGCGTGTAAATTATTCCTACATTACATGTTCATCAGAAACTGTATAGTATGATAAATTCAGATTTGCTAGTAGAAGAGTATCCTACTGGCCATTGTTATTTCTGTAACCAGATGCCTGGATTATTTTGTTATCTTGATTTTTTTGCCACAGTTTGGTGTTATCTATATTATAATAGATTCTAAGCTCTAAGGATTTCAAATGATTGCACAAGGCCAATTGCTAAATATAACCCCTCCATACTAAAGTTTAACATCGCTGTTTACAGCGCTTTTTAAAAATCTACAAATTAAGAAATAATAAACGTGAATATACTTTCTTTTAGTGTAGGTTACCCACACACACAATCTCCTGAAACTACCTGGAGTTGTTGGAATTTCATCATCACTTTTGAGGAAAGATCATCCAGTATTCTCTTCCTTTCTATTTCAGATGCTTTTATTAAGTTTTTTATCATACCAAGAAGAAACCTTGCAAACAAAATATTTCTAAATTAGGAAAAAAATGAACGCTATTCATTGATTTGTTGTAAATCCAAAACGAATTGTTTGGATTGGTCTTGCCGAACGTTAAAGCTGCATTACAATAGTATTTTTAAAATACCCTTAATAAATTAATCACAATGTGAAATTTACGTACAATGTTTCAAACATTTGCAGAGGGAATTATTGTAATCATGAAAAATGTATATTTTGTACATACCAAAATTTGTTACCGATTATTTTCAGTTCGGTTTCCACTAATCCGATCTCCCGAAATACAGACATGGTTTGCATCCATAAATGTTTCATGTCCGAAAACAGATTCCAGAAAGTGATGAAATTCTGTAGGTAGTGAAAATATTATGCGGGAACGAAAATAACAACATTTGTAACTGAATGAAAGGATTTTCCAACTTACCTCTGCTTAGGCTTACTATACGTCCCGCTTTAGGCGGGACAGTCCCACTTTTAGCGTCTTGTCCCGCCGTCCCGACAAGTCAGCCAAATGTCCCGCTTTGGCGTTCAGCCATTCAGCTTAATAGACGTACGTGTATTCGTTACTGTTGTTTCTGTGTAGCGCAACGCTCGCCTACTTACTGTAGTCGAATGCTTTGTTTTCCGGTTACATTGTTAGCTAACGTATCGCATGTAAAACCAATACAAATTAGTGAAAATTTGAATTATCCGTACGGATTATTTGTAATTCGTTAACGTCAATTCCCTTATATGTTTCGAACTGAACCCGATATTTGGACAGAGAATATGCGAATGAACTCTCGAGTACAATATGGGCAATGAAGACAACCGGGATGGCTTCAAATGTAGGCCTATGTAGTAGAATTGGAAACTGTAAAGTTACAAAATAACAGTTACGGGGTCGTTGTCTCCGGAGGCGTCCCGCTTTGAAGCCACAAAAATATGGTAACCCTACCTCTGCTGCAAATTCAGTACTGTTGTTTTTAACGTTTGACGCCGACATAAGGACTTCTTCCACTCGAGAGAGCAGATTTCTGAATTTTGATTATAAGATATTATCTCGTTTTGGATATAGAGGACTTGCACGGGTCACGTGACTATGTTTACTGGACGGCAAAAAAACAAAAACGTCCATTTGGCTCCTGTCAGTTGCAAGTCGGATTTTACTGTTATATATTATGTTGAGCTTACTATCATAGCTTGTTTACTACTCTATCTGCTTGTGTGCTATATTGTTACGTCACAATGCTGTCTAGTGCCGTAAGTTGTTTTTCCTCTGTTTAGAGGTCTTTTGTTCTGAACTAAGTTGACGGACGGATGTCCAAATAAATCGCGTGCAGTTTTGTAATGAGTCTGTATTCATTACTTGTTATAAAGATATAACAAATTGGCGACGAGGATTAAAAAGCCTTTTTGTGCCGGTTTGTAGCCATTTCTTGGGGAAGGAAGGAAAATATATCGAAGTTACAGCTTAATTTCGAGGATAGATAAGAGAACAGTCGCTGGACTGTGACGGAGTTAGAACTGATTATTGCAGCATAATCAGTGACTTTGGATATTCATAGTGAACAGCATTCACTGGACTGGGAACCCAAGGCCTGTTATTATATTGAATTAAACGGCAGTAAATTATTTGAGCATCGTTGAAGCACGATTGCTACTGTTAACAGAATAATGACGTCAGCATCATTGGAAGTTGCGCAATTCAACATTAATCGCCCAGACGAATGGCAACAATGGCTGCGACGATTTGAAAACATGTGCCTCGCCATGTCGGTTGACAACGCAGAGAGAAAGAAGGCGTTATTATTACATTTTGCGGGACCTGAAGTTTTTGACCTGTATGAGAATTTGCCCGCACCGCCGAATGCAGATGAAAATGATAATGTTTATGCCAACACCGTTAAGAAATTGGATAATTATTTCGTGCCAAAGATAAACATTGATTTTGAATGTGATGTTTTCAGGAATGCAAAACAGAAATTTGGCGAAAATATTGATACTTATGTGGCACGTTTGCGTAAATTAGCTGTTACCTGTGATTTTACGGATGCTGATCGTGAAATAAAACAGCAAGTTATTTCTGGTGGATGTGATTCTAGAGTTAGGGAAAAAGCTCTACAGCAGCGTTTGTCTCTTCGAGAACTTCTGGATTATGCAAAAAGTCTAGAACAAGCAAAGCAACAAACAAAACAAATTGAACAACGTCACACGAGACCAGAGAAATTATATGAAATTGATGTGCAGCGTGAAAATAATTCCGATAGCAAATCCAAGCCTAGAGCACCACAGCTTTCTTCGGCCAGAGGGGGTAAGTCTCTTAGATGTTTTCGCTGCGATAGTTCTAAGCACTTCGCCCGTGAATGTCCATTTAAAGATGCCAAGTGTTTTTGTTGTGGTAAAAAGGGCCATACCAAGAGTGTGTGTCGATTCAAGAAATCAAGTCAGTATAGACACGGCCAGAGAAGTAAGCAATGTAATTCTCAATGTTGTATCGCTGGTGATAAGAATACGCCGGGCGAAAGTGAAACGAATGAAAACTCTGGTTCATCATACGAATTACATCATACAGTGTCGTCCGTGCAAAATAACAATGTGGGTGTGAAATGCAATCCAATCTATCTTGATCTTGACATCGATGGCAAAAACATTTCTTGGGAAGTAGATACAGGGGCTACACTATCTGTCATGTCTTTAGTGCAATATAAAAAGTTGTGGCCAAAAGCAGAATTGAACCACACCGATGTTAAACTGTCTACATACACGGGGGAGTCTATTCCAGTAGAGGGAGAAAGGGATGTTACTGTAACGTATCAAAATGGTAACCCAATGGTATTGCCAATCACTGTGGTAAGAAATAGTAACCGCTGTAAACCATTGCTGGGGAGAAATTGGTTGAAACATATCAAACTTGATTGGAATTCAATTTTCAAAATTAACTATTCTGATGTTAAAATCAGTACACTGCTTGATAAGTATCCTGAATTGTCTTCACCTGGATTAGGTTGTGCAAAAACTGAAGCTAAATTGGAGATTGATGACAGCGTTAAGCCTAAATTTTATAAACCACGACCTGTACCTCTTGCACTCAAAGAATTGGTCGAAGCTGAACTTGATAGACAAGTTGAAATCGGTGTTTTGAAGCCATGTAAAACATCCGATTGGGCTGCACCTATGGTTACCGTATTAAAAGCTGATCAGAAGTCAGTTCGGCTCTGTGGAAGTTATGACTTGACTGTAAATAAAGCAAGTCGTCTTGAGCAGTATCCATTGCCAAAGGTGGATGAATTATTGACTAAATTTGCTGGTGGGGAAAAATTCTCTGTTATTGATCTGAAAGAGGCATATCTGCAGATACCATTGGCAGAAGAGAGTCAAAAGTACACAGTAGTTAATACACATAAGGGATTATTCACGACAAATCGTCTTGTTTATGGAATATCAAGTGCCCCAGCTATATTCCAGAGATATCTTGAAACACTGCTGGGTGACATAGCAGGTGTAGGTGTTTTCCAAGACGATATTGGAGTAACCGGTTCTTCTGATAAAGAACACATAGCCAGATTGGAAGAAGTTTTCAAGCGTCTTACAAATGAAGGTCTAAAAATTAATCCAAACAAATGTAAATGGATGGTTTCAGAAATTACTTATCTTGGATATCGTATAAATAAACTTGGAGTTCAACCAACTGAAGATAATCTGAGAGCTGTTCTGGATGCCCCAGAACCACAAAATATACATCAGTTGCGCTCATATCTGGGGATGCTTAATTATTATGGTAAATTCATTAAAAATTTATCAACTGTTGCTGCTCCTTTGTATGAACTTCTTCGTTCGAATGTTCGATGGCACTGGAATAAAAGGCAAGTGGAAGCTTTTAAGAAAACGAAATCGCTATTGTGTAATGCTCCATGCCTTGCTCATTTTGACGGAAATGCCGCCGTCATTGTTTCTGCAGATGCCGCCAGTCCTTATGGAATCGGAGCAGTTTTATCTGTAATAACGCAGGAAGGAGAACGTCCTGTGGCTTTTGCATCCAGATCTTTGTCAAAACCAGAGCGTAATTATAGCCAATTGGATAGAGAGGGATTAGCTCTAGTATTCGCTGTTACAAAGTTCCATTCATTTTTATATGGAAGACCGTTTGTTTTGGAAACTGATCACAAGCCACTTCTCGGTTTACTTGGGAAGAATAAGCCACTTCCTGATGCAGCTCCACCGAGAATGATCCGTTGGAAAGTATTACTTGATGGATATCAATACGAATTAGTGTATGTTCCAGGTAAAAACCAAGCCAATAGCGATGCACTAAGTCGTTTGCCTTTGCCTGATAAACCGGATTATATACCGCCTTGTGGTGATGTAGTGAATCTTCTTGAAGCAGTCGATTCTACCCTTGTTAAAGTTGATGCAATTCAGTCTTGGACGAGAAGAGATCCTGTACTGTCCGCAGTTATGCATCATACTCAAATGGGCTGGCCAAAATCCTCTGACATAGACCCAGAATTACAAATTTATAGAAGCAAAGAGACGGAACTAAGTGTCCATGAAAATTGTTTATTTTGGGGTTGTCGAGTAATTATTCCGCCACAAGGAAGACAGAAAGTGTTGCAATTACTTCACGATGGTCATCCTGGTATTTGTTCTATGAAAAGAATTGCTCGTAATCATGTATGGTGGCCTGGGGTTGATGCTGATATTGAAGAGTTGGTGAAATCTTGCAGTTTGTGTCAACAGTTACGTCCCAGTGCACCTCAAGTTCCTGCTAGCCCATGGTCTTATCCTAATGGTCCATGGCAAAGAATACATATGGACTATGCCGGTCCAGTTGATGGGAAAATGCTTCTTGTTATTGTTGATGCGTTTAGCAAATGGCCAGATGTGTGGATTACATCGTCAGTTTCTGCTCATGAAACTATTGAAAAAGTCAGACTTTCATTTGCTACACATGGATTACCACTAGTTGTAGTCACTGACAACGCTGGTTGTTTTGCAGGAGACGAATTTGCAACATTTCTAAAGGCAAATGGAGTGAAGCACTTGTTTTCACCACCGAGACATCCGGCTTCTAATGGCCAAGCTGAATCAATGGTAAAACAAGTTAAACTTGGATTGAAGAAACAAGCACCAGCATCTTTGTCAGTCAGACTTGTTCGGTGGTTATTTAAATACCGAAGTACACCACATACAACGACTGGTCAGACTCCGTCGGAATTACTTTTTCGTCGTAAGATTAGAACGCATCTTGATCTAATCGCACCTTCATCACGTTTGAAGAAGTCAGCAGAGAATGTTCCAAGTAGAATAATAAGAACTTTTCACATTGATGACCCAGTTTTTATTACAGAAGTCGTTGGATCTCGTTTCAAATGGTTACCTGCCACAGTAACTGAAGTTATGGGTCAAATGTGTCGTGTTCGTTTGAACGATGGAAGAATTTTTAGACGTCATCTTGATCATATTCGACATCGATTTTCTGCTGATGATGTAATGGTACGTGAAGGGAATCAAGATTTTAGAATGAGTGAGAGAATACCAGCTGCAATTCCAACAGGAATACCTGATGTTGATGTGGGAGATAGAAATTCAACTCCTACCTCTACTGCTACTGAAGAGACTGATGAATCTCAAAATGACAGAGACAATGTAGACCCAGTTCCTAATTTTCCAGAATCGTCCAGTAATTCAAACATACCTTATAAAACAAGATCTGGCAGAATATCAAAACCGCCAGAAAAACTATCTCTATAAGAAGTTTTATAATTTTGTACTGGACAGAATTATAGTTGTAAAAGTTTCTTTGAATTTCTTAGTTTCTTTGTGAAATTCTGTGCGTTGCTTGTATATTTGTTTTTGCAATATTTTATACCATTTGATTGGGAATGTTGGAATTCGGGTAATTGTGTTGTACATTTATTTTTAATATTTGGTTCTTGAATTTGTACAATATTTCCAAAAAGGGGGGAAGGAGTGTTATATATTATGTTGAGCTTACTATCATAGCTTGTTTACTACTCTATCTGCTTGTGTGCTATATTGTTACGTCACAATGCTGTCTAGTGCCGTAAGTTGTTTTTCCTCTGTTTAGAGGTCTTTTGTTCTGAACTAAGTTGACGGACGGATGTCCAAATAAATCGCGTGCAGTTTTGTAATGAGTCTGTATTCATTACTTGTTATAAAGATATAACATTTACCTTTCCGTTTTGTTTGGCTGTTGAAAATGGTTGTTTCGTATTGTTCCGTTGGCTGTACGTATAGTATAGACAACGAAATGGATCTTCACTAATATTCCACTGTTTTCAAAAGATCCGGAACGTCGCGCAATGTGGAAGTCATCTCGCTTGTGTTTCACTGTTTGCGGACAGCACTTCGTTGATGGTGAGTGATAATGTGCCGTTATCAATTTCTTTAAATATTCATAAGCTTCCTCATTTCAATGGGAAGCAGATGACAAACTACTGTTATTGGTAGGCGTAGGCCTACTTGCAGACTTGACTTGTGTAAGGAATTAATCATCAATTGCCATAAGGTTTTGTTTCCCTAGTTAGCAGGTAATCTATTAGTAAGTGTGAAAAGTTGAATAGATAACTAAAGCTTAACGCCAGTGCTCATGCAAAAAATAACCAGAATTTAATTGAATTCGCCATTTAGCACCGCATCTCTGATCACCCTGGTAGTTTCACAGGTTCCGATCCCATGCGAGGATAGTTATGTGCGAGAGCATTGCAGCTCTGCTCTCACTGAGGGTGGTTCACACGACCGCTGGTCGATTACGACATCCTCCACCATCAAGTCCATGCTTCTGAAAACAAATAACTGGCTAACTAATCCCGACATAGAATGGTAATCGTACGAGAGATAGATTCCCATAGTACTTTACTTTATAGTAGTTTCCTATCGTTGGTGCGGTAACCTGACGTCGTGGAACGCAGTCCAATTTATGATCGCTTAGTAAAACTTTGTAAAAGCAAACAGAATTTTCAATAATTTGTTACAAGTAATGATTTTTGTGCATTTGTTTAATTGTGTGCATTTTATTTTGCCTGCGCAATAAAATTATAGTAACCATGTTTAAATACTGATTGGAATAAAAAAAACGTACAATGAATAAAAATTTTCACTATTTTATATCGAATTTTCAAAGCGAGTTGTGGAAGGCATTTTATACATGATAGTGATACCCGATACAAGATCGGTTTCATGACTATTGCCCGGGGTGTATACAGACAGTAGTGGGATTCAAATTATTTGTCAGTCGGTGTCAACACAAAAGTCATATTTTTCAGCCGGTTCTGTTACAAAAAGTCATATTTTTTTAGCAAATAACTGAATATTTTCAACTACTTTCTAATTAACATGTCAAAATGATGGTTAGCTAAGCATCATTATGTCAAAATTAGCATCTAACTTTTTGATGATGTTAAGGATTGTCTGTATTGCTGTATATATTGTATACTCGTTGATATAGTCCGGCAGAATCGGGCCTTAACATTGTTTTGGGACATAAAGTTTTTTTTATTGTTTAGATATAATGTAGATGACATAAATAATGATACCCAGGTGGGTGCGGAGTATATAATGTTGAGCAATTTTTTTTAAATGGATTTCAAGTATTCATACCAAGATGACGCACAACCTGAATCCTAACCTGGTACACATGCAATGTTCAGGTTGTGCGCCATCTTGCCACTTTCTTTTGCGCTCGTCAAACTACATTTGTGTTGCTGCGGGCATTTCGTTTTCCTGCTTAAAGCTTAGGAACTTGGGAAATATTTTATTAGTTGAAATGAATTGGAACATTCGACCTCGTCTTTTACTCCGAACAAGGCCATGTAAAACCATCCATTGGTATTTAACGATGTGTAACGTGTTTTCTTTTGGAAGAACCGGAACCTTTCAGGTGCAGCATTGACTTTGGCCAAATTAATATATCCTTGTGGAGATAGAAGGTATGCGTATGCGAAACCGAGATGTGCACCTGTTAGGCCAACATAGTTGAGTCAAACACTTTAATCACTAGTACATCACACACATTTTCCTGCGTGCTTCGGTTGTACGTAGTAACGCGCACATTTTTGCGAACAAGCATCAAATTCCACTTGTTTATTGAGCTATAGGTTTTTGACGAGCTTTTGTGTATGATTTCATTCCATAGAATTTGTATGCTGTTTTAAAGAATACTAGTTTCAGCTTTTCATTCATTCAAACCGCGTGTTGGAAGTAAGTTTTGTAATACTGCGTGTTGGTTTTCAAATGGTTTATTTATATCCATCACTTGACATCGGTGATTCCAGTAAATCTTTAATATATACAAAAAAATCAGTATCATCTGCAATAAAAACAGCAGACCTACTCAAATGACAGCTGGGGGATGGATACTCATATTATCTGCTCCATCGCAAGCCTCTTACCAGTTTACATGAGTGCCAATTGGTATCTAAGCTCAGCCAGAGACAAAAAGTTGCGGACTGCGGTTGGCGTGACGAAATGTTTTTAAATATATAATCTACAATAAGATTATTTGATGCATATTACTGAAAGTTACGCCTTATATGTCTTTTCTCATTGCACTATTCCTTTACTGATATTCAATAATATGACGCTCATCTGACATAGTTTTTTCAAGTGTGTAGATAGGTATAATCTTTTCCACGCTGTACAGATGGGAATGCGTGAATATATCTGAGAATCGCTAATATTGGTTTGCAATGCGATGAAATCCCATCTTGGCATTCCTGCTTCTCGCAATTGCTGCGTATATTTATCGGAGAAGTTCTGTGGCGTGGTTACCAAATGAAGAACACATTGGAGTATTTTTTCCACTTCTCTACTACTCTCAAACCTTGACATTTCGTCAAATCATTTTTCCATTCAACCTTTTTTTTGAAACATCCCCAACAACCACAATTAATTCACCGTATATATATCATTCATTGTCAAGAATAATAATGAAATCATAAAATCTAAAACTCGTTTTCGTGAATTTTTTTGTTGTAGCCGAATTCGAGGGACAGCATGACAACAGGCAAGAGAAGCACGGTAGCCTCTTATAGTTTATGACAGGGTTTCCTATAAGGGGACCACGGCCTCCTTGGAGGCCACTGATCGGTTATCTGGGAGCACGAACAAACAGATGGAAATGAGAATATATAATAACAATGTATTTTTATAGAAGAGAAGAAGCAAAAGTGTTGAAAGTCTTTGGTAGTTTGAAAAGCATTGGCATGGAACATAAGAATGAACTACATTCTTTCCCAGGGATATACTATAAAATGTAGCAATTTTCTCATTCTTGTTCTCGTGATAGCATTATCTTTCACTGCATCGTCGTGATCATCCCGCTGCATAACAATCCTTGCTAGCAAATAATTGACTGTTTCCGCCGGGTGTATATCCACTTGAACCACTGCCGACTGCATGAGCAGGCTTGTATTGTTAATTGCAACAAAAGCGGGTATTTTGAAATAGTACTCTTTATTTTACGCGTATGTTTCAACAGTATTTCCATATATATATGGGTCGCGACCCAAAGCTGGGTTCAAAAAATACCTAAAAGTTATTGATTTTTATTTCCTAGTAAATTTGGTGCTTCCGTAGTTTGTGCACCAAGATGGCGCACAACCTGAACATAGTATTGTAACAGGTTAGGTTTCAGGTTGTGCGCCATTATGGTGCACAGATTTGATGGAAAACACTAATACAAATATCAAGCCGTAAAAAAAAATTGCTCAAGGCTGCAAACTCCACATCCGTGTAGAAATGATGGGCAATAACCCCAAGATGAATAATCACACATAAAAAAAACTTTATGTCTGAAAACAAGGTTGGGCCCAAAAAGGCCCCTCATCTTCCGGACTAATAATGAACTTAAAATGAACGTGCGAACCTGATCATTTCACATTTTGAAAAAAACACGTGAGCTACTTGATCTCAAAAATCGGTGTGTCAGATAAGATGCAAAAATGCATTGACATTAACCAGTAATGCTAACCGGTTTGCTGAAATCATAAAATTCAGTGAAACGGTTCTATAGAACCGGTGCGAACCTCTGAATGTATATCTTGACTCATAGTCTTTTCTATAGTCATGTAATGAGAGAATGGTACGTGAGCGACTGCAGTTACAGTTGATAGCAGGTTCGAACTTTAGACATCTTACTGATTAGTCGAAATTACCGAAATAAACAAGGAAGTCACCGTCGGGGAAACGTCTATTTCAAAGTGGGGTCAAACCACAAAGAATGTTGACCCTCTATAGTCAAACAGGGAGAAAAGTCAAGAAGGGGTTCATAATTGTGAAACATAGCTCGGATTAACCGATAACGCAAAAAAAAAATTAGAGGTGGACAGCACAATACAATTTACTATTCTTTTTCGAATTTAAAATATCGAATCCTATTCTAAGATTATGAACCTTTCCCGACCTTTGACCTCCAAAAAATTCTTCCTATACTTTATCATTTCAAAATTTTCGGGGCGGAGTGGTTTTGCGGGTTGACGCCTGTAAAATGGGGTATTTGCTTCAAACCATCATTATGATTCATCGCATACAACAATCTGTTTTTTAAAAGTACCGGTAAAGAAGTTTAGCCTAGTCTATCACAGCTATTTCTACACTATTTTTTTATTACTGCAAATAAATTAAAACTCTTGAGAAGACAGAGTGATCATTGAATTATCTGATTTAAATTTCCGAAACACAACTGAAAACTAACGAATAGAGTTCAAAAACGCGAAAACGAGGTAATGTTCACGACCACGCCTGAAAATCTGTCTGAGGGAGAAAAGTGTCTGAGCGGATCGAAAAGGGAGCATTGTTGCGTCACATTTTGCATCTTGCTGATTGGCCAATGTCACGAAGTAAACAAGGAAGTCAATGCTCGGGGAAGGACCATTGACAATGACCCTGTAAATGGTGGACCTTGCTATGGTTCCAAGTTCAGCGAAACATTTCCGCATGTTTAGGTAAATGGGAAAATTACTTCTTTAGTCCATTTTTTTACTGTTATAAACATAATCATTCACAGCCAACTACGTCGATGAAAAATCAAACACCTTTGTGGATTAGACAGACTATGGCGGGCGCTCATATCAATGCAATGTATTTTGTGCCTTGCAGTATTGCGGCAGCAAGGCCTTTCAACATGTGAAAAAGATTCATACACTTTGGTCTCTTGATTTCACAAATTACGTCATGGCCATACCCCTTCGCGGTGCTTTGCGCCGATAAATCGGCGAGGTATCTCATTGGTGCCAGGCTACCTGACACGGAAAAGACTTGTACCGTAGACGTATTGTCTGTGGTATTGACTCAAAATTATATATTATATTATATAACTTACCCATAGTCGATTGGGGAAAAACGGTCCGTCAGCCACCGTAGGTACCGTACTACAGGGGTGGTGGCTTCTCTACTGCCATGGTCCGTATTGAAGTCACCACTTCCACTCTAATCGTACGCCTTACAGCTGTACCGAGTACCGCACGGTGCGGTAACATTCCGTACCCTAGTGAACATCAGTCATGTCAGCATGTTAGTGTTTGAATGTAGTAGATCAGGTTAATGTTATAGTTATTTTGTTTTGGGATCCATTATAGTTACCGTATTACTTAGAATCTCAAAGGATCCTATGAAAAAACATCCTCAATTCCTTGCTCCCACCCTTTAACCAATAAATTACAATAGCTACCCACCTCAGTATCAATCCACAATCCCCAAATCTAAATATATTATACTTGAACTGTTACCAGTAGTATTTAATAATTGATGTAATCTGGACTACAATTTGGCAATATTTTGGCATGTCTTTGGTGAATGAAAAGGTTTAGCCCACCTCTTCATGCACTCAACTTTGGTTGGGCAATTTGGCATTCGACTCCAATTATTTGTAGTGCAAGTAACTACAGGCCTATTGCAGTGGCCTCTGTCTTATCTAAGATTTTTGAAAAACACATTTTAAATAACATTGGGTCTTACTTAACTACATCTCACAACCAGTTTGGCAAGTGCAGTTTTAGGTATTCTATGGCGTCTGCAGCTGCCGCAAAACCATGGCGGTATTTCCATACCATGGCCGCTACGGCCAAACCTATGGCGACTGACTTTTGAGCTGCCACAAACCAATGTCGAGCTGCCGTTACCGCGGCAGCAAATTGAAAACCAATGGCAGGTAAAATTTTGCTGCCGTAACCGCGGCAGGTGGGCCGTAAGGACAGGGCTGTCCCTTATGGTGACAAATATTGGGTAAGTTGGAACGTTTTTCTTATGGATACAGTCTTGATGGATTTGGGGTTAGGGTTTAAGTAGATATAATTCCGCATGATCAATTAGAATTTGGTACCGGTACATTAGTTTGTGAATATACCGTTGATACTGATTACTGAATACAGAATAGCGCTATAAAACCATGGCAAGAGCTGCCGCGGTTCGTTCGTGGCAGGAGCTGCCATGAAGTGGTAAGAACTGCGCCTCCAGTTTGGTTTCAAGCCTGGTACGGGACTGACATGTGCATTTTTACAATAAAGCAGCTAGCTACTTATTATTCCAAAAAATCATCACCAGTTTACATAGCTTTTTTGGATGCCACTAAAGCTTTTGATAAAGTTAATCACTGGACTCTATTTCGTAAATTAATTAACAGAAGAATCCCCAAAATTTTTTTGTCGCTGATTGTACACATGTATCGTAATCAATCCATGTTTGTTAGATGGGGTAGCAGTGTGTCAGATCCTTTCTCTGTCCATAATGGTACCAATCAAGGTAGTATATTAAGTCCATATTTATATGCTGTTTTCATGGATGACCTTTCTGTTAAGTTGAATCCAGAGACCATTGGTTGTGTAGCAAATAACAATATTATCAATCTTATTTTTTATGCTGATGACATGTGTTGCATTTCACCTTCAGCCAAAGGTCTTCAACGTTTACTTAACATATGCGATAAATACTCTATTGAACATGACATCTTGTACAACTCGAAAAAATCTGTTTGTATGTGTATCCAGAATAAAAAGTTTAGGCTGAATAATTTGCCTGATATCAAACTTTGTAATTCTGTATTGACTTATGTTTCGTCCACTAAATATCTTGGTGTTTTCCTATCCAGTGATCTTAGAGATGACCTTGACTTGAAACGTCAGTATAAATCAATTTATTTTATAGCCCATACAATTTTGAAAAAATTTGTCAATTGTTCCACTACTGTGAAAAATCTTTTATTTAGGACGTATTGTTGTAGCATTTATAACTGCCAGCTCTGGTTGTTTTTCAATAATTATAAAAAAGTTAAAATTTCATATAATAATTCCTATCGCGTAATTCACTGTGTCTCTAGATCTGAGAGTGTCCGTCACAAAATGGTATCTGGGAACATTCCCTCTTTCGAAGCACTCCATAGAAAAAATCTGTGGTTGTTCATGACGAGATGCAGGAACTCCAATAACATTCTATTACAATCATTATTTGATTCCCAGATACTGTTTGTTACGGGCTACCTTAGATTCTATACCTCACTTTTGGTCTCTTGAATTGCTATATTATAACTCTTTTTTGAGACTCACTGTGAATCTGATTGTCATATCAGTTATTTTATGTATTTATTGCGTTATTTTTGTTTTGCTTATGTTTATTTGTTGTGTTGTTTTTATATGGACCACAGCGGTCTGGAGTAATAAACGAATTGAATTGAATAATCAGCTTGGCGAAATCATTTTTTTGTCCTCATATTAAATACTGTTCACTCTTGTTTGGGAATTTTTACAAAATTATTAAAATGGTGTGGCAAACAATTCTTGTTATTTATTACATTTCTTATCTTTTATTCTAATTTCTTTTTTATGTGTTTATTTTTTGGTTACCATATAATTTATCTAAAGCTTCTCTCTTTTTTCTAATTTTATTAATGCCCTATGGTTGTGTGTGTGTGTGTGCGAGTGTGAATGATTTGATTCAGTAGTTTTAGATGAGTGAACATGTAGTCTACCACTTCTTTTTGGCAATACCTTCCATCTTATATTCTGTACGTTTTAAACTTTATCCAAGATTTTGTTTACTCTTCTGATTTCATAGTCAGTTTTTATTTATTTGTTTTTATCAATTGTTTTATCGCCTTTCTGCTGATTATGGAGTCGAAATAAACTTATCTTATCTATTCACAAACTTTACAGTTTTGCAAATTTAAAATCTAACGTTTGTTCATAAAACTGTAAAATGCCTCGTGGGGGAGGAAAAAAATCACATAAAGGAAAACACAGACAATTCACTAGCCCAGAAGAATTGGAAGCACAACGGAAAAAAGATTTGGAAAAAAGAAAGCAAGAATCTTCATCTTCAGAAGAGGAGTCAGATGAAGAGGATTCCAGAAATATCATAGAAGTCAATAATCCAAACAGAATTCAACAGAAAAATAAAAAAATCTCAGATCTAAGTGCGGTACCAGAGGCAGCGGCAGCCCCATTATCAAGACGACAACGGGAAGAAATAGCAAAACAAGAAGCAGCCAGACGTTATGAACAGTTGCATCGTGAAGGTAAAACTGAAGAGGCAAGGGCAGATCTTGCCCGTTTAGCCATTGTTCGTAAACAGCGGGAAGAAGCGGCAAAGAAAAGAGAAGAAGAAAAGAAAGCGAAAGAAGATGCGCAAGCAAGACTTAAAGCTCAAAGTTTGAATGCAATTAAACCATCAGGAAAACGAGGAAAATCGTGAAATGCCGATCTTGCTGATGAGTTGGTCATACATATCACTGGGTGGATTTCGACAATGTTATCACTTGGATAAAGAAGAATATCAGCGACAATTATTAGGCTTAATCAATACTTCATGAGAAATTGCCTAATAACATAAGATTTTACTCATTTAAAACTACTTGAACGTCAATTTCAAATTTCTTGAAAACAAAGTCATATGTCAAAAATCGAAAAAAGTCATATGTCTCCTGAAACTGAACTAAATAGTTGCCTGTTTTATCTTTTTTTGATATTTATGAAAGCCCTAGATCATATTTACTGTTTTAATTCTCTCAAGATGTCCTCCCAAACATTCATAAAAATTCTGGTTTCATGCATATGCCATAATTATGGTTTACCAAGCGCAAAATTGGCTGTAATCATTTTTTGAAATCATCACAATGGTTCTATAATTATAATTAACTTTATAGTTGGTGACAGATTTTAATGAATATTGCTATTGCATTTAACTCTTGAGTATTTGATTCACGACGAACTATGTTCGGTTTGTGACTTTCGTATAATATGCCTATTTTTATCGCTCAGTATGCATACCACCAATATCAGAGTATATATTCTTACAACGGTCTCAAGTTTTTCCAATTTAGGCATGTAGGCTACTTATTTTTTGTTCGACTAATTATTTAGTATTCCCACACAATATTGTAACAGGCTCAATAGCTTTTTAAATCAAGGATGTTGGTTTCCAGCTTAGTTATTCAAGTTGCCTGTTTATAAAATATTGCGAGATAGTGCATGTATTGCTTTTGAAGTATTAGCCTACATAATTTCGCTGAAGCTGAATTTATGATTTCCATTGTACTTCTATATACGAGTCCCTGTATTAGTGCAGTAATATCTTATTCGGTTAAATTTTTTCATGGGCTCGTAAGAGATAATTTCATATCTGTAAGCATGTATATTACAGACATGAAGAATGTTTCATTGTTTAAAAATTTATGGAGTTGATATTCTTTCACTGCTTGTTTGATCACAGTTGTCCAGTTCATTTTAAATCGGTAATGCTAACATATTTACATGTTCTTGTGTTCAATATTTGACAATGGTTTTAAGTATGTTCTTCTCTGCAACATCTAGTTTGGTAAAGGTGAATTATAATAATGTTTGTGTTGAAGGCAGTTTATATAAACTAATAAATAATAACGGCTCCATGGTGTGATAAATAATACACAAGTTCAAGGAGTAGATTCATGGAATATCAATCCAAGTATGAAAATTTGAAAAGAAAGTTGAAGATACTGCTTTATGTAAGTTTTGTATTGTTTTTTATCATTTCATCAGTAATTTTTTGTATAATTTCACTTGTTTTCAAACAAAAGTTACCGCCAACCCTTGAAATGCTACACTAATATCATATAGAAAAATATCAATCATAATAAAACACTGATTCTGACTACAATTTTCTTTACAACTTATGTTTTATTCAATAACATTGGTTTTTCTCGCAATTACCCTTGAGGTAACAATTTATTTATAATCTTTCCCAGGAGCAGGAAAGTTTCAAAAAAGATCTGGAGAAATCTCAGCATAAACTATTGAGAGTATCTCGAGACAAATCGTTTTTACTGGACAGGTTGTTGTTATATGAACAAGTATCTGATGATTCTTCAAGTGATACAGATGCCACATTATCATCTGACTGTGACACTAGTTTTGTAACCAAGTAAGATTATGTTCTCAGTTATATTTGAAGTCTGTGTATGTGTCAGTACACATTTGGTAATTAAAAGCAATTGAACATTGAAATGAATTTTATTTTGTAAAATTGACTCGATACTCAGACAAACAGGGTTTTTGATGACATTGCACACAAAAAACGAATCTCATTATAGCGACAGAAATTTACCAAAAAAAGTTTTCTCCATTATGTTTACGGTACGCGAACAAATCGATAGTCGAACGCCAATCCACACAAATTATTTTCGACCAGTATCACTGTATTTCACAGTTATCCTCAGTGGATGGCTAATGAGGATACATTTTCTAGATTCACATTTTTTCCTTTGTGCGATGATGGTGTTGTCGTTTAAAATCAGTGGTTGAAAGTTTTAAGCTGAGACTCATGACTTATTTTTTTAATAAATTGGATATTGATTCTTACAATGAGACTTGTATTTTTATGAAATGGGATAAAATATTTTTCTACTTAAATCAGTTTTACTTTTATTTAATGCTCCTATCATATATACCGGTATATATATCAATTTTCAGTTTTAATTCTGATGCTAATCAAGTGACTGCACCATATCTTTAGTGAGGCGTATACACATTGGTTGTACAGTTTTGAATTTTGGATTACAAGTGACTTCAATAAATTAGTGACATTGGAATAGCATAATATAAACCTTTCCTAATGCAATTTCTTCATGTTGTTATAGGAAAAAGAATGCATCAACCCTTATTAAAGGAGAATTGGAAAGAAATACAACCAAGATTGAGGTGATTTTCATGTTATTGGATTCCATTGTATCAGGCGAATGAATTTCACTTTATATTGCTCTGACCTTGAAGTTTTTCAATCAAAACCTAGCTTTTGTTTATGGCGGCTATCTGTCATTGGTATTAAATTCTTCAGAGGTATTTATCTAGATATTTAATGCTTACCTCAAATTTCAGGAATCATCTGGAACAACTTTGATAGTCAAATCTGAAAGTAAGTTTTGTGGGCCAACATAGAATACTTTGCTATTCCAGAAACAGGTATCAGTAACAACGGAGAACGTATAAATCAGTAATTATCAATATATATTCAACAAGTTTGAATCGGATAATAGTCAAGATAAACAATGATTTGATTAGTTTAGTTTCTACAGTTTTTCAGGAGGTGAGCAGAAGCTTTTTTTTGTTTTCCTGTGAGATTTCAGCAGCTTTCAATGACAATTTTCAAATAAACTATTTCAAATTTTTCCTGGAGGCCTAAGTCAGGGGTTCCCAAATCGCGGCCCGCGGAACGATTTGAAATGTCCCGACGAGCTTGAGTGAAACAGTTTCCAACTGATTTTGTTTCTACCGTTTTGCGATCTAGATACCGCCAATTGTTACGTCATTATCACAGCTTAATAAGCACATGTTTATCGTGGCAATTCAATTTTGCCTGTATCTCAGTTATATGTACCGGTATTAGGATTACATAGGGCAGTCATTTAGTTATCAGCCTTATAAGAAAGCTTAGAGATGTCAAATAATAAACATAAACTAGGCTCTGAAAGTGAAAACAGACGTTTCTGGGATAAATGACAGCTTTCGTATTTCTGTATTGAAAAAAATCAAACTTCAGCGATTTGTCCTCTATTACAGTTCTGGAGGAATGCGACATAAAGCGCCGTTATGAGTTGAACAAACATTTTTCAAAATAATGTCTAATGTGAATCCTCTGAACCCCAACTAAGCCGTCGCGCACTTTTGGGCACTACACTCTTCCGGCCTGCAAATATCCTTCCGATTCTAATTTTGGCCTGCGGCCAATAAAGTTTGGGAACCCCTGGCCTAAGTCAAAAATTTAAAATATCAAATATTCTATACATTTTGAACATGCATTCTCTATTGTATCTCATATTTTGCTTGTTATTAATATTTCTATTAATTTTCTTTTTGTTCAACTGGTTTATATGTGATACATTCTTATGCCAGATACTGCCCTAGATGAACATACCAATGGTGTTCCTGATATCGAAATCAAGCGGAAAGAGTTTTCATCTACAACTGGTGACATTGCACCACATGCAATGGATGTTGAGGAAAGGAAGAAAACAACAGAAGATACAGATGAATCTTGGTGCGACATTGACCCATGAGGTGTTGGTAATATGTGGAAATGATCAAAACTGCAGTTTGAGCATTTGTGTTGGTATTGGAATCAATACTAGCTACATGTGTTCATCCTGATGGATTCCTATACTTCATCTGGGCCGCATGAGAAAGTGTGCTTGGCATGCGATGGTATTATCTTTAGCAAGAATATTCATATAAAAATACAGTGTGTGATGATATAAACAGTCTCTTTGTAGAAAAGACTTGGAATGAGTTGGAATTTAACCATAGACATTTAATTCAGAGCAGGTTAGCTTGTATAATTGTGACTTATTTGCCTAAAAGTGATGTCAATTATAAAAGAAAAATACAATCTCGGGTCGCATTTTGAAGCCAATCAACTCTTTAGTTCAAACCCCAAACCTGAATGAAAAGCAGACGCCATAGGCCATAGCAACGAAGTTTACTGCAAAGCTGTGACTAAGCAAGCACATCGAAACGGGAGGCGGACAACTCGACTACACGGACAACTCACTAGAGACAACTCGACTACCTAGAGGCCTGGTGAGTTGTCCGTCTTTTGACATTTTCTACGGTGGTGTTTTAGGTCTATAGAAATGCGTTTTTGATATTTTTAGTGCTCAAGTGTTGAGAAAAACACGTAAATATGCTCTAGAAATATGCTCTTTTTATTTGTATAAGTGGCTTATTTTGATCATGTTGTATGAATACAAATACAGTCTACAGACGAAATTGGAGTAACGTTAGCGAAGTTTGACTGTTGACTTATAGGACTGTGTTCGTTCAATTTTTTGAACTTTATTGGTATTAAATGTTTTGAATGAGCACCTTTAAATATATTAAAACCTTTATACTTCACAGTAACACTTAAATATTTATGAATGTGAGCTCAGTAGTCTATGGTTGCAGTAGTCTGCAGTCGCCCGACAGGCCGTCAACTCACCAGTCGAGCAAACGCTCTGCGACGTGACGTCATCGATGCTCGAGGTGAAGACAACTCGACTACCGAGCAACGAGGGGCAGACAACTCACCAGTCGAGCAATCGCTCTGCGATATCGATGCTCGAGGAGAAGACCTTGCTTTGCAAAACAAGAGATGCTAACTCAACAGTTGCATAGCATTTACTTAGTGCCGACTGATATTAGTTGGAAGCCAACTCACCACGGCAAGGTTTCAGTCATAGAGTTGGAATTTCTTTTTGCAGAAGAAAACCAGGAACAGATAGGCACTGTCGCTGCGCCTGGCAAAGAAACTGGGCCGAAGAATGGATAGAAGATGTTTACTTTTTGTTACGATTAATGAATTTAATATGATATTTGAATACTAAACGTTATGGGGGAATTTAATGGATGGAAGGTTTTGTTTTCCTTTTCGTTACGAATAATGAATTTTTTTTGAATACTAAACGTTATGGGAAATTTGCTGCGTTACATACTTACTCTTTGCAATACTGCGGCCCGTAGATCATTGAACACCTTCGAAGAAGAGAGTCCACAGATAACTCTCTTTCCTTGTTCTGTTCCCGGACACGTTGCACCCTCTCGTTGGCTTCCGCATACCTGCCGTTGACACGCCCCACAACGTCCGCCTCTATCCCTATACTTACCTCGTACATTGTTGAGGTTAAACTGTAAAAAGGCATATTTTTCCGAGTTACACTGTTAAAATGGCGGTGCCAACCTTCCAGATGATTGTTGTTTCTTATTTCTACGTCGAATACTGACCAATCATTGGGAGTCCAGACACTGTTGTATAGCCATGTGTTTTGAAAATATTCGGCGAAGATCTTGAGTTTGCATCTTTTCGTTCAGTGATTTGAATCTGGACGTAATAAACATAGCTGGTATATAGCACAGCGCCATGGCATGCTTGATCAGGTCTCTTGTTCCAGCGTCCCTAAAACAAAAACATGTTAATACAAAAGAAGTGAAAGATGTACAAAGACATATATAAATATGGTTAACCACTCACTTGTCGTATAGGCGAGCCAAATTATTGTGACGCACATTCTTCATGATGGCCTGAGTGAAGTGATATCCATGCACGGAGATTAGATAAGGTACCAGATCGGTGATAATGAAGCCGCGCGCCGAGATTACTGCTCGGTTATCGCCGAGTTTAAAGCCTCGTTATCGCCGGCCTGCCCCCCTACAAACGTAAATACTCATTAGCCGAGGTCGTTCTCATCACAGTTTTATACTGAAACGAGGACGACTAATGGTATATTAACTTCACAAAAACTACGCAAGAATTCAAGATGACTACTCCAAAAATGTGACGACAACGTTACCATGAAGCAGGAGGGACTCGTCTGTGACGTCTGTCGAAATTGGTTTCATCGCAAGTGTTTTAATAATTCAGATGTGGCAATGACAAGGGAACAGTACAGCCTATTAAAAAAACAGGACGTAACGTTTGAGTGGAAGTACCCGGACTGCTACCAGGCCCATGACACCCATCATAACTCCAACCCGATTGTTGTATCCCAGCAGATGGAACCTAGCCGTCGGCTGGTAGACTACTCAGGTGGTGAGTTGGCTTACAACTAACATCAGTCGGCACTAAGTAAATGCTATGCAACTCTTGAGTCTGCGTTTTGCAAAGCAAGGCTTCCGAAAACAAACAATATAACTAATCCCATACCCGACTTGGAATGGTAACCGGACGAGAGGCCATGGTTCGCCATATGGATAAGCCGTCTTATCGGCTTTCCTCTCCCCCGGGATAAATATGTAAATCCTATCCTATCCAAGGTCTTCTCCTCGAGCATCGATATCGCAGAGCGATTGCTCGGCTGGTGAGTTGCCTGCCTCTCGTTGCTCGGTAGTCGAGTTGTCTTCACCTCGAGCATCGATGACGTCACGTCGTAGAGCGTTTGCTCGACTGGTGAGTTGACGGCCTGTCGGGCGACTGCCGTAGGCGAGTTCAGACTACTGCAATCATAGACTACTGAGCTCACATTCATAAATATTTAAGTGTTACTGTGAAGTATAAAGGTTTTAATATATTTAAAGGTGCTCATTCAAAACATTTAATACCAATACAGTTCAAAAAATCAAACGAACACAGTCCTATAAGTCAACAGTCTAACTTCGCTAACGTTACTCCAATTTCGTCTATTTGTATTCATACAACATTTCTATAGACCTAAAACACCACCGTAGAAAATGCCAAAAGACGGACAACTCACCAGGCATCTAGGTAGTCGAGTTGTCCGTGTAGTCGAGTTGCCCGTCAGCCATCGAAACCACGGGAGTTCAACTGAATTTCAATCAACCGTTCGTTATCTTGCAACTCCACAATATTATATATTTAATAATAAGTAAGAAGTGCGGGATGTAATACATCGGTTGACAGTCGGACGCTTAAAATATTGGATGACGGAACATGTATGGAGCAACAAGGACATTGTGGATGTCGCACAATTCAGCCAACCAGGTCATTCAATAAAGTACTAGTAATTGGCACAAAGTTAGCGTTTCGAGACCAAGCGTAACGGCAGACTAAAGAACCTCATTTTGGTAACAAATTTGTAACCCCTGAGAATGTATTTACGGAATGAATGGAGTATGGATTTATGTTTCAATTTGGTTGTTATGAAAGATTATACCGGTACCATTTAAATACGTTTAACGTTTTATGCATATTTTCGAAGTTAGATTATGCTCGGTCAACCTCAGCAGTTATCCCCGCCATTGCGTTTACTCCAGCATGGCATTGACAAGCACTATGGTGGGAATTCTTGAAGAATGGCGTGTGATTGTTCAATTTACTTTTTAAATCTTCCTTGCTATGCTTCGGGATATTTATTGATTGGCATATTAGTTGTATCTCGCCTCTATTTTAAAAGTTCCTCAACTTGCTAAGCTCTCTCGAAGCAACACACGTTATTTGCGCGCAAAATAAAAGGCCTTTACTGCTACAATTCCGAATGCAGGAAAGTATTAACTTACACATGCAGTAAAATCCTCATATGGTTAAGCTGTCTTATCGGGTTTCCTTTCTCCCGGGATAAATATGTAAATTCTATCCATTTCCCGCCATCAAGGATCGGTATTGTCTTTGTTGCTCCCCTTTACATGAAAGTATCCATGCGCAGGCCTTAATCATTCATGGAATCAATGACCATCAACACTACATACCTCCTTTGGTTAAAAGTTTATGTTGAATCCGTCTTTTAATGTATACATGGCAAAGTGTTCGAATCTGGTAGGCGGTTTTCGTTCTCGTCTTCGGCGTTCATGTGCCTGTATAATTGTATCAGTACTTGTCCGGGTCGGGATTTTGGCAATATGTGACTGTGACGGCGTTATCTTAAGTCTTTTATTCATAATTCGTCACGAATGTTGAATTACGACGAAATTATTTCCCTCTTCATTTCTGACAGTGCCTTCCCCTACTTCCTTCTTGGCGACTTCTTATCGAGATTTATTGAAGTATGTCGATATATTGTCAACTTTCTCCTGCTCAACGTGCACCGAATCTACGACTTCAACATTTTGTGAAATTGCCCTTTTCTTTTTATTCGGAGATTTTGTTTTGTGAAGTTCTCATCTATCGACCATACTCCTGTCGTTGTATGCGGTACCTCGCCGTCCGCTTAACGCGAACTGCGTGATATACCGGCACTTCTCATCAAGCAATATTTTATGAAACCCCTATTTCAGATCTAACGTCGAAAATACAGCACTTCCGCTCGAGATCTGGAGTAGGCCTTCGTAATTGTAAAACACTGATTATGACTGCAATTTTCATTGTAAAACGTGTTTTATCCAATTAGCCTACGTTCGTTTTTCTCAAATTTTCAATTGAGATCAAAATTTATTCACCATCAGGTGAGGACATACTGGTGTAGTTCCTGCAAGACTACTAACTATATTGTAAATACTAACTAGTTGAGAAATCGAGCTCTCGTTTAAATCTTAATTCGCGGTTGGTGATTTTAATTAGATGTGGTTTTCTATCTTTTATGTGAGCATGCATTTTGATTTGACTTGATGATAAAACTAGAGAATTAGATTTTCCAATATACAAAATATGGAAACCGATATACATGTGCTTATAAATATAAACAGTTTTCGTTGAAAATAATTGCAAAACATTAATCATTTAAGACGGGAGAGAGTCTTATTTTCGGGGTAGGCCTTCTTTTCGGGGAAATACGGTATATTCGATTTGGCAACCGTTGTAAAATATTAATATGGTGTGGCAAACAATTTTTGGTTTTAATTTTCCATATATATATTTTTTGTTTACTGTGTAATTTATCTAAAGTTATTCGCGTTTTTTCTTATTTTATTAGAATGTGATTTACATATCTCTGTGGTTGTGTGTGTGCACTAATTAAATCAATACTTTTGGTGAGTGAACTTGTACCACTGCTTTTGGTAAAACATTCCATCTTAAATTACCGTGTTTCCCCGAAAATGAGACCTAGCTTGAATTTTAAGAATGATTTTAAGCCCTTCCCTTAAGTTAAAACGAGAGAGCTACGCTCAAATATATGGACACATAGCGCCACCTAGTGGCCAATTCAAATGACGTCATAGCACAAAAAAACGAGTCCCATGCAGCTTACAGGAATATTTAAAATAAATAAAAGTAATAGCCTACTAGCGAAAAATTTAATCTTCAAGCACTGAAAATTTTAAAGGGTTTGGTCCAGTGATCAAAGAGAAAGGCGACATTTTAAAAACGTGTCAAAGAAGAAGAAGAGTGCCAGCATAAAATGCAAAACGATTGCTATTATATTGTACCCTCAGTTGGGCAGCCAGGGAAACGATAACTCAAATTTCAATTTTCGGGACGATATGATTATTTTCAAAACTCCCAATCTTGGACGCACGTCTGCACCCGTGTATACCGTTATGCAGCTATTGGCTGTGACGCACGTCTGCACCCGTGTAAACCGTTTTGCAGCTATTGGCTGTGACTGTTTATATTTTGCCACGTCTTGTTGCAGCGTTCCATCTCGGAAGTGTAGAACCAAAAGGCAGACTGCAGATTGTTTTGGGGAGGATATACGAGAACCAGATGCTACTTTGATTTTTATTTGATTCTCGCCTACAATGCCGTTGGGAAAAAAATTCTTTTAGACCCAAAACAAAGGCTAGAAATCTGAAATAACAATGGGACAGTGTGGAAGTGCTTTTATGTGGTTGAAAGCCGATCAAAAAATATAAATCTGTCACAGTGGAATTTCCTCCAAACACTTTAAAACCGTAAAATAATTTGCTGCATGGTTCTAAACGTTTTTTGGTAATTTATATGCGTGTTTTAGTACACGAATTTCATAAAATCGAGTGCCATTATAGAGTCTAGTAGCAGTAGGCCTGGTAGAATTGTGGCATAAAAAAGCCTAAAACTGAACAACACCAACTGAAGCTCGTAGGGTTTGCAAGATGAGATGCAGCAGCAAGTTTGATTGAATATCTGTGACCCATACTCTTTCGTTCCGGGGTTAAAATATATTTTTTGACCCATTCATTGAAAAAGGTTCGCCATCCCTGATCTAGTCAATGAGGCGAAATTTTTTTTCCTGGTCGATAGCAAGAAATCTCCAACATGCGTTTTAAATGATTAATCTAAAACGCGTGAGAGAGAAAAACGTGTCATTTAAGGTTTTGTTTGCTATCCTGATTCTATAATCAGTTTTTGTTTATTTGCTTTTATCAAATATTTTGTCGTCTGTTATGGTGATTATGGGGTCGAAATATACTTATACCAATGGCCATGCTTATACTATAGAGCAGCGGTTCCCAAACTATGGGTCGCGAACCACTGGTGGGTCGCAAAAGGAACCTTAGTGGGTCATGGAAAGATGTAGAAAGCTTTGATCAATTATACTGGTTATTAGGATCGGTGTCGACTCGAATACGTAAATCTTCAAAAAAACAAAAGAAATTGAATTGAAATTCTAATCCGTGAAAGTTTCCTTTTTACGATCTTTTCAAAGGAACAAAATTTGCTACACAAAGAATGACTATGTGGCTTTTTTACGCATAGCATCAGTTTTGTACACTGTACAGCACTTCTTACCGTGTTTCCTCGAAATTTAGACAAGATTTAGATTTATTTTCTTTTGAAGAATAACACTATGGTTTTTTTTTTTTAAAGAGGTCTTTTGTGTTCATTTATCAAAAAATAAAATTACATTGTAGAAAATCACAATATTTTTTAATGAAAATTATATAAAAACCGACATCCAGTGCTTTTATTTGTATTTCCTATACAAAAATTAAGTGACAAATATCATAATTGGGACATCACACAATCTTGAATAGTGGTGTGATCTTCACCTTACCTCAGGTCATTTTCCTTTCCTCTCCCACACATTTTAAATTTATTTTAAGGGTAGGATTTAATTAAAATCATTTTTAAAATTCAAAATAGGTCTTATTTTCTGGCCAGGTCTTATTTTCAGGAACTACTATCAGGAACCGGTCGAAATCATCAGTCACCATAGAACAGATGGCAATTTCAATAACTCCAGAGGATACTTCACCCGGATTCAACATGAAACAATGGACTGATTTAATACCTAGCACACCATTCTCATTTCATTACCATGCTCAATAAATTAGGCAAAGGAACAAAATTTAAATGTAGCAAACAATAGGGACAATGGTCACTGTTAACGTAGCATGCTGCTTTAACTTCATTCCATTATTGTCGCCCAGCACCAAATTAAACAATCTCATTCCTTTCTTCATTCTAGGATATCTTATTATTCAATTATATTATTGTTCTTATTTTCTTATCATGCCTAATTAAACAAAAACATCAATTCAGGTTATAGAAAGTGAGGTAGGCCTACATTAAAATGTAAATGCAGCAAACAATAGGGACAACGGTTATTGTTAAATTCATCCCAGGATACCATATTCTATTATTATTTTAATTCAAAATCCATGACATGGCAAGATGATACTCTTTATAATTTATTGTTCTCTTTTTCAATATACTTTTATACCTTCAAATTGTCTGGTTAAAATGCGATCATGATAGGTTTTATGAAAATGCAACCTGAATATCTTTTTTTGAATCCTGATCTTTTTTGGCGGTATTCAGAACTATAAAATACAAAGTAACTTGGAAAAGCGAATAACTTGACAGAGCTTATTACATCGCATTTGCCCAAGCCTGGAAGGAACGCATTTTTGTTAGATTAGTCATATATTACTTAAGACACTTGAGTGGTACATACCATATATGCACATACTCCTATAAACTTGACTATTTCTCCCATTTATAGGGTGGGGTATCATTACTCAAGGGTACCGGTACTATATTTAGGTGACCGTACATTTGAACCCATGTGTATATCCGCGGGTTCAATCAATATGCGGGTGCTAAAACCTATGGGTTAGGTTAGTATGGGTACAAATATCCGTAAAACCAAAAAAAATTCCATAGGTGCAATGGCATGCAGGTGCAATTGTCGTGGGTTCAAATGTAATGAAACCCTATATTTAGTATACAGTATGTCCAAATTTTATTATTATGTTTACATGTATTATATTCCATGTTGTATTGTCTCTATTTATTGATGTTGTCTTGTCCTACCAACTCCTTTGTACAAACAGTTGGGCATACTCCACCCTTACCCCTGTTGCCTATATTGCTACCCATCCACCTTCCTTGCACAACTGTCTGTATGAAGGACCATATTATTATACTTATTTGATTCATTGCATTTTATGCTTATCATAGGTGGTGTATGCCGCATTTTCATGTGTTTTAGGCCAGTATGTTCTTGTGTATACATCCCGTCTTCAATGTTGATATTTACTAACTCCTGTGTTTTCGCTTTTACGAGACGAATAAACATACATACATACCGTACATTTTCGAGGAAACACGGTAGTTTTGCGATGATTAGCCATTGCTGTGTTCTGTGTTGTGTCATAAAAAGTTAAATGGGTCGCCATAAGCTGTGGTAATAAATAGTGGGTTTCAACTCTATAGCAGTGGTTCCCAAAAAGTTTGGAAACCACTGCTGTAGAGGGTTGTGTTTATACGTACCGGACTACCGGCACCCAAACGCTGACGTTGGAGTCAAAGGTCGAAAAAAGGTACGGTAGTTTGTTTATTTTGTAAACAAGTTTAGTAAAATTGGTTGTTCCTTCTGTACAGTAAATTCGTAGACATTTTATGAGATGGAGCCGCCTGCTGCTGATTTACTTTGGAGTTTTTTCATGACTGCGTTATCTAGTTATCGCAAAGACTCCGTATTGAGGCCTTTCCCAGCTGAATATCAAGATGATAGTGGCAATAAAGATTTCGATAAACTGGTATGTTCAAATGTTGGTACCGGTAGATAGATAGAGGTAGTTTATTTCGAAAACTCCATAACAAACATAATTTAAAAATGGAGAATTCTGGAGGGCAAGCAAAACCTATAAAAAAAAGTTTAACACATGATAAGTAGGCTATCTCATGTGCTTGCCCACCAGCACAGACACAAAAACACAAGCCAATTTAAATTAGGCTTGGGCCAAACTTAACAATCAAAATACATGATAGTATTAATGGAATGTAATAAATTTGCGACGATAGTCATACTCATGAAGCCATGAAAGCTTTAAGAAAGACCAAGCCATGAAAAACTGCACTCATTGCTAGATTGGGCATTGCGGAAAAGGTGATAAGTGGTTTAATATACAAAAAAACGCAAAACCATGGCAGCAAATTTGGTGTGCGGACACGTGTGCAGTATGTATGTACAGTGTATGTAAGTTAGTAGAGTCAGACAGTACGGGAAGTAGACTATATAATAAGTATATTTTTTTCCCGCAAAAAAAATCATACACAAAACACAACAATGAACAGAAGACTGGGAAAATCGGGGAAACTGTCAAAACTTTTATAAAGGATTAATACATGTAAATATACATGCGCCAGTTTATCCACATTCAACACACAAACATATTATATTCAAAATAAAAAAGACAAAGACACGAACGGGTATCGTTTGGGCATCAAACTCGTGTAACAAACACTCCCAATTAATAAATACCGGTACACTTTGATAGGATGGAATGCATGGCTTGGTATGTTAATCACAACAGTGCTTTTCCTACAAAAATATGGAATAAAAAATACTCGTCGATGTAAAATGTTGATGCTGTAGTTCAATTTCATTGCAAAAATAACACATTGACAAAAAATTGTTACTAAAAGAGACAAGCTCTATAAATAGATTGAATGTTTCATAACGGTCTATGCACAAACATGGATTGGGGTATCGGGTTTTTTTGTCGTTTTCGACCAGTTCAATTTTTCCAACATTAATATCGAATTTCCACGAACGACCACCTATCCAACAGGTGCAGTGGTCCCGTCTTTTTTGCGCTCTGTTCCATCATCCACAACTAGATTCATAAAAGGATCGAAACCTCGCAAAACACCCGTAACAGATCGTCCACCATTTAACTTTAAATTACTGCGTGCTATTTCTCTATTTGTTCTAACTTGATTCTCCATCTTACATTCTCTTTAATGATAGACTATAGAAAATTTATTAATTTTGTGTAACCATACCATATTGGAAAAAAGCGATGATAACTTTGATAAAGTGGTCTAGCGGCTAACCCACCCCATCATGCATCCGTTTTGTGGAAATTTGGGATTGGCAATCTTTACAAATTTTTTAAAACTGTGATGATATGGTGTGACAAATATTTTTTCATTTACAAGATACAAGGGATAATATTGCAGTATCCTATCTTTCTCTCAATTTTTAATTCTGATATCTATGTGGTATGTGTGTGAGTGTATATTAATAAACATTATATTTTTTGTTTAGTGAACAAGAACAACTGCTTTTTGCAACATCTCTTTATCTAAACTTGAGGCTTTGTTTTCTCTCCAGATTCTGTAATCAGTTGGCTGTGTGGCGCATCATACTAAGGGTTACAGGGTCAGGAATATGGTTGCCATCACACCTCTGATTACTCTGCATGGGCTCGCAACTTCAAATCCAATGGGGATAATTATGTGCGGGAGGATTGCCAAACTCTACCATTCAAAATTGTCACTTCTACGTGGGTTGCACATCCCTGGCTTATGGTATGTTCTTCTCTTAGATGCAGGTAGCAACATTGTGTCCACCTCTGGTTCAATTGAATGGAAATGTGGAAAATGTGAATGCAGATGTGATCAAGTTATTGAGATCAGTGTTAAACCCCCAAAAATTTACGTTGAAGATATTGGGAAATGATGCAGTAAGTTATTTGTATCTATGAAAACTATTACAAGTTTCGGTTTGTATTAATCAGCATGTATATGCATATATACTTTTACATTTAGTGTAAGATTTCAAACACTTCATAACGGAAAAAGTGCTTTCGCAAATGTTAGTGCTTTTGAACATTGATTAGATTTTCAAAGCAAAATCTTAACACTTTGGAAAATGCTCATTACTCACAAGATTCTAAAATGCTGTTTTAAATTATATTCCTTTGTCAGCGACACAACTTGCCGACAAATCAAGCAAGCATTGTGGTATTTTCTCTCCCCCATCCAGTTAAAAATCTGTCTGAATACGTCAGCTTTCTTTTCAAACTCCTGTTTACAAAATAATTGCAGATTGATTGATTACCAAATGTGAGGTACAGGAGGGTAATCACTGAATTTTCTGACATATAGCATATAGGCAGGATTTTTTGTAATACTGTTCAGGCTGGTTGCAAAAAACATCATACATGATTATATTGTTGCGCCATATCATTCATATTTAGTTATCAGGCATAGCCAACCTAGGTTATTAGAATCCACATTCAATTTTTAGTTTTCTGTGATGCCAAAATTGTTAGCATATATTCCCGACCAAAAAGATAGAAAGCCATATAACAATTTAGACTGCCAAGCACATTATTCAACTTCGCTGGTTGCCTCAGTTAGCCATAACACTAGTCAATTCATTGACATTAGTGATGTAGCAACATGTAAAAAGATTTTTCTGGGTAATTTTATGACGAAACAACATCAAATGCGTATTTTGATTACTCTCCGAATACCACCCTGGTATATATCATTGGCTTCACCAATTCCACTGTATTCAACTAACATATTTCTTGTTTTTTAGTTTCCAACTGTCTACAAGCTTCTGTCAAGATATGAAAATGGACCTTCAATGAATACCCCAAAGCCTGATTATATTTTCGAAATCTCATATTCTGCCACACAAGAGAAGAAATTTTGCAACACGCAAGGGTCTGCTTCACTATTACATGCATTCCATGGTACCAAGATTGAAAATTTCTACTCTATATTGAATAATGGGCTTAAAAATAATTTAAACAAGGTTAGTTATTTTATTTGTTTTATTTAAAGTGATACCACCAAACCGGAGCACAGTATTTCGATAGAGCAAAAAAATGTAATCTTAGTCACTTTATTCAGTTAAATAAGTAGTGTGACTGAGTTATTTATATTTGTTGAATAGTGAGATGTCGACATCACGGATTAATCTAATTACCCCACTAGGCTGATTTCCATTGCATGTTCGCGAATTTGTGCGAACCTTTGAATCCCACCCCTGGTTATGTGTTACACTCTGCAATGTAAAGAAGTCTAGCAATGAGATCGCACAGTTGAACCTTCCCGTCCGAGTGCAAAATAATCATTATTGCGATGACAAGTATGTTAAAAGCTCTCATCAGTATGCAACCTGTAGCAAATGTACCATATGCTTTTTTCTCTAAATTTGTTTACAGGTCGGTCTTTATGGCGAGGGTATCTATCTATCTAGTGACTTGAGTATTGCATTGAACTACAGTCCAACTGGTCAAGGATGGGATAACAGCATGTTCGGAACTTCTATTTCATGTGTCGCTTTGTGTGAAATGATTGATCATCCAGATGTGAAATGTACACTTAAATATCAAAGAGATTCTCATGATTCAGCAATACAAAAAGAAGTTCCATTGTATGGTAACGTAAGACAAGACAGTGAAACTTGCTTCTCTTCCACAAGTTATGAACCCTTGAAACAATCCGAAAATGCAGTAAACAGGTCAAAAATTAAAGGAAGTGAGGGAGGAGAAATTCCTGAAAAATATTTTGTGGTAAGAAATGATGATTTGGTGCGTGTAAAGTATTTATTGCTATATTGTGCGACAAGTAATCCATCAAAAACGGAAGCTGACAGCTCATTGATAATGAACTTTATAGGGAGGCATCAGTTTCTTCTCTCAATGCTTTGTTATGTGATATTACTATTGCTAGCAAGTTTGTGCAATTCCAAAAGATTTTATGAATGGCTTAATTCCTTCTTGTGACCAGGAGTCAGGTTATTTACCAGCCATTTACAATCATTCATTTGTTCATATTTTTCCTATAATTATTTACTGTTACAAGATTATATTGTCTATTTATGATCATGTGCAAATATTTCGGTGTTGTCTGCTTGAGTGAATAGCCTGACCGAATTATGATACCCCAGCTATAAATTGATAGGTAAAGGAAATTGCAGGCTACAGAGAGTTTCATCCGCGTGGTCAATGTTTTGTAGGGATGCTAAACAAGATTTCTTTGGATCTCTTTATTCTGAATATCGTTTCCATTGTTCGATCGTTCAGGTGTTCACAATCTTTACAATTCGTCCCGCCAGGCGCCAGCTAGCGCAAATTTCGAGCAAATGTTTTCTCAAACGTCTGTAACACTTGATTCAATCAGGTCTTGTTAACCTTCAAGAAGTTTTATTGTGATAGAAGGGCACATACTCTAGTAACCCTGCCCGCACCCACGCGTTATAGGGACGTTTTGGACCTCACAGACTCTAGTGCGGAGGTTTGTTTACGAGGTGTGGCTAAAAAGAAACGAGACTGACGTCACAGATTGCGCAACACGATTAACCATTGGTAATCAACACTTTTACAGTGTGGTGTAATATGTGTTCTTTGTTCAACAGCTTTTTTGACACAATATCGCAATTATTTTTGCTCTTTAGGAGTCGTAGGTGAATGTGATTAATTGCTTGTTGAAAAAAAAATTGCCGTGCGAGATCTGATTGAGTTTTTTGGCGATAGGGGGTTCAATTGCAGAATGACGATTGGGCAAAGAGTTAACATTAAATTTTGTGTCAAACTTGGAAAAATGCATGTCAACTGGGCAACATTTAATCGTTGAGCTTTCTGCTCCTCAGTCAACAGCCTTGGCACCATTTTGGCACTCACCTTTCACAAGCCAAAAGTGTCAACCAAACTGGTGCGAACCGTTTTTTTTTGTCTTTTCCAACTTCGCAATGACGCGAATTGTTGAGCGACGGTCGCTGCGAATCAACTGCCTTTCACAACTGAACTCACAACTGATACCTTTTCGATGTTGGTATCAGTTGTGGAAGTGCAAGGCCTTCCTGACTTCGAATCATCCTCCACATCCTCCCTGCATCCCACAAATCGCTTGTGCCATTCAAAAACTCTTGTTCTGGACATGGAAGAATCTCCATAAACATCACACAATTTCTTCACAAAGTCGCAGTCGCCGTTTTTCCAAGTTTGACACAAAATTTAATGTTAATTCATTGCTCAATCGTCATTCTGCAATTGAACCCCCTATCGCCAAAAAACTCAATCAGATCTCGCACGGCAATTTTTTTTTCAACAAGCAATTAATCACATTCACCTATGGCTCCTAAAGAGCAAAAATAATTGCGATATTGTGTCAAAAAAGCTGTTGAACAAAGAACACATATTACACCACACTGTAAAAGTGTTGATTACCAATGGTTAATCGTGTTGCGCAATCTGTGACGTCAGTCTCGTTTCTTTTTAGCCACACCTCGTATCAGCAATGCGATCGCCGTGATTGTATATTTCCCTAATGAAATAGGAGTGTTTCGTTATTATGAAAGGGGAAGAGAACTTGAAAATTCCAAATGCAAACAACACAATCCGCCGCAGCAATTGTTTCTGAAATGGAACTTGTGGTATATTTTATGTCTGTGGGAGGTGTTTTTCGAGGAAATTGCTTTTATATAGGATATACATGTTATAAATCAATCTTGTTTGCGTTGGAAAGTTGAAGATTTCCTTCACTTGCATCAGTTATAATAATGACGAAAAAGTAGTAATAATTATTTCCGCGCTCGTCCATAACAATCGTGAGCCACCCGTGCAGGGGGAAACGACAGTATTCATGGAAATAGATAACGCGTAAGATTTTAACGTAAACAAAATAAATAAATTGACAAGTCAATATGAAAATAAACCTTATCTAATTGGACGAGCCCTCCGATGAGATCGAATTAATGCAAGTGGCGCGTGATCGGGCAGATGTATAATTTTATTTTAAAATGTAACCGGCGGCATTCATATATGTCACGTATCACACATTATTACACACCGTCGAATGATGAACCTGGAAGGTTATCTCGATGGTCTCAGGCCCGCGGCCGTTCTTGTCGCTAGTGTGGCGCATCGTGCTCGGTGTCAGGAATACGCTCCCGCCTCTGACTACGTGGTTTGGCAAGTTCGAGTCCCGTTGGGGATAATTATGGGCGAGAGGATTGCTGGAGCCGTCCTATCGTTTTTCTCTCCCTCTGGATAAATATGTAAATCCTATCCTATTTGGAGTTACGTATGGTCGGTGCCCTATGCTGATTTTTCATATCGTTTTCAACGGGGTACCGAATAAATTTAAAATGCGCAAGACATCTGCGCAAAAAATGCCCTTGGTCGTTAGCAACAGGTTTAATAATACTGACTCGCTTGGCTCAAGTTCATTGATTACCACAAGCCTTGTACGTTTGCGGCCACGCGACACGCAACTTGTGGGGCTAAAACAATACCCCCGTAGGCTGGTTAAATACAAACGATGGGAAAATCGATGGCTGATGAGATTTTTGAAGCGACATTGATTTAACACAAGATGGAATTCTCAAATCTTGGTGCCAACTGGACTCGTACCTAGCCATTTCATTGTAAAGTTGCACAATTGAATTGGTCCAAATAACAGATAACGAAATACACACTTAAACCTCGATGCAAGTTATACAGTTGAAATCCAAATCAGTAATGCACACACGAAACATCAAAAACACTATTATTCCCAACTCTCGTACGGAGGCCGGAAACACGTCACCAATCTTCTCGGCACATAGAGCCCGCTACATAAAGGTACAAATCATCATATAGAAACAGGACAAAATGACCTATTTTCATTGAGTTCAACAGTATAATAATACAAAGGGGTTAAAGTCAATTTTTTCCGTGACAAGAATACTAACATGAACAAGGTCAACAACATAATAACAAAACGATCTATCCATATATACATTTCGTGTCCAATTACCGTTGGTGGCAGGGGATCAGTGAATATCTTGATTTTGAACAACACGGATCAACACTTGACCTCACGGAATTCGCACCCGCGCAAAAAGTAATCAGCGTGTTGTCGGAGAGTTTTGTTATGATTTGAGCAAGGCAGCAAATCGTCCTGCCATGACAACAATTATTGCGTCCGACGGAAAATGTATGGTACCGAGTATCAAATTGTTTTTAGAAGTTCTACCGTTTTAAAAGTCTGTTTTGAGGAATTTTGATACAGGCCTAAATAATTCATGGAATGTTCCCATTCACAACAATCAATCAATTATTCCGACATATTAGTAAATTGTAAAAATGACATATTAGTAAGTGCATACATGCTTTCATCAACGCAGGTTATAAACTTCAACACCGCAAAACCCTCTATCTCTACATGAACGTTTAATCAAATTAACGGAAACGAGTGACAAATTGATCCAAATGGCCGAGGAGAGCGATATAATAAACACATTGTAAACAAATGCACTGCACCGAGCAATGCGAGCATGCGATTCTAAACGTGGGATTGTGGTCATCATCATTCTTGAACGTGTTCATGACTACTTTGATTGCTCAAGTATATTTAGTGTCGTTATACAGTACATATATATATATATATTGAAGAGATATCCAGAGCACATGGAATCCTGTTGAACGCTTTTAGTGGCCGTTTTCTACCCAAGACTTGGTTTTGGAATTGTGAAATGTCATTTATAAATTACCGGGATGTGAGTTGGAGGGAGAGCATAGTGAATGTCCCGTTTGGTTTCGTAGTGTCACGATCAAGTCAGCGTATAAAGCCGCCTCGCCCCCGCCCGCTAGAGCAACAATGATCTTTGTCTTCATATAAAATCAATACCACGTATAGACCGCTATTTCGGACTCGGTGTTGAAGTAATGAAACGGCATGGATTTTAAACTTTTTTTGTATCATCAACATTTCTTGATCGCTGTTTGCCTGAGCGGCGCAGCACAGGACTGTGAGGAGAGCTAGACGTAAAGGTTTGTATTAAAATACGAAGTTTCAACTCGGGCATACCTACATTTCTAGAATAACTTTTTTATACACAGTTGAGTTCAGGACATTTCTTATTTTCATATTAATAATTCTTTCTAGGGAAATGAAATAAAAAACCGATCTTAAATGATTCGCATATCACTTACTTCTGCTGAATAAGGGTAATTTTGCTTTCTAGTTGACTAACGTACCACAAGCTGTTTGCCAAAACCGAATTGATTTTCTTATTGGTGCAATAGTCATTATGACCAGTGAATCCCTTACATCCCTTACCCTGTAGTGGGCGAACCCCCCCCCCCCCCCCCCCCCCCCCCCCTAAAATTTCAAACACCCCATAATTTGAATCGACAATACGTTTATTTCGTCGTGCTAAAATTATCAACACAAATTCAAAAACAGTTATGCATTACAGTAATGGATAATGAATATCCAGAAAGTGGCGTATATATATATAAACCAGGGCAGATGGTCAGTCAAATACATACCACATTTTTATAAGTTATAAATAGTTTTATATCTAATAGAAAATATCTACCATCCTCTAAGTTCGGAAACACCCGAGATATCTATCCTTGTTTATAATAAGTCCGTTGTTAGATCATACATTGTAAAGACGTGTGACATGATGCTCGTGTAAGCTACTAAAAATTCGTAACTACCTTTTAATATCCCAGTGGCGCTAAATTGATGACCACAATCCAACGTTCAGAATCGCATGCTCGGTGCAGTGCATTTGTGTACAATGTGTTTGTTTATTTTATCGCTCTCCTCGGCCATTTGGATCAATTTGTTACTCGTTTCCGTTAATTTGATTAAACGTTCATGTAGAGATAGAAGGTTTTGCGGTGTTGAAGTTTATAACGTGCTTTGATGAAAGCATGTATGCACTAATATGTCAATTTTGCACGACGTGTGTAAAATATTGTCGTATTTCATGTTAGAGGGGTCGGAATAATTGATTGATTGTTGTGAATGGGAACATTCCATGAATTAATTGAACCTGTATCAAAATTCCTCAAAACAGACTTTTAAAACTGAAGAACTTCTAAAAATAATTTGATACTCGGTACCATACATTTTCCGTCGGACGCAATGATTGTTGTCATGACAGGACGATTTGCTGCCTTGCTCAAATCATAACAAAACGCTCCGACAACACGCTGATTACTTTTTGCGCGGGTGCGAATTCCGTGCGGATCAAAATCAAGACATTCACTGACCCCCTGCCACCAACGGTAATTGGACACGAAATGTATATATGGATGGATCGTTTTATTATTATGTTGTTGACCTTGTTCATGTTAGTATCATTGTTACGGAAAAAATCTCTTTTCGTTTTCACTGACCCGTTGCTGCCAACGGCAATTGGACACGAAATGTATACAATATACATGGATTGTTTTGTTATTCGCCTATTTTTTGTGTGTTTATTTCTGGCCCAAGCCTTGTTTAACAAGCTTTTTTTGTGAATCCGTGTTTTAAACTTTTTTAAAGGTTTTGTCCGCTCGCCAGAATTCTCTATTTTGAATTTGTTTGTATTGTCAGATTGTGGAGTTTTTTAAAATATTCTATTTCAAATAATCTATTATGTTGTTCTTTTGTTCCTTTCCTAGTATTTTTTTTTTATGAAAACAAATCGCTTTTCTCATTAACTACTCGGCCAATTGATTTCAAATTTTCAGTGGTTAAAGATTGTATTTTTCTTTAGAAAGCTATTTCATTTTTTATTTTAATAATTCCTGTGGGCTCTATGCGATTCATTTTTTCAATGACGTCATCAAAATTAAAAATTGCGCATCTTGTGGCCGTAGTCTATTGTGACAGATTGCATACCCATACTACCTCGTTTTGGCTTTCGTGGCTTTATTGTTTTAAAATAATTTGAGGCTAACTAGTTATACCATTGTTGCCAAGTACGTTTAGAATCCTAATATGATATACCATAACTCTCTTACCGTGTCATCATTGACAACACTTTTTAAAGCGGCTTCTAAAACGCTACAGTAGCAATAGAAAGTGCAACGAAATTCGGAACAATATTCTATACCCTCATTTCATTGAAATAGTGTTATATTATGCAACATCACGCATTGACACTTCTGACATATGTTTTATATACCGTTGTTATTCCTGATCAATACATGAAGTGTCGCTACGCTACTGTATATATATCACGTGACATGAATGTGCAAAGTGCTGACAAATAGGCAGCTTTGTTTTATGAAGACCATAGCGCATATTGAATAGATTGGTGCAGTTATAGGTGTAATGCTGGCGTATTCGTCATTTTAAGTCATGTTTATCAGACGTTGATACATTTCGCTGGAAATGCTTCAATCCTTTTTCATTGTTGAGTTTTTCTGTGATCAACCCAATTTGATCATTTTATCAATATGTGTAGCAAAATATGTATTTGAAGATTGTCTATTGCCTTTATGAAAATCATTGGAATATTTTTTTTATTTAAATATACCTTTGGTGGGGGGTGTTTAGTTTATCAACAGATTTTGAAATTAGATATTAAATGTAATTTTCGTACGTTGGAGGGCTAAGTGAAGCATACAGTCTCAAAGCGACGTATTACGAAGCCAGATAACAGATGGAAAGCGGGCAGCTTTGTATCAAATCTGGATTTTAGAATTTACTACTCTGCAGAAGAATATTTGGATATGAGAAATACCTGTCGCTTTGCTCATCTATAACGCGTTGATGATATATGAAACTGTTTGTATTGATAAAAACTTTCCTCGTGCTGTATTTGTTAAACTCTCACATTCACCTAATAACTTGTACCCCAGCCCAACAGGATACATGGAAAATGATCGGAAAATACAAATTAACTATATCTTTTTGTGCCTTGTGTTTCTACCTGATGCTATTTTACTGTGGTAACAACTCATCACCACACTGGGATAGGAACGTCTCTATTGAAAACAAAAGAATCAATCCTGAATCAACTTTTGAAGTAAATGAGAATGTATTTTACAATAGACTCGAAAAATGCGGCAGCAGATCTCTTCTGAGTGTTGCTAGAAGACTTGCTCTTCGAAACAATTTCACATTTTCGGCTTCGTCAGATTACCGACATAAACGACCCAGACGGCCCCGAGTACTAGAAGAAATTCAAAAAATCTCAAATTTTACGCATCCGACGTTTTACAATCGACATATTCATTACATCAACTTTGGAAAATTTGGTTATTCAAAGCCAATATACGTCAATCTCATCAGAGATCCCATCGAACGTTTTATATCTCATTATAATTATATGAAATATGGAGAAAAAGCTCGGGATGTTAAAACAAATCCGAGTAAGATTTGGGAACTTGACATAAATGTGTGCGTAACAAAAAATATCGGAGTGTGCGGTAACATCAACCTATTATTTTACACTGGATTATATTTCTGTGGTTTGGATGAGATATGTCTCAAGCCTTCACGCGCAAGTGTCGAATTGGCAAAGATGCATATTGATAAAGATTATGCAGTTATTGGAATAACAGAAGAATTCGAAAATACTCTCAAACTTTTTGAAAAAGTTCTACCGAACTATTTTTCTGGAGCTCTAGAAGTTTGGAAAGACCATTCAGAAACCAAAATGAACACCGCATCTTATAGATTCGATGTTCTGTCACAAAAATCGAAATATAAACTAAGATATCACGACATGGCCGCTGAATATGAAGTTTATAATCACGCAAAACGTAAATTTGAATATCAGAAAAAACAGTACGATATATCAAACTAGCTCGTCTTTACAGCACGGAATAAAGATTCGCCAAGCTTCTTGCTTATTGGTTACTACAACCAACTCCTTTTTTCGAATATCAATCGGTAACCTGTTATACGCATTGTTCCTTGAAGCTTCAAAATCTCTACATACATCTTAGCTCTTATATAATATGACTTTACTTTGTGTTCTTCAAGTCTATTGTTTTTCTTTTGTAAGTATGTATTTATTTCTAGGCAGTTTCATATTATTCTATATTTCTCCCTATTTACGACTGTAATTCGCTGACTGGATTACTCGTCGAATCATTCGTGCTCATCTTCAACTTCTGTGAGTCATTGCTCGTTTTTGTAATTTTGTTTATATTTTTTTAATCTCTTTATTTCCCATAACGCATGTTTATAATTGCACAATAAAAATAGAGAAAAACGACTTCTGTAGCCAACAGCTAGCAGCTAGGCAAGCCATTTTAGGTTTAAAATGGGCTGATCATATTATGCAGCATTGTTTTGTTGCAACTGTATTTATTCAGTCATACATGTACATGAATCTACATGCAGCGTTTGTGCAGTCAAAATGCGTTTGCTTACTTGCGCACTACCTGCACCTGCGCCTGTATATATGCAACGATTCGCATTATTAGACTTTTTATATATAGTACATGCTCTTTTATTATAATTTAAATGAGGCATAAAGAGGAATTCACGAATTATGTTTATCGATCACCAGGCTTGTCCACGGGGCATATTTATCGGTCCCATTCCCATCCCATAGCAATTATGCCTGTCCCATCCCATGAGATTCCCATTGGAATACAATTCAATAAAAAATGTTAAATTTAGGTTTAGCGTCTAACTAGGACTACATGTACGAAGAGACATGCAAAACAACAAAATTTACGGACTTTGTTAACTTTATATTCATAACTATTATACATGTGTATATTAGCAAGTATATTGTTATTACTCAATATGTTTTGCTCTTTTTACCTAACTAGAGGGCTATGCTCAAACATATGGACACGAAGTCCATAACGAAATGTTTTACCATTATTTCCCTGAAAATCATACGGTTTTCGTGTCCCATGGGAAATACAAATGTGTGCCGTCCCATCCATTCCCATGGACAAGCCTGTCGATCACCGCAATCGAAAGTAAGAACAGACAGGGTTATCACACATGATTGTTACAAAAAGTCAGTGGCGTAACTGTTCTAATTCTTACGTTTTGGAATGATCGATACAAAGTCGCCCTAAGCTAGGCCTGCTTAAACTAGATCGACTGCTATAGTTCGCCTGGGGCGAAATCACGAACATCGTACCCTCGTCGATCGTCGATGCATGGTTTTAATAGAATGACGCTTTGCAGCATAAGCTGATTTTTATAGCAGTCACACGTGTAAAATTAGTGAAGCAGAAGTTTAGGTATCCTTGACTTTATATAGTGCAGGCAAAAGCATAGTTATGTATATAGTGTGTAACTTGATATGTGTAACGACATCGACTGTGTTCAACTCCTTCCAAGTCGACGAAAGCAAACCCTACCTTAGAACTTAGAGTGAGGTGAGTCAGAAACGCGCAATGCTTTGCCTATGAGTTTATATTACAAATAAATATTTTTGTTTGTGTTCGCAAAACGAAGACATTTATGTATAATAAAATATTAACTATCTGCGTAACACAAACAAATCATGAGAATTCACCGAACTATGGGAATATTTCAGGAGTTGGCACTGAACAAGGAGTCGTATAATGGATTTATAGCCTAACTTTGGCTATGGCTCTGTTAGGTTTTATTCCAGATAGCGTGTCATTATATTTGACTGATAAAACAGGATTACTCGGTGTTCCAGAGAATGTTAATAAACGGAACTAATGATCGTTGATATAGCAAAGCTGTTGTGATATAATGGTGTCATTTTGTATCGTTAAAAGGTACTTTATAATTCATAAAATATGTTCAAATCTATCGTTGGCCGAATATATTTAAAATAACATCAAAGTTTATACATTGATTACCTTTCCATTTCATTTTTGAATATTATAGTTATTTTTATATGACAGAAATCTAGATAATATGAGGGTACTTTATCGGTACATAGCCATTATTATATTTTTCGCCATATCAGTCATATATTATTTTCAACAACATCAAAATAGGAACAGTGAGCGTTCGAAAAATAAAACATTAAATGAAGTCGACTTGTATGGACATCCTATTCAATTTAAGCCCGGGAAATCACGATCGAGGGTGATATTTTACAACCGAATTGGGAAATGCGGAAGTCGCTCAATATTAAATCTCGCAAGAAGACTTTCTGATAAATATAAATATACCTTCTTGGAATCGCCTGATTTCGAACATGATCATCCTGCTCATGACGAAATGATGGAAGAACTGGAAAAAATTTCAAAACTCCAGCCTCCTATTTTTTACAATCGACATATTCATTTTTTAGACTTCGAGAAATATCACCACTTGCAGCCCATTTACATCAACGTTATTCGAGATCCAATTGACAGATTTGTTTCACACTATAATTATATTAAATACGGGGACGGTGAAGCAATGGTTAAAAACCCAAGAGATGACTTACCACACATCAACGATTGTGTCTTGAAAAAAATTGATTTATGCAACACAAATTTTTTGTATTATGTGGGACAGTACTTCTGCGGCTTTGATGAAATATGCAATCACCCATCACAAGAGAGCGCTGACCTCGCAAAACGTCATATTAATCAGAACTATGTTCTTATTGGTTTACTCGAGGACTTTGAAAATACCTTGCTTCTTCTGCAAAGATTGCTTCCAGAGTATTTTTTAGATGCAGTAAGTCAATGGAAAAAAAATAGCAGAACGTCAACAATAACGAAGACAAAGAAGCATGAAGTTTTAAGCGATGAAGCAATAAAAATATTGAAATCCAAGTACATGAAATATGAATATGAAGTTTATAATTATGCCAAAAAGAAATTTGAAGAATTGAAAGTTAAATATGGAATTTACGACAAAGAGAAAACATGATTATACGTATATTATTTTCAAAAACTTATTTCAACGTGTTTCATTTTACGAAATGCGTAATTATTTTATATATATATTATAGATTTATTTCTGATGCCATTTCACTCGCCATACTGCCATGAAGTGATGATATACGATCAAGGGTCAACTGATCCCAGCCCAACTTGATAAAGACTTCAAGATGATTTAAAATCCAGTAGCATTTGCAGCAAATAGCAATACGATAACTTCGTGGAAACTGTTACTTATTTTCACTAAAGTTTTGCTAATTATTTACAATTATTATATTACATCACATGTGGGTTAAAGGAGAATACATGTAAATTGCAGCAGAGACAATATCTATGTAAAAAAACTCGGGTTTGAATATTGTTTGGTAAAGTTTCTTTAGTAAAGTTCTTCAGTGCTTTTGTTTAACTCAGGATTAGACGCCACTGGATTGTCGTACACGTAGTCTGAGATATTTCCTCTCTGAGATTCTCTGATAGTTCTTCTGGCTTCTCTTGTCAATTTACCGTATTTGCTTTGAAAGAAACCAGCCTGCATATTTAAAGTTATGTATGTTTAAATCTGCAATCACGTTTGATCATTGTCAGTAAATTAAAAATATAAATAAAATAGATATGTGATAGCAGTTATCTCGGTAAAAATCTCGATGTTTTCGCGTTGCATATTAACTTAGATAAACGAGTGCCACAAAAATACACACGAGAAATGAAAGCAGCATAATATAATAAAATTTCTTATTTCTGTGTAGTTGTAAAGGACTGTTCGGAAAACGTGGATATATAAATCCTTTTGATAAATTCAAGTAGTTGTTCGATAATATTTACTTTTACTGTACTGTAATATTTTATAAGTTGCAGTTGGAAATCTTAGAAGAACAATATTTTTATATTTTCCCATAGTATTTTTAGACTTCTCAACATCCTTAGTTTTATTGCAATTTTTGCTGATCTTAAATAAAGTCGCTGCCTAGTGGATGTCATAGGTGTTCGAATTCTGCGAGCACAGGCACAACACATGTCTACCTGATAATTATCTACTGATTAACAGTGCATTTCCCTCTTTTTTGAAGTCAAATTAAATGCAAAAAGGCAAATCTCACATACTTTCCACATAACCAGGACTGAAAAGATCAACAAAATGATTCCGCCGATAATACCACCGATAATCGCCCCAACGTTTACAGCATTCGAAGGTGGAGCAGGAGGAGGGTTGGATGGATCGTACGACATCATTGTTGTCGCCAGCTAAAGTAAACAGGAAATTATGTAACATATTTCTGAAAAATATTGCTACCGTAATATAATATTATCTTACCGTTTCTTGTGTATTCGATGTCTGAAGAGTAGAAGTTGCCGGAATGAGGTTGAAAGAACTATAAACGTCAACTTTGGTAAATTCCTGATAAATTTTTCATCCATTATATAGTAGTTGTTAAAATGTTTTATATACTGATGGAAAGGTTGATAAGATAACAGTTAGTATTATATTTGAATTTTTTCATGAATGATCCTACTCCATTTACAATTGGTTTATAACCTTGTGTTATTTAGAAAAGCTCTGAAATTGAAGCATAAAGAAGTAATCTACGAATATACATGGTACCCTGAGCCTCCTTACTTTTCCAAAAGTCGGAGTCCATGGTTTGAAGTAGGCTGTTACGCTAATTTGTTTGAACACATCGACTTTGCTCAGTTCACAGATTACTTCATTACAAATGCTGTTGTCACAGTTCTGAAGATAAAAGTTATTTTTTTGTTGCAAACACTTACGATTGAAAAAAGTATCAACGGCTCTATGAATAATACAGAAGCTTATATTTAATTAAACCCCGAAGTACTTGATGTCAAATATTAGTATTCTGTATTGTATTGTAAGTATTCTTATTTGGTATTGTGAGTATATTTAATTAATATTCCCATTGACTTGTCAAGAGGAAGATGAGAACTTTGTGAAGTCAATTTTAAGTCATTTTAAAAAAGGGTTATGGTTCTAGAATTTTAAGTAATTGTAAGATAAAATTGTCGAATATATAAGCAAGTTTACTACGCTCTTTGATGAAACAAGCGCTTCTGATGCACTCGGGTATTCCAAAGTCACTTCTTGAAAGTATGGTCGAAGGGAATCGAGATTTGGTGAAATTCTGTATTTATTTGCTTTTCCTTCCTTTTCACAAACACAAACATCTTCCGGCTGTCAAAAACGGTGAAACTGTTCCTAAGAGTTATTAGCTTCAGCACTACTAACGAGCAATTAGATGAAATCTAATATTTCACATCGGTCGTTTTATATTTTGCATATAAAGTTTTAATGAATGTGTAAAAATTCGTAATCCAGAAAATAAGTCCTCAAAAGTGTGTTGAATTCAAGCAATAACGGCGAATTATTCAAAAATTTCATAACGCTTTTAAGACAGAATCAATCAACTTAAATTCAAATATTAATGAATCTTATTATAACTGTGCTTCACTTAGAATAAAACAAATAGTCTGTGTAATAATAGTTTTGAATGGTTTATGCAATACAACTTTGTAAGGTGGTGTTGTACACTAGAGATTTCACGATATAAGGTATAGCGTAGCAAATAGCTTTAGCAAACTTATCATACCTGACAATTGACGTCCACTAAGTAGAGTAAGTTATACTTTTCTTGTGTCATCTCAGGCCATCTTAGTTTGACTCTAGCATTGGCTAGGCCTAATGGACCGTTGTTGTATATCTTGAAAATATAAACTGTAGTCAGTCTTGACTCTTGACCATGCAATTATTGAATTCTTCCAGCCGAGCAGAATGGTTGTTTTTGTTTGAATGTTGCTGTGAAATCAGCTTTGCACAAATAGCGATTCAAGTGTGGATAAGAGCAAACAGATACAGATGAAGTGTAATATTCAGAAAAATTTTAAATTCAAAACTAAGCTTTTTACCGAATACTTGTGGTGAAAATTACTTCCTGATCCACCAAGAACCTCATCCTCCAATGTCTTTAATGTTGTAATACTCTGATCATCAGGTGGGTGGAAAAACACGGTTTCTGGATTCGAGACTCTGTAAACGGCATCATTGTTAAGCCACCGACTCACCATCCAAGCTCTATAGCTTAAAACCTCTGTATTGTATTCGAATATTAATTCAAACTAATTCTCTGCTCATATAAAACTTATTGGACACGAAATGAGCCTATGGATCGTTTTGTTATTATGTCATTGTTGTGAAAAAGTCGCTCTTCTCTTTAACTACTCGACAAATTGCCTTAATATTTTTAGTGATGAAAGCTTGTTGTTGTCGCTGGAAGGCTATTACTTTTATTTATTTTAAAAATATCTGTGAGCTCTATGGGATTCGTTTATCACTTGGAAGTTTTGTTTGATGACGTCATGAAAATTGAAAATTGCGTGCCGTGGTTCCGTGATCGCATCTGAGTGATATGGTGGTCAGAATAGGGTACTGTAATACTGTACTAATGATTTGATATTACTTCGTATTTTGGTCTTCGTGTCCATGTATTTGAGCATTGCTCTCTTGTGTTCCATATTCATCATTAATTGTCGCATTGTCGCCAGTAGATTACCGTTGAAAATTTAAAATGAAAAGTTGCTGCAAAGTTACTTACTAAGATGACGTCGCGTAAAAACATTATTACAACTTATTATTCATTTTATTAACTCACTTGTTCAGCTGAACATTCGACTTGTATCGTAGTGCTCTTGAATATGAGACCTCATTATTGGAAGGATTGCTGTCAAAAGCTGTATTTTCTCCACCGGCACTGTCACAATATGAATTAGTTTAGAAATTGATTTTACCTTCATTGCTAGTTATAACTATATCCAATGTATGTGAAATTATGTTAAATGAGGCTTTTAATAAAACTAATACTTTTCTTCGCTTTTATTTATATTTAGGGGTTGAGCAGCAGAAGTTTCATTTCTTGCATTCTGTTTGTTTACGATTACTCCATTTCACACGCTCATAAAATCTCGTGATGTTATAACAAGTTTTCTCCGGGAAATTCTAAATGAGGTTAATGAGGTAAACGTTAGAAAATCACCCGCGTTATTTTACTCTAATAGCAAACATCAAAATTAGCCGATTGGCATCAACAAATGGGTTACGGACTTTGATAAACTAGTTAATATTAAATTGAGTATTAAACGTGTTAATCTTACTTCGAGTAGACTTTTACTTTGATTCTTAGTTCTGATTCACTTGCAGTCGATTGAAGTTTTGAAAAGTCAAAATAGATTGTGAAATCACACTAAACGGGAATATATTTGTAAACTGCATATACTATATATATATATATAGTGAAAAATGGTCAATCTAGTTCCATCGGCGAAATATCGAATGTCTCTTTGGGGCAAATGGATCGCATTGGATTGGTAAATTATTTATTTTTTTATTTTTTTTGATATAAAACTGACATCACTATTCAATCACTATACCAAGTGATTTGGTATTTTGCTATTTTTATTGATTGATTCAAATTTTTTTTTGAGAATCGAACATCCCAAAAATTGCTTCAAGTTTACGCATATTATAAGTCGTATACAAGTGAGAAAATAAAGGAACATCTTACGGAATCTCCCGAGAGCATCATATCTTTAAATACCGATACAGTAGATTGGTATTTTATGACTGCAGATCCAGCATACGGATCACTCTCTTCCTCTGACGAAGAAACGCAAGATCCAGTCACCTAAGAAATACAAAAATAACTAAATAAAAGATATCCTTCTAGCGACAACAACAAGCTTTAACCACTGCAAATTTGGGAGCAATTGGTTCAGTAGTTGATCAGAAAAGAACAAAATTGAACAACAATATAATAACAGAACGATCCATATTCTTTGTAGTTTGGAACACATTCCGAATATCTGTATTCCCGGTCAACATATAATCAGACTTTGGAACCATGTGAGTAAAACTTACTAGAAGAAGGTATAACAATGAAAGACAATGAAACTACCATTTTTATTCTACGATTGATAATGCGATTTAAGATCGTATTGAAGTTGTTGATACACCAGAGCTCAACGTTTAATCATGTGAACACAAATTGATAAGTTCGAGTGAAGCATTAATTAAATCAAACAGCTTAAATAAAATGCTAATTTCTGAAAGGTAATTGTGTATAATGGTAGGAAAATGTGTAGAGGTATGTTCGAGCACATAGCATGTGGTTTCCCATTTTGTATAAAGTATATATACGGAGAATAGGGTGGCAGTTATTACCTGATGCACAGTCAAGTACCCTGATGAAATGTTGACTTTCAGAAAATACGCATGATCCTCGCCATTGTTTTTGATCGTACAGTTAACATGCATTACTTTACTTTCACCAGAAAGAATTATTGGATCCGCTGATGTCTTTTCGCTATATTATAAAATAAATTCTGCCATGTTTCCACCATTTTTCGATGCAGTACTATTCTGAAATCTGAGAATCAGTGCCGGATTTACCATAAGGCAAGTTAGGCTGAAGCCTAGCGGCATCGTCATGCAGTTTCGAACTATCATGTTTTTAAAAAAATTCAACATATATACTATCCAATCCACTTGGGTGGTTAAATTTTGTATTTACGTAATATAAAGTGTATTTATTACATCATAATAGATTCAACAAACAACACCGGAAATTCTATTAAGACTGCATAATGGTTTAATGAAGTTTTATGGCGTCATGCCATGGCATAGCTTAGCGATCCCTTATCGTCAACATCCGACCCTGCTGAGTATGCAAATACTATTTTCACCAAACTATCAACTTGCCAAACGATATCGTGTTAGTCAATATTGTATTATTTAAAACAATAAAGTCGTGTTAGAAATGCCTCGGATTTGTTAATAATCGTGTACTTACTATACCGGCTTATCCTACTATGAATACAAATAACAAACGTACGAGAAAGTGGCTGTTAAATCTAAGTCATGTTCACATCGACCGTTCAATCCGCTACATCCTTTTACGAAACTCCAGTCTGCTGTTTTAGAAGTTTGATCAAGTGATCCTAATACTCCCGACATTATTTGGTTCTGCTGGATTTGCGATAAATCAACTTGTAGTCGAACTTGAGGAGTAACTTCTAATCCTCCCCCATTTACTTTTCCGAGATTATCAGGCTGAATAGCAATAGTTTTTTTGTTTCAAAATTATCTTCAATTAGGTAGTGGATTAGTAGTGGATTCGTGCAGTATTTTTATAAAATTATTTAGAGGTAATTTCTGAAAAAGGTAGGGAAATTTGAAACGGCGCTAAGATGAGTTTAGGCTTGACTCTAAAAAAACCAGCAAAAATTAAAAAAAAAAAACATCGATCTTGTCCCCTGCCTTCAACCCTAAATGACCTAGTCGAGCCAAAAATCGAAAGAAATCAAAAGATATATATATAGTCAGTGCGGGCATAATCATTAGCGCATTAGTCATAAATGAATAGAATGCCTGGAAAGTATAGGATTTAGTATTTATTTAAACAAACACCGAAAATCTTTGTAAAACAAAACTAACGTTGATCTGCATAGTGTATTGTCGGCAAGTCCAAAAACTTCCAACATTTATATTATCCACGTTTATTACACTTGATTTTGACTCAACGAAATAAAACCGTTTATGAACGTTGTCCGCAACGAGAGAATCAAGAGTAACGTTCATCGCTATATCTAAAATATCATAAAGCACAAAATTGTGATTGAAATCAAAAATGTATAAACTAAAAAGTATATTAATCGTTGTATATAAAGAATTAAAATAACTGGAATATTAAATCATTTGTCTATGCTCTCTATATCATACGTATATATATATATAACTTTTCCCATACACACGCACACACCTCGTGTTTATGTTTGTCTCCACATTATGTAATGCAACCCACAGAGATGGCGGAGATTGATTAAAAACAAGTTTTGCACTCAAGTTTACGTTAGAAAAAATAAAAAGCAATGTTGGGAACAGTTTGAAAGTAGCGTCAATGAACTTCAGCACATAAGTACTGAACACAGTTTCTTATAATTCTGCTGAATAACCATCTAAAATAGCTTACTATAGACAAGAAATGACTAAAAGTGTCAACGTTGCGTCGAATAAATTTGACTCTCTGGTTTTTATTATATTTCGTTATTATAAATATATATAAAAAGAATAAAACTAATTGCAGCTATGATATAAATACCTATATACACCTACTTACCAAACAAATCTCCAAACATAGGATCTTTTTTGTATCGCGCTGATATGCAAGCTCGTACAGTGGAACAAGCTGCGTCCAAATTTCTAGCACAATTTATTATGTTGATGGTAGTTGGAAACACGGTGACAGTCAGAGATACTTCTAGAATTTTTCTTGAACGCAATAAAATGACTTTTTCACTAGATGGCGCTCCAACTGCGATATCATGATAGCCATTGTTATCAAAATCTACGGAACCGTGAATTGTCATTCCAAAACCGATGAAATATCGTCCACCAGCTTCAATCGATTTTCCCAATATTTTCTATAATCAAATATATTTGTTTTGACGACAAACGTGTCAAAGGATTTAGATATATTATGGAGTAGGTTGAATTAGGTTATTTCAATTTAAGGCCGACTTCTTAGATCTGCTTTTGAAAACTCACATTACTTATATATATATACTTGGTCTACTTGATTTTATTCAAAACTATTAATTTCTCATGGAATCTATTCTTATGGTACATCGATTTTCACTCCCCTTCATGCTAACTCATCTATTACTAAAACTTAACATATTTAATAATCGAACACATATTTACCTGCACAATACCAGGCTGTAATCCATCCTTCGATGCAAAATATATATACACTGCACCACTACCATCGTCAGACAGAGAACTTTTTTCAAAAGGCGCGCCAATGATAACGTCATCATAACCATTCTGATCAATGTCACCGGCATTAACTACGGACATTCCGAACCTGGAACCAGACACCCCACTTCCATCTAACAGTAGTGGTGAAAACCCCGGACTCGTCTGCGACGAAAGAATATTTTTGAAAAATAAATTCGAACATTGTACCGTTATGTTGGGGTAGATTGCGAATCGTATTTGGATTTTAATGTCTTTGTTGAATATAAGAATTGTCTCTTCTGTTTTTATTTGATTCAAAAAAATTCTTCAAATGTTATGCGAATAATAAAATTGGAGGTTACACTGCAATATTAAATCCACTAACCCAGTCTTGGGAAAACAGAGTCGATCTATCGTTCATATAGACAAATATAAGCCCTTCATCGTATCCAGCTTCCTTTGAATAAAGCGGAGCTGATACAATAAGATCATCATATCCGTCGGCGTTTATATCCATCGCCAATACACTGTGTCCGTAATAGCTTCCGAGTTGCCACTTTCCAGAGAGATCTGATGGACGTAAGACAGTGTATGAATTTTTGTCATCTATTTGATATATCAAAACCTGCAATATCAGGAGGAGAGCAATATAATGAAAAGTCAAGTGAAGTGCTAACCGCCTTCGGGCCATTCAAGAACAAAATTACAAAGTAATAAAATTGGTTTATTCCGTATATTTTCTGTATTATTTTCCATTTTGTCAAATATCATTCCGAGCAAAGATAATTCAAAATTCAGTACTAATTCAACACTTACCAGTCCTCGAGATAAATAACGAGGTGCCCCTGTTATTATCCATTTTTTATCATCGCCTCTGAATGTTCCAGAAGTAACCGAATACCCTAGAAAACAATACGTTTTGACCAAATTTGGTATTTTTTTGTTTCTACCACACCTTTCAATCCCAAGCCTTCTTACGTATAGCGTTCTTTTTTGAACAATCATCTAACGACAGATTAACTCGTTCACGACAGTTTTTGCATTTCACCCACGACTTACCCAAATACATATCTTTTATTGAGCTTCGTGACGTTTTGAGCATGGAAGCTAACTCTGTGTCATTCAAATGACCACTTGATGTACTACGAGGGAACAAATTAATATTTCCAAATTCCACAACTGTTCCCACTCGGTCATATGAACCAGGTGCTCCAATATAAAATCCTTGCTGTATTTTTAAACGTTCGTTTTAACACTGACAACAAGAAAAGGAAAACTTTTACAAAACAATTTCTCACCGAACCCGCTGTAATGGATGATCCAAACTGACAATTCGTTAGTTCTGTAGTTGAATTGCTCTCTGCACCTAAAACAATAACATCAGACGCTTTTTAATGTTAATACATCCTTTTTTTGTGGTATCCGAAACAAGATGAGATTTTTACCCTCAAGTCCGGTTGCAGCAGTTTCTTTTATAACTTGACTTAATTCGTCGATGATCTGAGCAAGATTGTCATAATTGGTTACAGTCATAACTCGTGTGCTATTGTCTATATCACCAGTGGCAATGATACGTAGTTCATCAGTAGATACTTCGCTACCTACACCGACTGAGATCATTACGATTCCCTCATTTCTGCAACAGCACAATGCGATAAAAATGGAAAAGCAAAACAACAATATAATGAATTGTAACTATATCAGTCGCAGTAAGTCGCAGAGGCTAAACTACATTTTCTTGCTCTATGCTTTTGCGCAAGTTGACCCGTATGCGCACCATGCAAGGATGCTGTAGCAAGAATAAAGATGACTCCATATGTGATTCAAGAGTCTTGCTGTACATTATCACAAATGTAATCCAGTAACGTTTCGACTACACAAGATCAGACTTTTTTATACAAGCGTATCCTTACAAATGTTACAATAGTTGTTGGCTAGAAGAGCTAGATTCTCACAGTTGTCGCCAATAAAAATAAATAAATTAAAAGTGTCATACCGGGCGTCAAGCGCGGCAGACTCTGTTAACTCTTGCTCGTTTGAATTCCCATCTGTGACAGTTATCATTATTTTAGAGACTTTATTTCTTGAATTTGTGAGTACATCCTTAGAAGCTTCGATTGCTTTATCTGTACGGGTACCTCCGCCATTGTATGGTACTGACAATATCTCATCTAGAAAAGTCGAATTCATTATATATATATTCATCATTATCCGTTTATATAATAATAATAAACACAATCAGCATGATTTTATCCCTTTGAGCATTATAAAATAAATAGTCATTCGCAAATGCTTCATTAATATCATCACTACATAACGGCATTTATCTGTGTCGTGTACTTTTTGTGCGTTTTTCACTTAATTATAATACCTCTGAGCTCATGAAAGCTTTTCTGTGTTGGTTCTGCAATCCTATAAGGGAGTCCGTTGAATATGACATACCCGACGTGCAGATTTTTCTGATCAATGTCGTAACTAATAAGAATATACCATGTTCAGAATAATAAATATTGATAATATAATATCATAGACCAATAAAAATAGAAGATGATCAAATACCACCTTCAAGATTGTTGTGCAGTAGGAAAAAGAAAACATGAATCATCACAGTATTTTGTATATTATATAAACAATTGAAATAGATGAATTAGCTATGAATGGATCATCGATGAGGCCTGTTATTATGATACGATTTATACATTATATCACAACAAGTAATATCATAACGACATAACATATGCTATACTTAAATGTTTGTCAATGCATCATGAATTCATTTACAAAGTTTCGTCAACTTTGCGGCTAATTAGGAGAGCAAAATATCCATGGATTAATTAAATAACCCAGAAACACATTAATATCGTGTATACCACTGAATACCGTCAAATTAGTTGAACATTATAGAAATATTCTTGAGTACTTGAAAAAAGCACCCAACAAAAATTGTGACAACTGTATACCTGAACATCTCTAAGATGGTGATGATCCAAATAAGACCTTTCCTGAAATCTGTCGAGCCCACGCTTCCCGATGCATCGACAACAAATACAAGATCGGCAACTAGTCCCTGTGGACATCCTGAACAAACAAATTTTATACAAAAGTAGCTTCATTTGTTGTATACTTTGTAGCACAGTACTTTTGTGCATAAATTGAATTTTTACTTTGAAGAAATGATTTGAGCGCCACCGGATAATATGCACACACGTATTTCTAGATATTGTGTATTTATATTCAAGACTTACTCCGTGGACACGGCGATGGTATCACTGTTTGTACTTTGTCACTGATGGAATAGGTATGGCATTGTCCAGTCATTCTCTGAATTATTTGTTGATCGGGACAAGAAAAGTAGTGCTGATTGCCGCAAATCTGAAATCGATGCGCCGTTGTTTGACAAGTGGCTACCAAAAGAACTACGCTCAAATATATGGACACGAGAACCAGTTATCATCATATATTTTATAGTATCATAGTCTGACCATGAGATCGCTGAGAATCATTCCCGGAACCACGGCACGGTGCGCAAGTCCCATAGAGACATGAATAAAAGTAACAGCCTCCTAGTGAAAAATATAATCTTCAACCACTGAAAATTTCGAAGCAATTGGTTCAGTAGTCAATGAGAAAATACCAACAACAAGACAAGAGCAACAACACCATGATAACGAAACCATCCATATGTACACTTCGTATCCAACAACATAATTATATATATATATATATTCCCATGGATATGATGAATATCATCACACACAATGTACTTTTTCCGTGTTGGGAAAAAAAATCCAACGACCAATTATCTCCTATCTTCCAATCTAGATTCTCCTCACGAAATTTAGAATCAATTATATAATGAAATTTCACACTTACCAACAGATAGTCATCTGCGCCGTGTGAAAAACTTGCCATTTCATATCCAATCTTTGCAGCAAGATCGCCTGGAATAGTAAACTATTATGAAGAATAGAATTGTCGGATGGGTTTAGTTCCTTCAACACCAATTTAAAATTAATCACACAGAGACATATATCGAATTAAATTGGATTATTGATTAAACATCTTGGACTTGGTGCGCTAGAATTTGTTTACGAAAAAAAGATAGTAATGAGAAGATAGTGATGTGATCTTGGTTGGTGATAATTTAACCGGGGATTGCACTGGAGTAACGCATATATTTTAAAGATGAAATCAGCATTTATTTATTTGTAAAAATATTTAGGATTTACACATCTCGGAATTCATTTGCATCCAACATCTGAAATGAGCTCTTTGAAAGTACTTACCGCAAATAGACAATCTTAGCACTAATTAACAATAGGAATACTCTATATTCAATACATACCAACAGCCGTAGCTGATGTGCATATCACTGTTTCATTGTTCACTGAGTTATAAGAAAAGGGACACGAAAAGACTCCTCCAGCTCCCCCGACAAATAAAACTTTTCTGGTTCTGTGATAGACATAAATAAATTTAGGGTATGAGTTCAGCAATTAAATTTATTAAATTATACACAGCATAATAAAGATGACATGAATTATAAAACAAAGTACCAAACTAAGCGCATCCGGTAGGACGAAATAAGTGAAAACAAATTACAATCGTTAAGAAGGAACCATTCTCCCTAAACCCCGGTTAAGTATAAATTACCATGACGTAGCTTCAAAAAAGAACTCAAGTAAGTTACTCACTGATCTGACTGCATACTTATGCCAAATTTTACATCAACGGTTGCGGATGGCTCAAGGATTTGGTGGATTCTTGTCTCGATATTTCCACCTTGGATCTCACGAGATGTGTATAGAAATATCATGAATATCAAGAGAAAAATTTCCATATTGTGGAAATACGTACTATAATAATGCTTTTTGTATAACTAATAGCATCTATGTTTAACATATAATAGTACTGGATGTGTAATGATAGTCCTATAGCGAATGGGTATGTATACATTCCAGGCATGCGGTGAAAGTAATATAGCTTCTATAATGGTGAATCACGGAAAACTAGTCAGTCTGCGGATGTGATGAAGCGTCCATATAACGCCAACGATTAAGAACAATAAACATACACACATCATCAAGTGTTTTGTCCTGAATTACTCACGATATCGGGTAATTTTTGAAAATACGAACAGCTTCTAGTTCTAGCCGGCACCCTTTTTATTATCATACTTCAAATGATATATAATACTTCTCCATATATCTAGGATTTTATTAATGCAAGCAACTAAAACATTGCCAAGTCTACCGATGATATTGTGAAAAAGGATATAAGTTGAATTTCTATTGATATTATTAAAGTAGCCTACTTTGAATTTCATCAATATTATTATTATCTTATTCTTGACAATCGCTTGTATTACATCTTTACTATCAAATCCAGTGGCATGTTTACGGATACTCCTTGAAGACAAGGGCTTCAAAACGTTTCCCCGAGTTTTGATCTATCTAAAGGTTAAACATGTAAAGGCCTTCTGATTCGTTGTGGTGCTCTGCGGTGTGAGATTGCGACACTATGCCTCCCTTATGTCTCACTCTAAATTTTTAAGAATTCCCGAGTTGTCTGCTACTCTGCTCTAAAGCATTGTGTTTGCGCTAAAAACTTTGCAAAATTTACATTAGAACTATACCTATACAATTATTACTTATGCCTTCTTAATGTCTGATCTGGTATTGGTTATTGTTGATCTGAAAGAGATATTTCAAAAAGATTTGTTCGGGTCTGAGATTTTGATGGTTATATATATGTTTCCATTACATTTGAACCCCTAATTTGAACCCACGACAATTGCATCTGCATACAACCGCGGTAACTTTTCATATCCATATCTCCCTTCAGATTTCGATTCGAAATGTCACTCATAGCTTGTTGGAAAGGATAGATGGGAAGGATAGATGGGGGGCGAGAGGGGCGGCCGCCTTAGGCAGCACGTTGTAGGGGGCAGCAGAACCAAGATGTTGAGTCTGCGTTATTACACATAAGACATATTTTTTTGTTTGTTTTATGAATCAAAAGCTGACATTATGTGTTTAGTATTGTGCGACTTACTGTGGTAATGATGAGTCAACAATGGATGTTTCCCCGACCGTCTCTACCAAGATTTTGTAATTGCAACATTTTTGGTGCTCATTTTAGGGGTGGTTTCGCTAGTTTACGCCTTAAACTGGTTAATATATATGTATCAAACAATCATTTCAATTCTAAATAGGCAACCCTGTTATTAAAAAATACACAGCTATTTCTTCACAAAGTTCACAGCTATTAATTGATGACTGTATTGATACGGAACCTGGTTCTGTGAATGTGATCAGTTTTGTACTTGATCAAAGTGTAGTATAATGTATATATATACAATTTTACACATGTCCTCTGAACTATACAATAAATCAGATGTAAAGTGTTGAATAGTAGAATTTTTTTTTTTTTATCAGCCGACTCATTTTCTGTCTTTATTTTATAATTTCATATTGTGATAATCCATGTTGACAGTTCACAGCGTATATAAAATTGTCGGGAACCTCGATGACCTGTGAAGGTCTTGCATACTGACCATCACGATTGAATGTTTAAATATTCACTGCGCTGTATTTTCATGAAAATCTGTACTATGATCCTTTTTCAACATTGTTTTGTGGAAATAAAATCTCTCTCTCTCTCTAAACTAACTTTTGATTATTCTATTCAATTCAAGAGGGTTGGTGCACAACACGAACACAAATATATTTCTGTAACATTTCGTCGAATCTACAAACATCACAAAAAGGACTTCAACAATTTGAAGAAAATTACACTGAAGAAACCAGACTACAACACCACAAGTGGAGCCTAAAGCACTTCGTAGCAACAGGGATCTCCTAAATGTCTTCAATTTACCTATTGAAACGTTACAGAAATTTATTTGTGTTCGTGTGCAGCAAGACTCTTGAATTGAATAAAATAGCCATTTACGCTCTTGCTACAGCATCCTTGCGTAATACGCATACGGATCCACCTGCGCAAAGGCATATAGAGCAAGGAATGGTAATGACCGCTCCAATCCCTGCCCATTTTATGGGTATTTTTAAACTTATTTTTTTTTGTCAACCATTAAGCCCTAAAGCTTTACTCATTGCTTTTTGAAAGCGTCTGCTAGAGTTCTATTCAGCAATATATCTTTAAAACACACTCCTCGAAAAAAAAATTTTGCAAAAATATTCAAAAATTTCTAAAAAAAAAATTGGACTTTGAGATATTCTCTGTACAGTAGAGGGTTAATAATTAATTCCTAATTAATTAATTTTTTTTTCAACGTTTTCGTCAAGTTTTTCCTAACATTACAATACCAAAACGACTATTATAGCATAAATGGTTATTATTCTGAAATTCACAATTGTATTTACAGTATTATCAAGTTCAAGGTCCAATTACCGATTTTGATGACGTCACAGCTCTTATTATTACTGCACAGACCACCCCCAATGCAAAAAAAATTAAATTTTTTCGACGGAAATGCGCGTAGAACGACGTAAACAATCCCATTTACGCGTTAAAATTACCATTAATTTTACGTTTTTTTTACATACAAAAAATCTTCATACCTCTGCCAACTATGGAGCAGTCGAAATCATATTTATCAAAACAACACAGCGCCAGGGATGGTCAGGGATAGTTAGTATGACTGAAAATACATGCTAAAACAATAATAAGTCGTTATAAAGGAGTATTTCCTGTCTGAGCTGAGTCCACATTTTCAGATGTTTGACAGGCGATTTTGAAATCCACACTATTTATACGATTCGCACTTTGCGTCACGGCTGGAAAGTTTTATCGCTTCTCTCATATCAGGGCATTACGTCCATAAACAGCTAAGAGCGATATTGACCCTTTAAGTACCGAAGTTTAAAAACTATGGTAACGTAAGCCCATATGGGCGGCTGCGGCTGTAGAAGGGGTTTCACACAACCTCAACTGTTAGTTAACTTTTGATTACTGTAATTAAATATAACAAGACAGAATATTTAAGTTATATTTCATTCGTACTGAAATTTCCGAAACATAAACAAAAAACTAACAAATTGCACGGGAAAACGAGGTCATGTTCACAATCATGTCAGAAAATCTGTCTGTTCGGCTGGCAAATCGTTTACTGTTACGTCGCTTTTCCGAAGTGGAAACAGAGATTTTATAAAAAATGTTAAAGATCTCCAAGTTGAAACAGATAAAACATATTCGAGGTCAAATTAGCGCATGTCCATTAATCTTCGATTAGCATCGAAAAAAAAAATCCTGACGAGCGAGGTGGAAGAGGCTGTCGTTCACACGTTTGTTAACAGCTAAGTGGCGATTTAACTTAGAAATAAGTGACTTGCTTTTTGTTAATACATGAGTTCAATCGTATACGTGTTGTTTAGTTTAATGATTATTACAAAAATTTTACTCTTACTCTACCTTCAATTTACTTATTTTTATGTATAACGACATCTATATTCTGTTTGACCTTCAATATATTTTCAAGTTAGGGATAAGGGGCAGCGTTATCAGAAACTCGCCCCGGGCAGCAGAAAAGTTTGGCATCCCCCTGTATGCATTTCACATTCCTAATTTACAACATATATATATATATATATATATTAACTCTGAACAAGAATACGTGATAATGGCAAATGTGTTATGCGAAGAATGTTGTCCTCGTGAAATTGCAATCACTGTAGCTGTTCATTTCAAGTTTAACGTGAATATGCTTAAATTTGTTTATTGATAGTAAATTCCCGACTGACTATCCCAATTCGGATTTCAAGTAGATTATCATTAAACATGCTGGTACAGTATTCTACATAAGTTGCATTCACTAAATCGCTGAATTATCATCATTTTGAACTATTGCCAAAGGAAAATGTATGACTGAGATCGATGAAAACATTAGTTATTAGTTAGTACATAAAGATTATTTATTCAAGATATGTTATGAAACCAAAAGTATAACCCCCTTTTATAGTATATTACCAACTGATTATGAAAATTCAAGTGTTTTGTAATGACACTGTTAAAGAAATATAGTTAGGCCACTATACTTAAGATAAGTTAGAAAAGAATGAATTCAGTCTGGGACTTGCTTTATCACTGATCGAAAACGCGACGATGTAAAACGCAAATCACCCACCACCAGTGGCGTATCTAGGGTGTGGCAGCCATGGCTCGTGCCACGGGCGCCGTTTGAACAAGGGCGCAAAAACGGCGAAAAGTATTAATCATAGAAGGTTATATTAAAATAATTTCAAATTGGGAATAAATGAAACTCGTATTTTTACTCAAATAATAACAATTCAATAATAGTCATAAATTGTCAAACAACTATCAGGTTGCATTTTTAAACTTTGCCACGGGCGCCATTTTACGTAGATACGCCAATGCCCACCACATCAATCCAATTTCTCTGCTTGCTTTTAATTTGCAACAGAGACGAAAGTTCTGACTCACGGGATGTATGGACTCATTAGCATTTTTTTCAGCAAATGGAGTCGGCGGACGTCAAATAAAAAATAGTTTTTATTAAATGATGGTACGAAATTGGACGGTTGGGTTGTTTAATTTCGAAAATATTCATTTTATATATATGTCGATTTTTGTGATTTATCTTGTATTTATCCTTGGCTGGTATGTAACAGTGAATGTATATTCATAAGTGGGTGGTGTGAACTGGTAATGTAACTTGAAACACTGTTAGAAAACATGTGGATTTAGTGGAGTCGTTTCGAGTGGGTAATCGGCAAACTGTGGCTCGTTTACTGAACATAGTTATGTATAAAGTTTTGTACATCGATTAATTATATATTTACTGTAGGACTATGAAGAAATGTAAAAATCTCTTTAAAAATGCCTTTTTCGATATTCCATGATTCGATAAACATTTATATTTTTTCTTTGAATAATCATAGTTTAGTAAATTCGAATTTCTTAAAAGCGATTGAAAAAGTTCATCTGAAAAATTTTAAATATATTGAAGGTGTTCCAATTCTTTCTTCCAAATGAATTATAAGTGACGGTGATTGACTTTGGAATTTTAGATTTTTATAAGGTTGTCAAGGTACAAAAAGGGAGGATTTCAAGGTGAACATTGTTGGGTCATTGGAAGTATATAAGTAGTAGCCTACCTTGTAACTTTTCGAACATTGATGTTTGTACTTATCGCTGCGGGCTCTCGTTTCGCGACTTTATTATATGTATACAGAATTCTTTTGATTTTTGATTACATACCTATTCCCGCGGCCATAACAAATTGATAACAGGATAGCGAACTAAATTTTGTAAATTGCTAATCTGCGGCTGCTGCACAGAAAATACCGGAGTTCAAGTCATGACTCCAAGCAAGAAGCCCTTTTACAATATATAGAGTCTTCTCTTCCAATGAGACTCAATCTAGTTGTAATTTTGAAGCCTGTCCGACTCGATACTTTTACTTAGCTCAATTTTTGGTTTGGCAATATATCTTGGTTACGGATATAATCAGTGAAAAAAGAAAGCGGAGCTGATGTTATGTGTTAGCTTGAATGGAAGCGTTTTGTTTAAAATTCATCAGAGATACCGTTGTATTACTTTGGTTTTATTATAATTATTTACGTCGCAATACGAGATAAATAAGAATATATATTTTATACATTTTTGTAGCATTTGTTTGAACTCGTATATATATATAGATTTTACATGTAGTCCACGTGAACGGACAACATTGGCGAACAATTTTAAAACCTTTAACGCCAACATCGACGACGTTTTACAAGAGTGATCTAATTTTGCGCAGGTTTTTGTCTCAACTTTCATACGATTTCGTTTGCTTTCTGTAGTGTGGGATAAGCCTCTAAATGTCGATAACTTCGAACCTATGTATATATATTTAAAATATCTCGATCAATAATTCAAAAATAGAACGAAGCATGGAAGTAAACTAGGAAAACTTTTACAGTATCTTATCCAGTCTCTTTTACTCAGCTCCACCTTTTGCTCTCTTACTCTTATTTAGACAACTACTCCCCTCGACAAACACAACCCATACCATCGGTGTTAAACTACTAATTTTATGATGAAAGGCAATGTAATAAGGCAATGTAACCTCGTGTTTTCTGTATAACGCTCAATGTCACGCTGCCTCTGAGTTTGTTGAAGACAAGGGCACTTCTCCCACTCCTCAACTATCAAATACAGAAAATCCCACACAATTACACCATTAAATCCAAATGAATCAAGTTACATTTCATTGCACAGATTAGTTTCAAGATATTTTCATTCCTTTTAGATTTTTCTGTATATTTATCTGTTCTTTCCATTGTCTGTCTTTTTCATGTCGAAATGCGACTTTGGTTGCTTTCTTTTCCATTCTTCTTTCCTGAAAATACAAATTATGGATTGACCAGTCGCTCAAAGAGTGGGTTTTTTAGTCATCAAAAATATACTATACATGTCATAGCAAATTGTATGAAAAATTATCTAACCTATTGATGTGTTATTTTTTGATATTTTCTTTTAAACCGCAAAATACATTCATACAAATATCTAGTTTTTCATGTACTAATCAGTAAGAAGCAAGTGCCGGATATTACTATTAAGTAATAATTGAGGACAAGTAAAGTGATAGAAATAGGTGGCCCAGAGTTGGGATGGAACTTTTCTTGTACTTGTGCCCGTATAAAAGAATTAGCATCATGAAAAACTATTGAATTAGGGATTACAACTCACTCGACGCATCTCTTTGATGACATGTTTCCTAGCTGACTTCTCATCTTTAGTTTCTCCTTTCCTTCTTACATTTGATGCAACAGATGTTACATTACTAGATTCTGATATCGTTTGATTTCTGCAGAACTGTTTATCATTCATTTCATTTTCAAGGTCAAGCATCCGAAGCTGAAAAATTTGAATAAAAGCTACTGTTCTATCTTGTCTAAAATTGCAATTTGAGAATTTAGTTCAATTGGATTAAAAGAACTCGTTATTTTCCATGAGCAATGAATGAGAGCTCACTTAGCAGCAAACTTTCCTGTCAAAGAAAAGCGTTTTTACTGTTCAACATGTTCCCTGCAGTAGGGGTAAAAATACAGCTCAGATAAGTATTTCAGAGTATGAAATATGAATAATATACGAAAGTTTACATCAGGGTTTCTCAAATCTTGGCCAGCCAAGGAGGGTATGGCTCGCTGGTAGTCACAAGCAAAGGTTCACTAAGTACCATTCGCTATTGACTAAATTTATTCAAAGCAAATTGACTGTAATGCCTTTATTCTTTTACTTTCGTTTGCTGGCTTTATTATTATTAACATTGGAACATAAAATAACTGATGGACACATGTTATAAGCAAAACTAAAGATTATTCTTGAAGAGTAGGTGGCCAGAATTGTTGAGTCTTTGGACGGGGCCTACAAATCATGAATGTTTGAGAAAAAGTCGATTCAAAACCAATACAATATTTTTTCTTGCTTGTCACCATTTAAATGACAACTTTGCAACGCTCAGAAGAAGAAAACTAAGAAGCATTGCAATAATAATAGGGTAAAACACATCAGTTACAAGTTGGCAACTTATTTAATCCTTGCAGCTCCCATCCTCAACTATTTAGGTTTTCACTTTATTTAAATGAGTGCCCGGTCCTTGCTTTATGAGTTTTAAATAGCCAACCATTGAATATCTACCTGCTTTGCAGTCACTCCTCTTGTTGGCAGTGTGTCCAAGGGAATTCCAGTCTTCTTTGACAACCTTATAGGCTAAAATAATATACTTTTGTTACGAAAAATATTTCACTTAGACCAAAAGAAATGAAGCAGAATTTACTATTTCACTTGAAACAGAATTGGTCTACATAAAATATAATGTAACTTACTTTAGGTGGATCTTGAATTACCTTTGGATGATTGTAGATATTAGAATATGTACCTATAGAGAATAATTACAGGTGTCAAAACTAAACAAAGTCAAGGTAAGAAAGCTAAATATTTGCGAAACTTAATTTGTCATTACAGATTAATCGCTCTGTTGAAATATCTTGTGAATTCTTTATCATTCACAGAAATGGTGAAGTAGTATAGTATGTATAGTAACGATACAAAAATCACAACTTCTACAAAATACATTCTTCCTCATATTAAGTCTTAAGTATGAATAATGGAGAAAAATATTAACATAACACAGGCTGTATGACATAGGCCAGTAACACTGATCCTTTGTATATTTCATACATGGCATACATTTTATAAAATTGCAGAAATAAAGAAGTGTACATACTCAATATTGATTCACAATCCCAATTTTCTTTGGGAACTTCTTTAGTTAATTCAATCATATCGTCATCAGAGGATTCTTCAGATGACTCAACTTGTTCAACCTGGTCTTTTGCCTCAACTAGTTCAGGAACTGTTTTCAACCTAAAAGAAAAATGAAATTATTACAATTCAACAAATATCTTATTATTAAAGAATTGCTTTTACACAAAAGACACTACTTTATGCTTAAAATTGTGGAATCGAACACAGTGCATTAGAAATGGAAAAAATGTCTAGAAAGTTGGCAGAAAGCTAACAAGAGTATGATTTAGGATGATGATTTAATTAAAGCTAAAACATACTCACTTATAGTCAAATTTAACCTGTTAATGCTCCAACACAGAAGATTTAGACTACCGTACTTCTGCTCACATTTTTTAATTTTATGTAATCAAATAAAGGATAAAAACCAGTCGCTAGTTGCTCATTACCTCAGATTCATGTTGGAATTCGGAGATTTATTTTTTATTCCAAGTAACATATTAATTGCATCTTCTTGAGCTATATTATCAACAGGAACTGCTCCATCAATTTCAACTTGACCGAGATCTCCAATTTTGTCATCATCATATGTTTCATAAAACTTTAAAAAAATTCTTACGTTTAAGTTCTTACTATGTAGCAGGTAAAAAATTAATAATGGCCGTAAACTTTGACCGTCTGGGTAACTAGATTAGATAGATTCAGATAGACTTGTTGAAATTTATTAAGAAACTTCGAAGAACTTACGACAAAAAAAAAGGTTCTCAATCTCTTCAAACTCACAAAACATTTAAAGTACTTTATTTAATAAAGAACACATTGTGCTAAAATGAAAATTTGACTTCATTAACATTAAATTATGAAGTCTTCAAACTATATGACTGGTAGGCTCGAGCACAAGTTCATTCGCCATTGCCTACATTTATTCAAAGTACCGTATTTATTCGATTATAACGCGCAAAATTTTGAACTGAATTTTAGGCAAAAATCAATGCTGCGCGTTATACACGAGGTCTGAGAAATGCGGTATTGAAAATGTGGTTTTAAACATCTGAAACGTGCGTGCGCTCGCGCATGCACATTCCAATGCAGGACGATTTCGTGCAAGCACACGCACATGCGACAGCTCAGCGTGCGTTTGACATTCGTGCAAGCGTTCGATTTCGTGCAAGCCCACGCACATGCGACAGCTCAGCATGCGTTTGACATTCCCGCTGCGTTGAGAATATTTATTTGCCATTATCGTACTGTACTGTAGATACCCATTATATATTACCCATTATCTATTATGGCAATTGGCAAGACAAAAACGTTCTGCATATAGGGCTGCATTCAAACTGGAGGTTGTTGATTATGCGGAAACTCATGGAAATAGAAAAGCTTCTAGAGAATTCAATGTACCAGAGACAAATGTCAGAGATTGGAGAAAGCAGAAAGTTGTTCTAAAAGATATGAACAAAACAAAGAAAGCGCGGCGAGGGAGACAAGCCCGGTACCCAGAGTTGGAGAAGGAGCTTTATGATTGGATAGTTGATCAAAGATCTAGTGGGTACATCGTCACTTCGCTCCATATTAGACTCCGTGCATAAAAGATTTGCAAAGATTCAACCTTTGAAGCATCTAATGGTTGGGCACAAAAGTTTATGAGAAGGCATGGACTTACACTGATTTAAACATAACCCAAACAGAAATCGAACAGTTGTTTGGTGAATCAGAGACTGAATCCGATTTTGAAGAGTTTTGAATTACTGTGTGCTTTTAATAAATTTTTGTTCATGCTGTGAGTTGTTACCTTATGTGCTTACCAGTAGTTAGTAGAGACAAAATAAAAAAAAGAATCTTATACCAATTTTCATTCAAAATTTAAAGGTGCACGTTATAATTGAATAAATACGGTAAGTTGACTTTAACGCCTTTATTTGTCTACTCTTGTTTGCTGGCTTTATTATTATTAACAGGTTCTTCAAACTATATGCAAATTTAATCAAAGCGACAAACCACTTGCCTATTGAATTCAATTGTGATATAAAAGTTGATGCTGTGCTATCAGTTTATAAAATTACCTTCTCAAACTGATCATCCAATATTGATAAATGTTCGGTTCTAGGAAGAACAGATGAAGACATGGAATATTGTGTAAATCTAGATCTTGTTTCTTCGTTTGCAAAATAATCTTCAGAATCACATGATCCCATATCATCATCACTATAATATTCATTCTCTTCTCCTTCATCACTACCAATATCTGATCTAAGATGTTATGATTAATACAGAATTTTAAGCCTCATTTTACGTTGAAATAGGACTTGGCTATTCATGTAGAGTGTATAGTCTCCCAAAAAAGACTACAAAATATGATACTATGATTTAAAGATTGTGGACTCTATAAAAGTACAGACAGACTACAAATGTTACCAAATGTCTTATTCTGTGTTTTATTATGTATAATATGATGAATGCTTATTAAGCTGGTGCGGAGATAATTTGTTAAATTCTGTGTTGTTATGATAGGTAAATAAATGATAATAATTGAAATAAGTAGCACTACAACAGCATATAGATATCATCAACAGACAAGCAGGAAAAATCAATATATATAAGCATTCGTTACTTTCCAGCAGATTTATACCATACCAAGACAGGCAGAAAATAACTCTACTAGGTTACTACTGTAAATCTATTTTATGAGAGTACTGGCGTCCATATGAGGTTTTTAAAGACGTTTATCTAACATCAACTCACCTATTTTCATTTCTTTCATCTATCTCATCTGTTGCTTGCAATATAAAATCATCCTCGATAACATTTTCTGGATTTTCATAATCAAAATCTTCGTCCATGGCTGCGACAACATCCGGATCCCATTCAATTAGTGGACCTGTTTGAAAACAGTACATATTTCTTAGCAAATTGATAACTGCTACAAGACTAAATATAAATAAATAACTAGGGAATGCAAGAAATAGTGAGTTCATTAGTATTACATTGTAAATATTTTAGTTTACTGTCTACGTCATGTCAGCCCAACAGATTTAAAAATATACAATTCTAATTGTATAGCATTGCTTTGGGCAGTGACAAATTTGAAAACAGTTTTATATATAACAAATCTGCTCTTTCAGACTTTAAAATAAAGTGTATGCATGACGAAATTACATCTATAATTTGATTTTGGCAGTCTATGTTCACTGCACCTGTTGGTGGAATAGCACGATGCAGCATCCCAATATCTTCCTCTTCTTTAGAAGCAAAAACAACAGTTGGTATTTTGATAGCAGCAGACTTCTCCCCATCTTTTATTACCTCAGTCATATCTTCGTGTGAACAATGTGAAATTTCATTTGGCTCTTGAAAAGTTACTGTAAAATATATATTATCTTTATCAAATACAAGTGATCAAGCAAAAGTAGTTTATATCTTAATTAAGAATTGATTGCAATTTCATACTTTCTTTTTTGGTTAATCTTATGGAGAAAATTGCTTTTTCAATGAAACTAGTGGACGTAGTGGTATTAGTGAAAAGGATTATGATTACAGTCATATATAAAAGGCAAACTAATAAGGCATCAACTAACCTCGATTGCTTTTAGGTACAAGTATTGCAGTCTGTTTTTCAGGCTGTCGCAGATGTTGCATGTAATCATAGTCATCATCAAATCCAACACCATAAATCCTCTGTTTTGACAATCTCATTTCTCTTTCATCAGGTGACTATGAAGAAAAAATTCAAGTTCAATCATCGTATCAAGGATGAGCACATTTTAAAATATAGTTCCCCTATGTGTATGTACGCTGCAAGGAGTCGTTTTTTGGATATATGATATTCAAGCATTATGTTATATTGCTTTCATGCTCTAATACTTAATAATCAGAAAATTTTACATTTCCAATATATTTCAAGCCTTCAAAAATTCAAGAAAACTTATAGGTATTATTAAAAGTTCTCAACTATTGCCTACTTCTTGTATATTTTCATGCTGTGAAATTGATTCATCCAGCGGTACAAGAACACGTTGAGGTGCTTCATCATCTGCAGCCAGAGGATCTTTTTGACTCCTGAAAAATATAATGGATGAGAGCAGGAAAACAAATAAATATTTACAATTTCAAAAGAATATTACTAAATCACAGAGCAAAATATAGGAAGTCAAAAACAATAACTTCACTTTATAACAATTTGGAATACAATATTATAATAACTGTGTAACAATTTTTTAAATCAAAAATTTTATTGAGTCATAGTGTATAGGCCTACTACACTATTCTCCTTATTAGATTTGGTAGCTATAATATGAATGATTCAAGTTTGTTACCTGTGGACAAGTTGAAACGTGAATGCCTTTTTCTTATCAATGAACTTTCTCTTTGTTTTATGAGGCTAAAAAGTGTAAAATATATTTATATTTCCCAAAAAATAATAGGAAACAACAGGTGGGAAATTTCAGATTGAACACTCAATATTACATACTAGACAAAAATAAGTGAAATACTATGAATATTTTCATTTAAAGAAAAATGTCTAGTTCTGATTTTCTACAGTATAAAAATTTGTAACATCTGTAAATATATAGATTTTCAAATCTTTTGTTGAATACAATTCAATTTATAACACATTCAATATTCAGTTTCAAATAATACGCAATACTTCTCGAAGAAATCTGTGATAGGAAGTGCTTACCATGTTGTGGAATGCCTATATCAGTCAAACAAGAAGTGTTCAATATGTATGTAAATGAAATCTAGATATTACAGTCTATAAATAAAAATACCAAAAAGCCTGTTATTCAATGTCGGACACATATTATGCTTATCATATGCTTTATAATCAAAGTTTACAAAAATTATTAAATGATATTTTACCGAATTGCTATATTAAAAGCACCAGCATCAAAATACAACCAAATATTCTTGTAAAACCCTCTTTGATAATATTCAAAACAAAATATTCAACAACCAAACATTATGAATGCATGCATATTAAACAAGCCATGTAATTTTATCAACATGGTGATATTCAATTGTAAGACATCAATAATAAGGTTCCATTACATTTGAACCCACATACATTTGAACCCATGACAATTTCACCTGTATGCTATTGCACCTATGGAATTTTTTTTGTTTCACGGATAGTTAAACCCATACTAACCCTAACCCATGGGTTTTAGCACCCGCATATAGATTGAACCCGTGGATATACGCATGGGTTCAAATGTACATGGGTTCGAATGTACGGTCACCCAATAATAACAGTGCGTTATTCTGCGGTAAATAGAGTAACGTATGCTATATTATATCTGATACAAAAATATTTGGCTACCCAATATCTGTAAGATACAGGAGCTGGAATACTCGTACTTTTCATTCCCTATTTAGATACTTATTCAGTGATAAATTCAATGAATAATTACTATTTTTTGGAGACTTAATATAAGCTCCGATGTAATCAGTAAACAATTTTTGTCAACTCAATGCAATGCCAAACTGAAAACGAACTAAGAGCAAAAAAAAAGATTCATATTAAACTCAAAATTATTCCAAAGCAACTATTTGATTCGCTTTGGACATCCCTGTTTATGTGCGCGAAAATTAATGTGCTTACTATGAAGAAATTTATTATTAGAGGGAAGGGGTTACAAATTTTGTTTGTTCTTTATAGAAGACATTGACGCGGGTGGTGAAACATTTTTTGAAGTTTTAGAAAATATTCTTTTCAAAAATGATGGTCCTCTGTCTTGACTTCGAAGGTCATCTTTTTTATCATCAACATACATAATTCGTGAATATTCAGGAACTGCTTCAACTTTTGGATCAACTTTTACTAGTTTGAAAAAATATCCACAATCACAGGTTTGAGGATCGCCTTCATTAACATAAAACCAGTTCACTGTACAAGCATCAGGTGAGCAGGTACATCCCACAATGCATTTTTCTGTTGGAGATGCAACAAGAATTGGATCTTCTGGGCTTTGCCCCTTATTTTTAATCTGTTTGATTTCGAGTTTATCAATTCTTTCTTCTGATTCAAATTCTTCAAATTTTTGCTGAACACTTTTATTTAAATGAATCCATGATTGTTGTTGAGAAAAGTTAAAAACAGGTGGTTGAGTAAATAATGAAACTCTACTACGAAAAACTGTGGCATATGCAACACGAAGCATAGCCATCCTATCGAATATCAAACCTGAAATAGAGGGATAGTAACATTATAATATTCAAGGCTGAATTAACAAGAATAGATAAACTGTTTAATATTTCGGCACACATAACAACATACAAGATCTAATGAACTTTCAGACTTTAGTAATATTCACCCTCAAGAAAGCGAAAATTAGCAGTATTACTATGACAATTCAGCAGGAAAAAATTGAACAGATAATTGTTCCATGTGCATGAAATTTGGCGGTGGCGAAGATAACCATTAGCGACTAGTCATTATGTCAACCATTTTGCAGAAATTCCCCATGTTGCCAGGCCCACAGTCAGGCAGTGTTACAACAGCAGCACATTAATACTCTAACCAGCAGACCACATTCTTACAGAGCCAAGGCCATTACATGATTATAAAATTAATATTATAATTGGCAACCATATAGACTGTAAGACGGCATTTATTTTCTTATCACATTTTTGTTCGGCGTTATTTTTGTATTCTAGCCCTTACTGACTTACGGCAATTAGTTCGCTAGATGCCACTTGTGCGCTTAATAAACAGACTGGATATGATTTACATATTTATCCTGGGGGAGAGGAAAGTCGATAATATAGCTTAACCTGAACCGTATGGTGAAGCACAGCCTCTTGTCTGGCAGTCTGGTTACCATTCCATGTCGGATATGGCAGTATGGGATTAGTTAGTTATTTGTTTTCGGTAGCATGGACTTGATGGTAGTCTTTGGTAGTGCTACAGGGGTGGTGACTCTTCTTAGGCCCTTGGGCCGGGGCCACGGCCCATTTAATTGGGCCACATAGGCCGGGGCCCATCAAGCTATGGGCCGCGGCCCCATCAGGAAATATTCAATTATCTTACCAAAATTTTCAATTTTTAAAAAATATTCAATATTCGAACCAAAAAAAAATCGCGAGATGCCACCAAATTTTCTTCTTACGATGGGCCTTTATATAAAAATAAAGCAAAATACCAAGCTACGGAAAAGGATACTCCTGTGGTATGTGTACCAGGTTAGGACTTAGGGTTAAGACAAAATTTTGTTCAGATTTTTCACATTATAGCCCTAGTTCTATTATTAGTTCGCCAAGTGTTAGCCAAGTGAGTAGTCCCTTTACACAACTTGATGGGTCGCGGCCCATCGTCTGATGGACAAAATTTTGTTCAGACTTTTTCACATTATAGTTCTATTATTAGTTCAGGGACTGTCTGTGTTAGCCAAGTGAGTAGTCCCTTTACAGCTTTACACAACTTGATGCCTCGGCCCATCAGGCTATGCGCCGTGGCCCAGGCCCATAGACAAATAGAGAAATAACCACTTCCACTCCTACAGGGGCGGTGACTCCACTTACGGTCAGACGGCCCATGACCCATTGGTCCACTCCACAGAACTGTCAAACACTAGCCCACGCACAGACGTACGCCGTACCGGTACGGTACGGTACCGGGTCCGGTATGGAAACTGGATAAATACGTAAATACTATCTTAACTGCACATCGTATGTAAAAAAAAACACAAAAACACGTACCGTAATAAGCGAGCAGTCGGCACCAGGGTGACTGTGACCCAAAGACCAAAGTGAATATAATGATTTAGTCGACACCAACGGCCGGCAACCAACTTGCCTAATGTTAAACAAGTTCATGGACGCCATCTTGTGCCATATTTGGGAAACGCGAAACAATGGGGTCTTATGGGAAATTTTTGTCGAGTTGTTGTACCGAATCGAATAAGTCCGCTGTTATAAGGGCTAGAATGAAACCGAAGGGTGGATTTTGAACTTTAAGATATATGCTATCTAAATATATAACGCAATTAGGAATAAAAGCTATCTAATGCGTTAAATTTGACCACAAACACAGCGTAGAACCATTTTTGGTCATTTTTTCGAAGATTTTATAGTGATACGCCAATTTGAGGCTGTAAAATGTCTTCGCAACAATCCTACAACGTCATTTGTTCTTCTAGCGCAGCTTGGAGCTGAGCAGTAGGGCATTACGGAGCTTGGCAGACGAAAAATGTTAACCAGAAAATAGAAACGGCCATTGAGGCAAAGTTGGGTCGGCCGGTAATTTCGACGAATAAATACAACTTTTCATTTGTGACGTCATAAGGAACGCCATTGTCAAATTGTTAGTTATGACGATCAGAATGGCCAATTTACTTCGGAAGCAACTCGGAACCGGTATACTTGTCTTCAAAGACAATTTAATGTACTATAAATGTAATTTGGCCAACATGAAACGATATAAGCATGTACGGCTAAGATTCTACTTCAAAACGCGACCTTCAAAATTTTCCTACCTCAAATATTAGTGAAAATAATAGGCATGTTCCAATAATTGTGTTGGAACTTTTCATAAGGCGCCGTGTTAAATTGCCGAGAACAATAGGCACAAGATGGCGTCCATTGTCTGAGCGTTGCCTCGCTTATATTATATATACGCTTTGGTCGACACATGCTGGACCGGGTGTGTGAGAGTCATGATTTTTAGATTCCGGACTGGTATACCACCCCGGAAATAAGTTATATTTGATTTATTCATGACCATGTGCGAATAAAACATACATTTACAACAAGAAGCAAAACATGTGAAGGGATAGGAGAGGATTTACATAGTTATCCCGGGAGAGAGGGGGGAGCCGATAAGACGGCTTGATCATATGGCGAACCAGGGTCTCTCGTCAGGTTACCAGTCCAGGTCGGATATGGGATTAGTTAGCCAGTTATTTGTTTTCGAAAGCATGGACTTGGTGGTGGAGGAAGCCGTAACCGACCAGCGATTACGTGAACCACCCTACGGCGGCGAGGAGTCTAGCAATCGTCTCGCACATAATCATCCCCGCATGGGATTCGAACCTGCGAACCCACGCAAGGTAATCAGAGATGCGGTGGCAAGCGTATTCCTGACGCTTAGCACGAGTGCCACACCGCCGAGTTGAGGGAGACACAGGAAATCCCCAAAGGTTATTTAACTGTGAAACCCTATAAAATATTACTGCTATTAAAAAATGAAAATCATGTGGAAAATAAAATAACTGGTTTTGTATGAAATAGACAATATTTGAAGTAGGGATTTTCGAATGTTACGAAGAAGTTATTCGAAATGGGCACAACTGGTGACAAAGATTATTGGACACGTCAGTGGACATAACGATCGTTTCAATATAATGTTGTTGTTGTTCTTTGACACGTTTTTAAAAAGGTGCTTTTCTCTTTGATTACTGGACTAATTGCTTTGAAATTTTCAGTAGTTAAAGATGGAATGTTTTACTAGAAGGCTATTTATAAATTTTTTAAGTTTTATTAATTTTAAATATTTCTGTGAGTTTTTGGGATTCGTTTTCATTTTGAACTATGACATCATCAGAACTTGCCACCACGTGGCGATTCCACAAACAAACATGCATATATCAGAGCCATTATATAACGGCTCTGCATATATTGATCACTTGATAATCGAACAGCGAACAGGTTCCGTAGTCAAGCCTTCTGGTAAGTTACCGTACCGTAGTAATTAGTCATGTAATTACTTTTTATACTAACAAAGAGTTGGTGTTTAGGTTTTAACCGTACCACAGTGAATTTCAGCGTAACGTGTCCATATATTTGAGCATAGCTCACTTGTTATTATTAAATGACGGTAAGTTAGAAAATTTTGAGCAAAGAAATTATTATAATTTTATTTATTGAGCATACACACAACTTGAATATGAGAAATACCTCATGATATGTTTTTTCATTACCTATGAATTCATTCATAATCTATTCATTACCATTGAAGGAGATGATTCTTTAATCGTTGACTGAATGTTGTAGGTTAGTTTTCTCTGATTTATGGCGGAATATTTTACCAAATACGAATGCTATTTGTTTTGAGCGATTTTTCGTTATTCAAAAATGAGCACCGAGGCATGAAATAAATCTGTTTTGTAACACGCCTTGTGGCATGGCTATGGATGGTTTTTCTAACACTGCTAATTCTAACACTGCTTGTATAAAAGTGAGTTATGAACATGTCGTGATACTGCAAAAAGCATCCTCCAAATTGCCTTGTTTTGGTGGTTTTAGAGCAGTTTTATTACCTCCTCCTCAACTGATAACGACATATTTCAGATGAGAATATATAAGACTATTACAAACAATTTACAATGCATCGATTGGATTACGTCGAGAATTCAGAGTTCACAGAAATTTTTGCAGTAATAGCCTTCTAAAGAAAAATACAATCTTTAAAGACTGAAAATTTCAAAGCAATTGGTCTAGTAGTTAATAAGAAAAGCGATTATTTCACAACAACAAGGATACGAAATGACAAAACGATCCATAGGTGTGCCCAATAACTCATCGTGTCCAATACCATCTAACGCTTTCCCAATGTTAACAATCCAGATGGTAATGCATATGGGAGCAACCAGGGCCGGATTTAGACGATCAGTGTCCCTCCTTCAGCAATGACATCATCAAAAATCAATGTTTCAATATGACGTTATAATATATTTAAGACATTATTACCGATATGTTATAAATAAATTCAAATTGCGTGTACACGAAAGCTAATCGCCTAAGTGGATTGGATCGTATGTTAAAAATATTTAAAAACATAACAGTTCCTAACTGCAGGCTTGTGCACGGGACATATTTTTGTGTCCCATCACATAGCAATTTATGTCTGTCTCAACCTATCCCATCCCATGGGATTCCCATCGGAATCCAATTCAATAAAAATGATCAAAGTTTGAAAACTTATATTCAGTGGCATCCAGGGGAGGTCGCACATGTGGCGCTTCCTCCGAATAGGGTTCCATTACATTTGAACCCACGTACATTTGAACCCATGACAATTGCACCTGTATGCTATTGCACCTATGGAATTTTTTTTGTTTCACGGATAGTTAAACCCATACTAACCCTAACCCATGGGTTTTAGCACCCGCATATAGATTGAACCCGTGGATATACGCATGGGTTCAAATGTACATGGGTTCAAATGTACGGTCACCTCCGAATAGAAATGTAAGGGACAGTTATGGGTAAATTTGCGCTGAACGAATCGCGGAAATTCTACCGGCGCACTGTTGCTTTTTCTCAACACCGAGAGGGATGGTGGGCTCGGTGCACGTCCCCACCGACAGAACTAATTAGAAGTTTATCGTCAAAGCGAGAGAGCCTTCAATTGTTCGAAGGTGACTTGATTGACAGATGCCCGTCCCCAAATCACAAATCACCCCTTCGAAACAAATATTATTCAACCTTAGCCAGCATCTCCGATCGGTGAATGTTTTACATTAGCACTTACTACTAATTACTAAAGTAAGTCAAAGCCGAATCTTATTCCTAGCTAGGTCAATTGTTCAGGTGCGCCACTTCGGCCATGGTAGACTGCTGACACAATACCTTGTTCTGAGCTTGTCGAAAAATATGCTGAATCTTCTTCAATGAGTCAACCATATGACGGAGATAATTTGCAATTCGACTCCGAAAAAATGATATACTGTACCTGTTTCAAATTTTTATTCAAATATTTTAGTATTATTGTTCCAATGCTACGAAAAAGATTTGCTCCACACGATTGCAGCGTAATGGTAGTGTAACGTGATAACTGTAATGATAATAAATCAATCACTAAACTAAAAATTCCCATGTGAACCGCACATCTCAAATTTAAAATACCAGGAACAACCATTTATGAGACTAGTTACACTTGACTTGTTGGTTTGTAGTGAATGATGGAGTAGGTATTTTATCACACGTTACCAACATGTTGGTCCCTACTATCCAGCACCGAGTATGATTGAAAATTAATTTCTAAAGTGAATTTTGGGACTACTTTTTAGTAGTCGCTGACAAGTAGACCGAATGGTCATCTCGCGGTTATCCTGCCATTCGGTACAAATATTTTACCGGAATGACTAATAAAAAACGATTTGATTGATCGATTGATTGTCCACATCCTAAACACAATCCGAAATGAAAAGCAAAATAACCAGGGACTTGATTATTCAAGTTGAGTAACATATGGTGGGGCATTTTATTTGGAATTCGTAGATGCTAGATAACTCAATTAATACATTAGATATCAAGTGAGAAATTTATTGGCCGTTTGGCAACCATCGGTTATTTTAACACATGTTGCCCTCTCAATATGACGTTGAGTAGCGACTTAAACATTTCGAGTTCAAGTAACAAGTATCACCATCAATAAATCGCAATATTCTAGGAATGAATACTTGGAAATCCAGAAAACTGATGATAAAATGATATTAGCCAAAAAGCATTCTTAATACAGATCGCTCTTGAGTAAAACTAAAAACGATCCGAGAAAATCGTGGCAAACAATGAATACACTGCTAGGTTGATGCAAATCTAAACTGTCAAAAGTATTTGTTGTGGGAAATAAGGAAATGTGTGATCCTGTATTGATAGCCGATCATTTCAATGAACATTTTTCTACGATAGGAAAGCGAATGTCTGATAAATTCACTAATGATATTGACGGTAACTTCATGAAATACATGGGCAAATCAAGTAACTCTTCGATGTTTTTATCACCCGTAACAGCCACAGAAATACAAGCTAATATTCGA